GATATGTCTTTATGGGAGAGAAATCAGTAAGAACTTCCAGATTTTAATAGCATCTGGTTGGACAGTGATGCCATTTACTCACATCAGAAATACGAAGTGATGGGCAGGTTGAGCCATAAGACTAAGGGGTTTTTTAGATTTCTTAAATTTGAAATGCCTATAGACACCCAACTACGTGAGACTGAAACTCAGAAGGGAGGTCTGGAATTAGGGGATAGAAATATGAGACACATAAATGGTATTCAAAACCTTGAAGTTGGATGAGATCACCAAGGGAGGAGTGGAGCTATGAGAGGAGACTGGGAAGTGGATGGTGAGGAAGGGGAAGTAGCATCCGGAGTGTACAGTGTCCTGGAACTCAAAAGAAGAAAATGTTTCGCCCTGGGCGGTTATCTCAGTGGTTAGAGCATCAACCCTTGGACCAAATAGTTGTGGGTTTGATTCCAGTCAATGGCATGTACCTTGGTTGCCCTTTGGTCCTTGGCCCTGGTTGGAGTCGTTTGGGAGGCAACCAATCGATCTCTCTCTCTCTCTCTCTCTCTCTCTCTCTCTCTCTCTCTCTCTCTTCCTCCCACTCTATCTGAAGATAAATGGAAAAATATCCTCAGGTGAGGGTTTAAGTTAAAAAAGAAGAAGAAAATGTTTCAATAGACATCTTATATCATGGAGAAATATATTTGCAATGGAAATTATAGACATCAGGTTAATATGTTACAAATGAATGGTATAAAAACAACCCTGTAGAGAAATGCAAAAATGATATGAATAGTCAGTTCCCTGGAGGGCAAATCCTAATGGCCAATAAACCTATGAAAAGGTGTTTAATCTCACCATTAATCAGGGAAATGCAAATCCAAAAGAGCATTAACACCTAATGCTGTCAGAGATTGGAAGGGAGGTCGTTTTCATACTTTGGTGGAAATGTAAATTATTACAGCTTTTTTTTTTTTTTAGAGCAGTCTGGCAATATCTATTAAAATGAAAAATGCCTCTAATCTGTGATCCAGCAGTCTCACTCCTGTAAATCCATCTCATGGAAATAGAGGCTCCAGTACATAAAAATCTAAATATGTTTACTGTAGCCTTAAGGGCAAAAACACTAAAAATAAAGTAAACACCCATCTCTTGGGGGAAAGTTAAATATATGTTACCCAATCACTGGATTATTGTGCACCCATTCAAAATAAATGTGTTAGATCTATGCCAGTTGACTTTAAGGTCTCTTCATAATGCAGAGAATTTGATAAAGTGTGTGTGTGTGTGTAAAACACAGTAGTCCTTCCTTCAAAACACTTCTCCCTGTGTATAAAAACATTTGTATGTGTATGATTATGTATATGAACATGGAGAAAAGCATACTTTGTTGTTAATAATGATTAACTGGAGATGAGTCTCGGAGGCTGTAGAGGTAAGCCTCCACTCACCCACTCCCTTGATAAACACACACTCCTCTGTTTAAAAGAAAAAGGATCTCCATGATAAAAGTGTCTGTGACATATCCATATATGTAGAACATGTGCATATATATAATACATATGACATGAAAAGGTACTTACCAAAATGATAATGTAAAAGTGTAATTAACTTCTTAAATGCTCAGTTGAAGTATTCATGTCACCCATTTATTATCTCACAATTTCTGTGGGTTGGGAACCCAGGTATGGCTTACCTGGACCTTCTGCCTCTGTGTCTCTCACAAGATCATCTTAAGGGCATGGATTTGCTTCCAAGCTCCCTCCAGTTGTTGGCAGGATTTGGTTCCTCATGAGTTATTGGCGTAAGGACCTTGTTTGTTCGTGGGCTGTTGATCACAGCCCTTCCTGGGTTCCTAGCCACGTGGTCTTTCCCATTGAGCAACTCATGCATGGCGGTCGGCTTCCTCAGCAAGCAAGCAAAGAGCAAGAGTCAGCAAGATGAGTCTGACATCCCGCCGCTGTTGCCATCTTCCATTCAGTAGAAGTAAGCAGAACAAGCTCGCACTCAAGCAGAGGGGAGAACACAAGGCTGCGAATACCCGAAAACGGGGGTCACTGGGTGTCATTTTAGAAGCAGCCTACCACCAGTGCTCCTGGGTTTATCTCATTTTCACTTTTCTTTATATACACTAATGAACCTCTCTTTTGAAAAGTCACTTAAAACTCCCCCTCCCTGAACATCTCATAGTTCATTTCCGCCTTTCTGCTGTGGCCCCCTGACCTCCAGGTGGCCTTCTGGGCAGGTTTGTTTTGTTTTGTTTTAGTTTTTTTTTCTTTATTGGTTTTAGAGAGAGAGGAAGGGAGAGGGAGAGAGAAATAGAAACATTGATGAGAGAGAACATCGATGGGCCGCCTCCTGCACGCCCCCCACTGGGATCGGGCCCACAACCTGGGCATGTGTCCTGACCGGGAATCGAACTGGCCACCTCTTGGTACATGGTTCAACGCTCAAGCCCTGAGCCACACCAGCCGACATTGGACGGGTTTTAAGACGACCCCATACTATCTCTAGCTAATGGTTCGTGGAAGACTCATCTTCACCACAGAAACTGCTAGTCCCAGGCACGCGCCCCTCCCTTCACTCTGCCCCAGAGCTGCTAACCAGCAAGGCTTGGACTCTATGGATTCCTCAGACTTGAATCATACTCTCCAGCCTTCTGTGGCTCCCAAGCTCCAGAAGACTTATCTTAAGCTCTCCACGTGGTCTTGGGGAAAGGGAGCTTTTCCCCCAAATCCTCTCCTACTCTCCAACCTTCTCTTGCTATCTCTGATCCTATTTTATTTTATTTTTTGTTATGTAGAGTTAAGTTTACAAGGGTGTTTTTCAAATATGTTTTTATTGAATTTTTTAGAGAGAGGGAAAGGGAGAGAGAGAGAAACATCCATTGGCTACCTCCCTACCAGAGATCGAACTGGGACTTCTCAGTCCGTGGGATGACATGCAGTCCACTGAGCCACACCGGTGGGACTACAGTGGCTTTTTACCACATTCCTTGCAGTCTGACATGACGGTTACTCACCTCATTTGGAAATGTATTATCTGCTGTCTGGGACCTGCAGCTGAAACGCGACAGTCGAGAACTTGCATGTTGACTTCCTGCTCCTTTGAAGGCATCTGCCCTGGGTGTGCCCACAACCCCTGTAACAAGAAAAGCGATTACTAATGTATTAAACCAAACAGCAATGCAAAATAGATGATGGAGGAAAGGTTAATAATGAGTAGGAAAGGGAAGAAGAGGGGAAAGCACAAGGTACCTTTTGCTTCAGATTAGAATAGATAAATATTGTCTTAATATGATGTCAGTGCCACTGTTTAAATAATATTCTTGAAATATTTGAAGTACTTGTAGAATTCAAAATGAGGTATTTGAGTTATCATTCATTGAATAAAGGTAAACATGAAGAGAGAAAAAGCAGGCATAAAAAGCCAGACATGATATTCAAGCATAAATGGTCTCCATTTGGACCTATAAATAAAATCCAACAATATAATGTTTATAAGAGACCAACCTAACAGAAAATAGAAAGCAAAAATTACCCCTGAATTGGAAATATCTTTTTATTACCCTTGAGTAGAACAGAGATGGCAGTACTTTATATCAAAGTAGAATTTAAGGGGAAATAAATAGATGTTGCTTATCATGTTGTGTTGACCACATAAAACCCAATGAAATTGACACCAAAAATTATGAGAGATGCCCAAATTGTCAGCCTTGTGAATTAGTTTCACAAATATCTGAATTTAGTTTTATTTGATTACCTTTCTTTAAATTTTGGGGGGGCAGGCAGAGTTTGAAAGGTCTGAGTAAAGCAGTGAAATATTTCTCCCCATAATTAAGATAGGAAACAAAAACAGAGTCAAAGGAAATTAGTTCAGTTTTAGACAAGCCATGGAATTCCAGGCCTTGAAGGTTACCTAGTACAGCCATGTCATTTTACAGATGTGATAGTCAAGGCCCCAGGAAAGTGAGAGATACCTTCGATAGCGCAATTCCAATCAGAAGCAGGACTTAACTACAGATTTCTGGACTCCAAGTCTATGTTTTCTCAATATACCAGAGCATCTGCTCTGTGACACATGGTCCATCCAGCTCAGAGATACGCTTGGAATGAGGGGTCCTCAGGCTGGTGCCATATGTTAGTTAACGAGGCCTGCAGACTCCTCCACACTAAAACATTCTAAAGAATAATGTGACACTGGTCGGTTTGGCTCAGCGGTTAGAGCGTCGGCCTGTGGACCAGAGAGACCCAGGTTTGTTTCCCCTAAGGGCACGTACCTCGGTTGCAGTTTTTCACCGGCCCTGGTTGGGTCGTGAAGGAGGCAGCCACTCGATGCGACCCTTTCACGTCGATGTTTCTCTCTCTCTCTCTCTCTCTCTCTCTCTCTCTCTCACTCTCACTCACTCTCTCTCACTCCCACTCTCTTTGAACAAAAAATGGAAAAATGTCCCCAGGTGAGGATAAATTAAAAATAATCAATGAATGAATAAATAAATAAAAGCTCCACACACAGGTTTTAGATGCATAACTAGGAATGCTGTACTCATTGAGAAGATGTGGAAGGGTTTGAAACAAGGAAGTGGCGTAATCAAAGTTAATTTTTCTATTATGATTCTATTTTGCAACGCTTGCATTTCCAGGGGTGTGTGTGTGTGTGAATTCACTATTATCTCCCCCCGAAAGATGCACTTGGGGGGTGTGGGTTGTTGTTGTTTGTTTCAGTTACTTCATTGGGATAGATTCCCAGGAGTAATTCTCTTGAATGGAAGGAAATGAGTAGTTGTGGCTCCTGATGTATCACCATGATGTTTATAATCAATTTACAATGTTATTCTCAAAGTGTTGGCCATATGTGGCCTTTAGAATCATTTTGTAAGGTTCAGGAAAAGAAAATCTGTTGGGATTTGGATTACAGTAATTTTATTTTGAAATTAGCAATAAACTCTCAGAACAATGTTTGTATCGTGTTTATGGTATTTTATGTTATCTAACTGCCTGTCTAATATTATAATTTATCTGTAATAGATTGATGAACTCCCCGAGGGAGCGGTGAAGCCTCCAGCAAACAAGTACCCTATCTTCTTTTTTGGCACCCATGAAACGTAAGTCAACAAAGCCACTTAAAGTTTTAAAAGTTCTAATTCGACATTGCTTATAGATGGTCTAAAACATTTTATATGTTGTGGAAACTATTATAATCAATTATATAAAGTGACCCACCTTAATCATGTATTTCTCTTAAGGTAAAGACTTTTTATTATTTTGCTTTTGAATGTCATCTTTGTTTCTGCTAAATGTTGGGTACCACCCAGAACTCCCCTTTAGGACACTTTTAAGTCCTACAGTGATCCTCTTGCCACCCAGTAATTTCTTTTGTAGCTTTTACATATTTCCCTTCCAGAGAAATTTTTTCCATTCATACTTCACAGAAAAAAATTGTGTTCTCTCGGGCTCTCTCAATTTGTTAGACCCAGAAGCAAACATACCACAAATTTTTTTACGGTTTTCTGATTGTATTGGTTAGAGTACAGGCTACACTATTGAATAAAGGAACCTGCAAAGACAGGTATTTCAGATGATATAGAAGTGTATTTCTTTTCTTTTGAAACAACCCAGAGATAGGCAGATAGAACAAGGTGAGTAGAAAGCTCCGTTCTAGAGACCCAGGTTCCTCTGTCGTGTTGTCCTGCCATTCTCTGGGTTGTTGTTCTTGTCTGCTTCTTTCTTTCTTTCTTTTTTTTAATTAAAAAACAAACCAACTGGCTGAACAGCACCTCTGCATCTTCCAGGTAGAGGGAAGGGGGTAGGCGAACAAGGAACTTCTCGTAAGGAAATGACAGGAAATTGCATGTATCACTTCAGCTTGCATTCAATCCAGTGGCAAGAACTTGGTCACGTGATCACACCCAGCTGTAAGAGAAGCTGGAAAACATAGGCTCTAGTGAGGGAAAAAATTGGGAGGAGTAATCAATCCATTAATAAAACAAAGAAGATAATAGATACTAAGGGACAGTTGGCAGTCTTGACACACTAAGCGTGTATATGGTTAATTACATGCACACAAATGGAATAGGAATTGCAAATATGGGGGAAAGCTAAAAAGTATCATGAAATCTTGCACATCTCTAATTCAGGGTCATCTCCTGTGCTCACGTGAGTGTTGGACCAGGCAAGAGCTCTGCCTTACCTGGCCGTCCGCCGCTCGGCCGTCTTCCTCTTTCTTGTCTGGGAGAGCGGCGGACAGGGTCCTGAACACCATGTCTTTCTTGTCTTCCTGCGAGAAATAGTTTGTTTCTTTCAGGAAGTTAGTCACATTTTCTTATGTTTTGCTTTGATCTAATAGACTCTGTGGACTATGCACCTTATGATTTTTTTTCATAGAGGGATTGCTAGAAAGTAGCACCAACCCAACAGGGCTACTGGCTTGTATACCCAGCTATTTATTTTTTCTGCCTTGAAGCATATGTGTAAAACATTTTGTGATGTGTGCCTAACTTAGAGGATTTTTTTTTCATTCCTCACCTGAGGACATTTTTGCATTCATCTTCAGATAGAGCAGGAAGGAGAGAGGGAGGAAGAGAGAGAAACATCAATGTGAGAGAGACACATCGACTAGCTGCCACCCACACGACCCCAACCGGGCCTGGGGACAAACTGCAACTGAGGTATGTGACCTTAGTGGGAACCGAACCTGAGTCTCTCCGGTCTGCGGGCCAATGCTCTAACCGCTGAGCCAAACTGGCCAGGGCTAGAGGATTTTTATATATGTATATACTTTTAAATGTTTTTATTTATTGCTTTGGAGAGAAAAGAGAGAAACATCAATTTGTTCTACTTATTTTTGTTTACTAAAATATGCTCTGGCACCTTAGTAGATATCGATATTAAAATGCCTTACATTTGAAGGTCAGAGTATCAAATCTATTTCTGATGTATCTCTGCAGTGCATTTCTAGGTCCCAAAGACCTTTTCCCATATAAGGAATATAAAGACAAGTTTGGGAAGTCAAACAAACGGAAAGGATTTAATGAAGGATTGTGGGAAATAGAAAATAACCCAGGAGTCAAGTTCACTGGATACCAGGTAATGTTTACTTCATTGTCACTTGCTGTAGCTCATATTTTTGGTTTTAACTCCCTTTTGGATCTTTCTTATGTGTCCTTTGTACTAAAAGTTACCTTCCCTCCATTTGAAGCCAGAATTCTTTTTGGCTTTGGTAGCATTTTAGATTAAATGTAATTCTGTTACCCGAGAGGGTTCAAATAAAGTGGTCACTGGAAAATTGAAGTTGACAGCCCTTTATTTTGAAAATCTTACAAGTAAGCTGAATCCTTTCAAATTAAAATAGAACATTTCTTTGCACAGTCTGTGTTCTTTGCTAGTTTTTAGAAATGTAACTAGCTACCGTTTCATTGTTCCTTAGGCAATCCAGCAGCAGAGCTCTTCGGAGACCGAGGGCGAAGGTGGGAACACCGCCGATGCGAGCAGCGAGGAGGAGGGCGACAGAGTCGAAGAAGATGGAAAGGGCAAAAGGAAGAATGAGAAAGCGGGCTCGAAGCGGAGGAAGTCCTACACGGCAAAGGTGACTGAGAGGCTGCTTCCGTCGTCACTGACGACATGCACATTCACAGACAGTTGTAGATCGTTTTTACTCCATTCACTGGGCACACAGAGATATTCTCGCTCTGTGGAGCCTCTGCCTCAGGGACGATATAGCCGAGGGGAATCAGATAGCAGGTAACCTTGCGTGAGGGCGACTGGCTGTTGACTACAGGCTGATTCGGCCCCGAAAATACCACCTTCTCAGCTAGAGGAGGACTGTTCTGTCATCAAGGATATAGGTTACGTGTGCGTCCTACATACAGGAAGCTCCTGGTGAGTGCTGAGGATTTAGGAACAGAGGGGACTCGGTACGGTGCAGGACCATTTCAGTGTGCTATACATGTGGACATAAAGATGTATTCTTACTTGTCTGCCTGCTTTAATGAATGTGCTTTGGCTCTTCTTTGTTCAGTTTTCATACTTCCTGGTCACCGATTTTATGTCAGACATTTGTACTAGGTGTGCAGTGGTGAGCAAATCCAGTTCCTTCCCTACCCTCGTGTAACTTACAGTTCAGTGGATTGGAAGAGGAACAGGGTAAACAAGCAAATGATAAATAAATACAAACCGTGAATGGGAGGAATGGGAGCAGGAATGACAGAGAAGGGCACCTGCTCTACATGGAGTGGCCAGGCCTTTCTGAAAAGGGAAGGTTGATGCTAAGAGCAGAGAGAGCGTGTGAGAGGAGGAGCCCCGAGCGGCAGAGCCCCGAGCGGCAGAGCCCCGAGCGGCAGAGCTCTGGGGCGGGGAAGAGTTGACAGGTCCCGAATCTGAAAGAAGGCGGCATAGTTGGAGAACCATGATCCGGGGAGAGACAGGCAGAGGCTAAGTAATGGAAAGTTAATGTCACGTCAGTGACTTTGGATTTTATTCCAAATGTAACAGTAATTTCTTTTTTCAGTGTTTTACTTTTGGCTTGCTGTTTATTTTGCAAGTAAAACTCAAAATCAACAGTTGGGTTTAGGGTAAGCATTAAGGAAATTTGGCTACTCTGCTGGGTCTGCAGTGACAAATGGAACAGTAATTTATTGAAGGTTTTTTTTTTTTTTTTTTATTCTCACCCGAGGACATTTTTCCATTTTTTGCACAGATAGAGTAGGAGGGAGAGAGAGGAAGAGAGAGAGAGAGAGAAACATCGACGCGAAAGGGACACATCGAGTGGCCGCCACCCGCACGACCGACCAGGGCCGGGGACAAACTGCAACCAAGGTACATGCCCTCAGCGGGAACTGAACCCGGGTCTCTCCGGACCGCAGGCCGACGCTCCAACCGCTGGGCCAAACCGGCCAGGGCTATTGAAGGTTTTTAACTGAGGAGCGACATGACCTTAGATTTACAAATTCAAAGTCTAGACTTTTCATATAGTAATTCAGAAATATAATTGAGAAAACCATAAGATTGTGAAACTTCATCTTTTAGAAACTGAAAAAGCCCTGGCCGGTTTGGTCCAGCGGTTAGAGTGTTGGCCTGCGGTCCAGAGAGACCCGGGTTCAGTTCCCACTAAGGGCACGTACTTCAGTTGCAGTTTGTCCCTGGCCCTGGTTGGTCGTGCGGGTGGCAGCCATTTGATGTGTCCCTTTCACGTCGATGATTCTCTCTCGCTCACTCGCTCTCTCTTTCTCTCTCCCTCCCACTATCTGAACAGAAACTGGAAAAATGTCCTCAGGAGAGGATTTAAAAAAGAAAATTAGAAACTGAAAAAAAGATAAACAGACCTGTGAAGACCAGAGATTGGTCCTGCTTTTACTCCAGTTGGTCTGCCACACAACTGAGTCCTTGGATAAATTACTTCCATCAGAGCAGCAGTTCTCAACCTGTGGGTCGCGACCCCTTTGGGGGTCATACGACCCTTTCACATTTTGCTAAGACATAACAGTAGCAAAATCATAGTTAGGAAGTAGCAACTAAAATAATTTTATGGTTGGGGGTCACCACAACATAAGGAGCTGTATTAAAGGGCCGCGGCATTAGGAAGGTTGAGAACCACTGCATTAGAGTCTGGTGTTTAGTGACTGGAAATACTTAGGAAACTCCTTAAAGTCAAGTGCCAAGAATTTATCAGACTTTGTTTTATGGTCTATAAACACTTTATTTTATGGTCTATAAAATCCACCCAACTTGCATACAGATAAAATTGTATAAATACATATTACTTCCTATGTACATAATGAAAACCATGATATTTGCTCTGGATGGGGATAGAGTTTGCAAATAATAAAATAATTAGAGTTGTCCCCGGTATAGAGTTGTCCCCGGTAGACTGTATTTCCTATTGCAGTTATTTATTTATTTTTTTCTTTATTCTCACCCGAGGACATTTTTTCCATTTTTTGCTCAGATAGAGAGGGAGAGAGAGAGAGAAACATCAACGTGAAAGGGACACATCGAGTGGCTGCCACCCGCACGACCAACCACGGCCGGGGACAAACTGTAACCGAGGTACGTGCCCTTAGCGGGAACCACACCCGGGTCTCTCTGTACCGCAGGCCGACGCTCCAACCACTGAGCCAAACCGGCCAGGGCTGCAGTTATTTTTTAAGCTGAATTTCTTTCAGCTTTTTGGACTTCACTTAAATACCCAGTTGAATTGATTTTATTTAATTTATGATTACCTGCTGAGCTTCTGTGTCATGTGTTATACCACCCTAAATTACCTAAGGAAGCCTAGGCATTTGGTGGTGTGGTTGTGTGACTTTTAAATGTCATTATGTCATTGCTCGTTATGAAGACCAGAAGTAACGGGGCTTATACAGCTATTTCTTCAATTCAAGTAATTTTCCTTTGCCCCTAAAAATTAATGATTTGCATCTCTATTAGATGGTGGTAAAGGTCCCACAATCCCTCTACCTAGTTCCATTTTTCTGTAAAATAAAAAATACTAAGTTCAGTCAGTACTAATGTAAAGCCATAGCACAAGCAGATTTGAGGGAGGTTGTGTATATATCTTTTAGCAGTAAGTGTATGGATGATTCATATTTGAGCCATAACAGAGATGGGAAGCTGTAGTCAAAAATAATTTGCATGCAGATTATCTACGGTACACAGTAGGGCTAATTAGAGAGCTTCACAACAAACTAAACAGATGACGACACTGAACCACTAGTTAAATCTTAGTTAAAAAACAAAGGTGACAACAACTAGACACACAACCAGTTCAAGACCACAATGATGAACAGATGAAGGATCCTTCCCCAAAATTCAGGGATTTTGATGAATATGCCATTAAGAGTTTTGCAAGATTTCCAAATATAGCTTGGCGGCCAGATTTCTTAGTAGAATACTCACTGTGACTTGTCAGCACAGCTTTAGTATTGTGCTGATTCTGATCTGTGTATACCAACTATAAGACCTGTCAATCACTCGTAGGGTTACTCATAAGTAGCCTTTGTAAGCATTATAAATTTTAGGGAGTTGTAGGTCAAGGGCTGTTATTTGAGAATTACTGTATAAAATAAAGCATATGCTACATTTCAATAATCATACCCTATTTCCTAGGGTAACAAAAAGTATTCTACTTTTGTATCATCATATTTGATCTTAACCCTTACTCTGGACACTCCTTGCTTTCCAAGCTTCATGTAAAAAGTAAAAACGACCTCATTTTAAACTGACGTTTTGGACTGGGTTGGTAGTTTCAGTTAAGTAAAGTAGAAGCAATGTAATTATGTGTTCTATCACACAGCCAGAAGATACTCTGTCTGTGGAAGTTGTACTTTTATTTATTAATTTTTTTTATCCTCACTCGAGGACATTTTTCTACTTTTTGTTTAGATAGAGTGGGAGGGAGAGAGGAAGAGAGAGAGAGAGAGAAACATCGACGTGAAAGGGACACATCGAGTGGCTGCCACCCGCACGACCCAACCAGGGCCGAGGACAAACTGCAACCAAGGTACGTGCCCTTAGCGGGAACCGAACCCGGGTCTCTCTGGACCGCAGGCCGACGCTCTAACCGCTGAGCCAAACCGGCTAGGGCGAAGTTGTACTTTTAAATATTGGCAGTGCCCTGGCCAGTTTTCTCAGTGGTTAGAGCATCAGTCCATGGACCAAAGAGTCGAGGGTTTGATCCCCACGCCTGGTCAAGGTCATGCAGGAGGCAACCAATCTATGTGTCTCTCTCACATCAATGTTTCTCTCTATCCGGCCCTCCCTCACACTCTGTCTTTTAAAAAATACAATTAAAAAATCAGTGGAAAAATATTCTCGGGTGAAGATAAAATATTGATTGTCTGAGGAAGCCCCCATTGCTAATTCATTTCTGGAAGACCAGAAGTGAATTGGCTGAATCCCTTTAGCCTTAGCCCTATTTGCCATGCGCTTAAAGATTCTAAAATGCTGCATTTTATTTTCTTAAAGGTGTCCAGTGGGACTAGCCTTTAGTCATTTTAATGCTGTTCTGCAGAGCAAGTCTGGGTGTAATGGTATTTTCTTCTATCTCCAGAGTTCATCTTGTTTTCATATGCAAGATGATGAGGAACAAAAAGGGCTAGTTCATCAGTATGGCCTTGGTTTCTTAAATAACTATCTATAGTTTAAAAGATTAATTATTTTACATCACATGGGGACATAAAAGTTTTGTCAAGATCATTCCATGCATACCATTACCCAAACAGCTTCAACAGATGTCGCAAGGTGAATATCCATATGTTATTTTGGATAGTCACCTCACTTCTCTGGACTTCGATTTTTGCTATAAAAAGATGGGGAAGGACAAGATGACCTTTAGGGTGCCTTCCAGCTCTGTAGCCTTCCTAAGGCGGTGTCCGTCCAGCTATATTTATTCACTGACAGTATCTGGGTGGATGAATCTCTGTATTCTGCTTTTAACTCACAGCTGAACAGAACTTTAAAAAAAAAAAAAAAGGGCATCTGGTCCACCTCTGCTTCCTTTCCAGCTGGCTAAACTGAGGTGAAATACTGGGTCAGGGTCACCTACCCCAGCCCTGACCCTGCACGTTGTGGCCGTATAGCCTGGGCAAGCCAGAAAGACCAGGTGCAGGTCGGCTCCTTCTGTGTTTCTTACACTTGTGCGTTTGGGTTTCTACTTGACTATAATTGTTGACTTATCTAAACATTTAGAAACCCTCTAAACAGTCCCGGAAATCCCCAGGAGATGAAGACGACAAGGACTGCAAAGAAGAGGAGAACAAAAGCGGCTCGGAGGGCGGTGACGCCGGCAATGACACGAGAAACACAGCTTCAGACTCTCAGAAAGCCAGCGAAGGGGTAAGGGGACCAGCCGTCTCTGCCTTGTGTCCACTTAGAGGCACTTGGCTTCAGAATCAGGGTCCGTATCTGGGTAGCGGCATGGCTTTAGGGAACGGAGCCTTTCTCGCCCGACGGTCCGCCCACCGACAGCCCCGAACAGGCTCAGATGCCGAGTCTGCGGACAGGAGAGCCGGGGGGAGGTGCACCTGCCTATCGGTTTGGGACTCTATGAACAGTTTATTCTCTTTGAAACTAACTTCAACAGCTTGTTCAGTGAAGGTGTGAAATACTGAAATTATGAAACGCCACCTCAAAATTTGACAGCTGCCTTTCTTTGGTTATACAATAAATGGCGTGTCCAAAATAGGGTGTTTCATGCCGCTGCTTTCCTAGAAGCGGTTGTCACTTAACATCCTGTTGGGACTGGAAATATTTAAATATTCCAACAGTCTGTGAATATTGACATTTAAAGGACCCACAAGGCCCGGCCGGTGTGGCTCAGTGGTTTAGCGTCAACCCAGGCACCAGGAGGCCACCAGTTCGATTCCCATTCAGGGCACAGGCCCAGGTTGTGGGCCCGATCCCCAGTGAGGGGCATGCAGGAGGCGGCCAGTCGATGTTCTCTCTCATCAATGTGTCTATCTCTTCCTCTCCCTCCCTCTCTCTCTCTGAAAATCAATAAAGAAAAAATAAATAAAACATATAAAAAGGACCCCCGGCTTACCCTCATCTCCCCCTGAAAGAAGCATGTCTTAAAGTCATTGTCACATTCTGGTGCTACCTTCACTTTGGTGCAGTAATAATTTTCTGTGGCTGCTGTGGGACCATCTGTTCCAAAAATATTCTTCAATATTGATTAATTGTTACTATGAATTTTCTACCAACGTGGACATAGAATTTATTGCCTTTCATGTTAATTTTAATAAAAAGATACTGTTTAAGAACTTTCTTTGGTTGATTAACCACGTTTTATTGTTTAAATGGGTGTCTTCCTCCTTCACAAAAGAGGAAAAGCCTTCAAGGTCTGTGAGTATAATCATGTATCTAGTGCTTTGATTTGTTAATAGTCACCCGGCAGTGCAGTTTGCAAGTTCACAGATTTTAAATGACGTTGTTTGTTTGTTTTTAAGATGGGCTTTCTCATTTGGGTAGGAACAGAGGTAGAGAAATGTATCTCTGCCGCTTGAAGGGATGGTAGGTTCAGCAACTTTTCCCCTTTGAAGGTCCTGGAATCATTATGTATAGAAGCATGTACAGTCCAGTGTCGATGTTGGGTCTGTACGGGGCAACACACCCACATGTGAGCCACGTGTGCTCTCACACACAGCATCTCCTTCGTGAAGAGCAGAGCTGAAGCAGGCTGTTTTAGAGAAAGCACTTGAGGCCCGAGTTCCCTTTCATTTATCCCCTGAGAGCATCTAGGGGCTTTGCTGTATTTGGGTTAATGATGAAGAAAACAAAAATAGGATCTCTATGGGGAAGTGCAGCCTGACACCGTTTCGAGTGGGACCCACATGGAAACAGCATTTTTTTAGGAAATGGAAGCATTTTGTCTTTGTACATGGTTGCTGTCTAAATTCTGAACGCTAGGCTTCCTTTCTCTTTGTCCTTCTTGATTTTGTCAACTCCAGTACTTTCTACAAGCCGTTCACAATGATGAAGTGTAAATATTACACAGAAGCCTCTGCGTGCACTCCCGATGCTTTGTGAACGTTCAGCGGCGGACCTTTCTTTCTGGCACCACGGTCCTCATAAAGACAGACTGTCTCAGTTTCTCCGCCGACTTTTGTCCCAGCCACACTGTCCTCGAGTTGTACAGAGTGCACACTGCTGCCGCTAGGGCCCTGCCAGGCAGTAGGCTGTTTACTGGTTCTTTTTGTTTGTTTCCCTTTTTTTTATAGTGAAACACTAAAAATACCCTAGTAGTTCCTTTGGCTTCTGCACTGACAGGTATAGAGCAGAGCCCCAGACTGTTCTTGCTAAGTGTGGTCAGTGCTGCAACGCAGGTGTACACTGTGGGTGTGGACAGCTTTTGTTAATATCCTCGGTCACCTAAAGGTTTTTCTTTCTTCTCTTCCAGACCTAACCACCGTGATGAGTGCTGCCTCTGCAGAGAAACCACAGAAAGGTTGTGCGTTTGGTTGTCTCAGATTCTCGGATTTGACGTGAACCAACACAGTCCTTGTTGTCACTGACAGAACCCCAGTTTGTATGTACTTGATTCACATTCCTCTCCGTTGTGTTCAGAGAAAGAAAAAAGAGACATTTTAGCCTTTTTTAAGGTCATTGATTTAATTTCTTGTTATTTGGTTGCATGGAGTTGCCCTTAACCACTAAGGATTATCAAGATTTTTGCACAAACTTATACATGTCTAGGATCCTGTTATCAAGGCAGTTGTGTCCTTAATTCTCCTGCCTTTACTCCGCCTCCACCAAACACTCAGTTAAATATAAATTCGCATTTTAAAAAAAATAACCACTCAAGATGATGTGTATTTCCTCTCTGTGACAGGACCCAGGAACCAATCCCTAGATACGTGATGTTGGCATATTGAAGATGAAATTAAAGTTGTTCTTCATTTTTGAGACCATGTGTAAAGTTTAATCCTATTGTAAAATATCTATTCCGTATTAGAACTAGCCAGTTGACAGCTTATACTTCTCAAAACTCATGTTGCTATGTATACAAACCCAGTTTCTGTATGTGAGGTCAGTGAGTCTTTTTGTGTTACTCCAAAATAAAGGCAGCAGTTTATTTTTCCCACTGCCAGTACAGTTTGAGCGAATCACTCAAGGTGGGTGCTCGACATTTTAAAGCTGGACATCAGCCCTATGGGAAACCAGACAGCATTGACTTAAATCCAGGCTTTTAAGAGGAACTTGTTTTCTTTCGGAACTAGAATTAGAATAGTTCATATCCATCCACAAACCATTATTATGTGTACATTCTTGTTGCTATTGTGATAATAGAGAATTTTATTTATTTTTATGCCAGCTTCTATTGTGAGAACACATTTAGTCAGTTTGAGTTTCCTCAATCCTGTTATGCTTGTCCTTGGAACACATTTCGCGTACTCGAAGTTTGTAGTTGAAAAGTTTACTGTAAAAAAAAATCAAAAACAAAAAATGTATTGTTTTTACAGAATAAATTTATTGGAATGTGTACTGGGAGTAAGGTTTGAGGTTGTAAACAACTAAGTTAGTGTAACTTGGCTTCATATATGTAATGTGAGGTATTAATGTAATTCATATATTAAAGCAAAATTTGTTAACAGCAAGTTGACAATAGAATCAAGTACAGGTGAGGGTTTTCTTTTTATACCCTTCTGGGATTTCAGGGTGTGGTTCTGTTTTGTTTGGTAGACACGGGGTGGGGAAAGGAATGGCTGCGAGGCGGCTTATACGGCTGAGATACTTGCCAGCTCGCCGGACCCCAGATTCAGACACTTCTCGTTACTCGTGTATGATCTGGACCTCATTTTCTTTGTGTTTTCTTATTTTGGTGAAGAGCTAATGAATAACATGAAGACAAAATGTGAGCAGCCCTAAAGGCCCAGGGTCACTGGTGAGGACGATGGTGACGGTGACGATGGCAGCGAGGGTGAGAGCCCCGGTGTGCCGCTCGGCACCGAGGAGGCCGCTGCGCGTTCCCTGTAGCAGATGCTGCCCTCCTTGCTGCGCTGCGCTCACTCGGTTCCAAATGGGGAAGGTTCATCGGAAGATGGCAGGAACGACAGGCTGCTGCCTTTCCTGTAAAGGGCTTTTTAATTTTGAGTATTTTTAATTTAATTTAAAATTAATGACATTTGATTTATCCAAAGGCCTCTTCATTGCTGACACTAAAACATAATGAGAATGTAGGTGACATTTTGAATTGGAACATATAAATGACAGATTTTTTTAAATGAACTACAAAACTGTATTAAAAAACGTTTCAAATTTAATAAGATTTGTTGTTGTAAAAGGCCAAAAATAATTTTATTAAAAATATACACAGAAATACAATAGAAATCTCCCCAGTCACCAGTAAAGCAAGTATTCCATTGAGGATAATGATAAAGTTATCAATCCCTCCTTAGCTGTCTAAACTCACAAAAAATTTTTAGTAAAAGCAGTTTTTAAAACAGCAGGAAATAATATACTTTCCTTGGGAAAATATTTTTCAAATGACATTTTAAAATACTCTGATAATTTGCCTTTTATATTGATGTTGATAATGAAGCATAGATATCTTATATGCAAAAATATTTCTCCAATCTCTATTTGCTGTTTTGAATTTTTAATATGCATACACCATATTCACTTTTGAATAGTTTTGTTTCCGTGCTCACCATTGTAGGAGCCAAATTGTAATTGTTCACGCTTATACGTATTTAATATTTGCAAACAGAATATTGAGATAGACGGTCAAGTTTATTCACGAAAAAACTGCGTATATTTCTTTAAACAAACTGTTTCTCTTAACAACTTCATCTTTCCTTCAAAAAAATAAAAGTTACCTATACAGTCCCATATACAGAGCTACAGCTCGCAGGTACAGTGCGGAGTGTTCATGTGCGGGAAGGGAGTGGAATGGGATGAGCATCCGAAGTCCGCGACCTGGGGAAGAGCAGTGTGAAGTCATGTTTTCATTCCACTTTCTCGTCTGCCTTTGTTTTCATGAAGAACTCGGGTTGGTAGATGCAGCGGTAGGCCAGGAGCTGCGGGAGAGCCCCATACGCTATGTTGAACACTAGAAAGAGGGTCTTCGCCTCTTCGGGGACTCTGTAGATGTAAGCAGTTCTGGCGTGAAGAGAAGCACCGATGTGAGAAAACTGAGCCTGTTGCATTAAAAAAAAGGGGGATAAGCATGAATTTTGTATTCAGGTGGATGAGTGATGAGTTCTCACTGATTTAGACCATGTTTCTTTGCCCTAAAAGACTAGTGCTTTCAAACCATCCATCGTCTCGAATGTTTCATTGAATTTAGGGCCAGTCTTTACATAACTGTTCAAATAAAGTATGCCTTCCTTAGAGTGGCCTCATCATACCCGCTGTTTTATGACCCACCCAGTGCCCCGTAGCAAGCATGAGTCGTTCATTGTAACAGAAAAGTCTGAATACAATCTCAGTTTTGTTTTTTCTGATTTGCATTCTGAAGATCCTATAAAGAGACTCAGATGTGGCTCTCAAAATGCATTCTCACAAAAACGAAGAAAGTATGGAATTGAGAAAGCTAAACTATCTTTAGCATAACTCTGTTTAAAAAGAAGCTCTGGGGACCTCAGTTTCATTTATCAGTCTCATCTACCACCAGGAGCAAAAGCTCAAAGCCCTTAATTATGTATTTTTGCTTGCTTGTTCATGTATCTGTTTCTTGTGCAACTTAAAAAATGCCAAGTGTTGTTTTGTCAGATGAGGTGGTCACCAGCACGGGTGGGGTAGGGCTACAGCCGCTCTCTGTAAAATGGCACCTGTGTACGCAGGCAGCCTTTCCCGATCCGGTCGTACAGAGTGGAAAGGCACGCGCTTCCTGTTTGTACCTCTGCCTGTTCAGAACACACGTCGGAGTGTGCCCGTTGCTCGTCTTTTGATATTTTCATAAGAACAGGGAAACACTGTATTAGAAAGGCTTCTGTGAGAAGACTTTACAAAATGCAATCCTGGAGTCTGCATTTTCATATCTTACTGAAATTCAAGATGTATATGAATAAAGAATTGGGAATCTAAGTGTAATAAGTGGTGAATTATTCATCAGGATCAAAGCGAAGAGACAAAAGATGTTATCATCTAAAGAAGGTACAGACGTAACAAGAAACTAATTTGCTTTAAACACATGTTTATCTTACATTTCCTTCCGTATGAAATCCATTCATCTGCTAAGTGGTAACAGATAAAGGTGTTGCTGAGCACTTGACTTTATTTACAAGAAAAGGACAAGCTTCCTTAAGCAGTATGTGTATGGATTCGTGTCAGTGACAGATGCTACAACAGGCTACGTTTTCACAAATTACTGATACATTCTGGGGATCTGGTGCCGTTTTGCTGCTCTCTGGAGATAGGTGTTGCCGGGGACACCTGTGTTGTGTGACCCAGGCCCTGAAAGGGCTCTGCCCTCAAACACACCTGCCCAGGGGCAGACGCCCAGACAAAACCCAGCAGATGCTCAGCATTTCTCCGCTGGGCTACGAAGAAAAAAGACCCTGAGAGCAAAGGGCATTTGAGAGGCTGCTCCTGTGGACGGTCCAGGACACCCAACAGGAGCTTGGCTCCCCAGCGCCATTTTTCCCAGGGCCTATTTTAAATAACTGAATGTATAACCAAATTTTGTCTTCTGTACTAGAGGCCAGATTCAAACCCTGATTTTCAGAAATGTGGGTTTGGTGTCTCATCTTCATAGACACTTGTACTGTACACATCACAGAAATCACCCAGTTTGGGGACATGCAAACCATACTTGGAGAGAATGGATAAGAGGAGCCATCATGCCTGTACAGCCGTAGGCTCTTCTCCTGCACACACGGTGCAGCTAATACCTCATTGTCACCAGCAGCACCCTCACAGCAGTGAAAACAGTCGCTTTAGATTAGATTGTAAGCCCACCGGGCAGGTACTGTGTCTCGTGTTGTGTGGCACCTGTCGTATTGTTGGAGCTCAATAAACATTCTAGTTGTGGTCTCGTGGCTGTCAAAATACATGAAGCCTCCACACAGCATTTCTCTTGCTTTCATACCTGTTTTAGTGGGCCCTTTTCTTCAGAATAATGGGGGGGGGGGCACGTACTGGGATCTCTCTAGTCAAGAGATGCCTGTACCTGAGAGGATGTGGAAGGCCAGTGTTGTGCAGTTTCCAGCACTGTATAGTTTGGTTGTTTATCCTCACCTGAGGATATTTTTCCATTTATCTTCAGATAGAGAGGGAGAGAGACACATCAATTGGTTGCCTCCCGCACGACCCCAACTGGGGCTGGGACCTAACCACAGCCGAGGTACGGGCCCTTGACCAAAATCCAACCTGCGACTCTTTGGTCCGTGGGCCGCCGCTCTAACCGCTGAGCCAAACCAGCCAGGGCATAGTATTGGTGTGTTCATGGTGGCCGTACCTCGGCTGAGTGAGCACCCCAGCCATACCTTCTTCCCAGCACACAGAGTCCAGTGCACAGGGTTCTGAAGTTTCAGAAAACCTCAGTCTTGCCTGAGGAGGGTTTGCTTCCCCAGCACGTATCCGAGAAGGGGCTGCAGTGTCTCCTGGGTGGTGCCTTCCTCCTCACCATGGAGCCTGAGAGCTCAGCCCGAGCACAAGGCTGGGGTCACAGACCAGTGAACTCTGCTTGCAACTGACAGGTGGCCCAGGGTCATCGGCACAAGCGATGGATTCTAGACATTGCTCCAAAATTCAGTGAAGTGAGGTTGAGCGCCTAACAAATGCCTTCTGCTTCCTTCTAAGTCATTTTTTCACTTTACATTTAATTGAGATATATTTTTTATTTTATTGTTTTATAATGGATGATTGGGATAGAGGCAATAAAGGCAAAGAAAAGTTAAATGTTTCTATAGCTGTTTTCTCTTATTTATGAAGACAACCTGGAAGGGGTGACGAAACCACATTCTTGGTTCCAGAAAGGAGAACTGGAAGTTTCGTGTGTCCACGGAAATACAGGCAGAAACCAACGTGGACACTGGGACGATAGCCGGGCTCTTTGGGCGATACAGTAAGTAGCTAACCCAGAACCATGTTACCATCTTAGAGGGTTTTCTGAGCAGCATAGGCTAGTGGTTGAGAACACTGGATCTGGAAGCAGACAGAGCGTCCAGTCCCGGCGGACCTTGCGCTAGGTATGTAACCCCTTTGGCTTCCTCCTCTGGAAAAGTCATAATGGCAGACCCAGCCTCCTAGGGTTGTCATGTGGGCTCAGTGAGTTGATCTTTGTGAAGAGCTTAGGGCCAAGCCAAACACATGAGGTCTCACACAGATACAGATACAAAACCCAGCGGACGTCCCTGTTCAGGATCCATACTCTGCTGAAAATCGAGGCTCTTTGTTTTTAGTTCCCCTCGGTGACCTTTTGACAATTTCAAGACTGTCCTTCTCCATTAAAGGATAATAAACACGTAGAGACATTAAACCCAAAATCGACTTACAATGAGGATGTTTGGTGACGAAGCACATGATTTAAATGGGATTTGCATTAGTATCCCAATTATCCATGTTCTTCCCAAACCCTTACTCTCAGGTATTTTACACCCAGGAGAGCCAGCTCTTTACCATCAGATTATCCAGAGCAGCCTGCAGACCTTGTCAGGAAGTGCCTGGGACCTGCACAGCCAGGGGATAGGATGGATCTGCCCCTGCTTCCATTTACTGTATATGTGTATACAATATACATAGCTACAGGTTAATAAATGAACCTGAGTAACAAGGCATTTCCCCTCCGGACTTCCTGGGACTCTGGCAACAGAAACAATAGCAGAGAGGCCCATGGCTGCCGGCACTGGCTCATAACCCTCCCAGCAGCTGTAGGGGAAGGTACTGTTCCTACCCTACCTACAGAAGAGGGACCTGACCCAAGCGCTGGAGTAATAGTCACTGAGTGAACCAGTCTGCCTCACGAGCTCATGCTCTTAGCCATTTTGACTATATTGGTTCTGGTTTTATCGTTTGATTTCCAGTGATATTTTAGCAGAAAAAGCCTTCAGTTGACAGAAAATGCTAATGAGTGGCTCTAGAGAGCCTGCAATACTTTTCAAATTAGACTTGCAACATGAATCCTGTGGTAGGGATTTTATATGAGAAGACGTGGGTTATGAATAGTCTCCAGTAGAATTTCAGTGTAAAATGTGTTCTGGTTAAATTGCATTGTATTGGATTTGCTTTCTGATTGATTTTTTGGTTTCTGAAGGCAGTAGATTTGTTAGACTCCTACATGGACTGAAGTCGGGGACCCAGTAACGTTTTCTATTGACATGTAGTGATCTAGAGGTTTTCACCTTTTTTTTTTTTTTTTAATTAAGTCACATTGACTCTTGGGAATGCACTGAGTCTTTCAGTAAATGCAGCTTTTGATAAAGTTTGTGGGGTCATGAATGCATAAAGCTTCTAACAGGAATGGCAGTTTTAGCAAGCTAGGGGTGCTAGTCGAGGTGATGGAGTGTACTTTCCCTGAGGAATGTGTCAGACACCCTCCCAAGGTGAGAATTCGTTTCATGAGAAGCATTCGCTGGGTAGAAGACAAGTCGTGGGACTGGGATTCAGCATTCTCATCGTAGCGGTTCTGCTGCAGTATAATTTGTAACTTTTCCTTAGTTTTAGGCTAAACACTCCCAGGAGACAGATACTAAAGCCCAGCCAAGAGCTGTGGGAATGTCAGGGACAAAATTCTCAGGTGACACGATTTTACTGGGGCGGGAGAAACAGCCTTCTGACTACAGGGTCTAGTCCGCAGGCTCAGGCTACCTTCTCAGCTTGGGTGATGGACAAGCCCGAGGATTCCTGCGAGGCCTGGGGTCTGGTGAAGCGGCCACTGCTCCTGCCATTCGTTCTGCTGCCCACACAGCCCCTCCCAGAACCACCGGGCTGGAGTCAGGTGCCCATCTGCAAGCCCAGCCTCACCAGCAGGTGCAGTTGGCTTCGTTTTACTGGGATAGGATCAAGCACCTGTTTGCCCCAAGCTATGGCCTTCCCAGGCCTCCTGAGTGCTGACCTGGTCCACGTGACTAGGCCTTGGCAGTTGTCTTCTGAGACTTCACCAGGTCCAATACCTGGCTTCACTCTTACCAGGCTTTTAGCTGATGACACTCAGTGCTCCTGCATCGGCCCGGTGTAGGGCCAACCCAGCATGTGGCTTGAAGAGGAAGCCCAGCGGCAGAGCACATGGGTAACACAGAGCTGTGGACCTCTGAGCAATCCAATCCTCTAAAGGCCCCGTAAGAGTGGGAGGCCCTGTGTCCTCCACCTGCTGCACAGCCCGCCCTGAGTGCTCAGTCCAAGGCAGCCCACAGCCCAGCTCAGGTCACTGCCTCCCAAGCCCCGGAGTTCAACGCCACTCCGTGCCACGTGCAGAGTCTAGCACTGCATGCTCCCAATGCTGGCTGTTTGCAAGAAGAGAGGCAGTTGGGGAAGAATGTGGGCTTTGGGGTCAGACAGGATTTCCTATCCGGAGTCTGTTACTTAGTAACCTGAGGCAAGTAACAAGCTGTCCCCAGCCTCAGCTTTCTCATGTCTAAGGCTTCTTAAAAACTTGCAGGTATAATGCTCTATGTTCATCACCCTGGAAGGCCACATGTATCTGCCTCCCTTGCAGTCGGGTCGGTGCCAGGCCCGGTTCTTGAAAGATGCCACATGATCTTTGTGCAAGAAAGAAGTAACACTTGATTGTGTTAAGCTACTGAGTGCTCGCTACTCCAGCAGAGCACAGATGGGTAAGGGAAACAGGAAGTGAGGTCATGGGAGCTCAGACCAGCGTAGTGGCAACGGAGCTGTAAGAAGGTGGTGGATTCAAGAATTACTCTGAGACCTAACCAGACCTAGTGGTGGGCCAGATGGAACAGGGGAGGGAATAGGAAGTGTAAAGAATTATCCCAAGAGTGTAGCTCCTGCAAAAGACCTTAGACTAGAAGGATACAGCCCAGTGTATGAACCCATAGTATAGTCACTTTTCAGCCCTGTAAATTCTAGTATCTTTTTGCCATCATAGTTACTCTGCCATGATTATAATTAACTGGATATGCCCAAGAGTTTCTGGAGGAACCTCATTCTTCAGCCTGCTTGAAAAGAGCAAGATGAAGATAATAATTTTAAAAGGTAAGTTCATTTAGTTCTTTGATTTACAGTGAAAAAACAACAGGTACAAATTACTACGTTTTCTTCCTTGTTAATAAGAGCTATTTGTTCTGCTGGTGGTTCGTGTGCAAAAAGGCATGTTGTGGGATAAAGTCATGCCACAGCTCATTTAATTTTCAGTTCAGTGCGGAAGCACCCACTGAATACCTGCTCGAGCCCAGGAGCAGGGCTAAGTAGCAGGGGGAGGAATGGAATGGCAGGTTCTGCTTTTCAGGAGCAGAACATTTTAAAACGGGTTCCCCTGGTTCTGTCTAGCACAGTGTTGTGGAATTCTGAAATCTTAAACTTAGACAGTTAACGGCTCTCAATTCTCTTTAGTAGCCATGGTGGTGTTGAGAGACTGGGAAATGGTACTGTTAACAGCGGTGCCACCTGCTGGCTACGGGACGTGCCATTGGACAAATCATGTAACCTGGCCGGGGCCTCATCGGTATAACCTATGAGATTTAAATAAAGTAGGTATGCAGAAATGTCTTTTAAAGAACTAGAAAACAAAAGGGGACAGGTCCCATGATGTCCTGCCCTGAAACGCCAAGCAGAGATGTTTTGCAGGTACTCAAACATGACAGGCAAAACCCCGGCAAACCTTCATAGTGGAGCTTATTCTTCGTACCTGAGCTAGACCTCCTGCGTGGATCAGAGTTACGTCAGCCATCCAGGAGCATCCAGGCACCACCAATCCATATAGCGCCACCACAAAATAAGGGACAGAATAGAACAGATACACCAGCATCTGTATTGAGCAGAGAGACAGCAAATCAGCAGCCAAGCTGGCCCGAAGGAGAGCACGAGACATTCACGTCAGAGGTGAACATGTTAATTCCCGTGTCCTCTGTGGAGCCACATTTTCCCATTCTTAGAGGAGATGACTGTTAGGAAAACCTTGGGCTTCGTAACTACCTGACCTGGATTTTAGGATAAGCGGCAGGATCCTTTAGGTACGGCTCTTGAAATTGCATGTAAAATCGGCAGAGCTCAGCTGGGCAATCCAAGGCGATCTGAGAATAAAAATGAATTCATTATCAAGATGCAGTCACAGCTGGCTCTCCTGTTTGCTGACGAGGCTCAACGGGCCAGGTTTGGTCACAAGCTGCTTGGCTGTGTAACAAACGCTGTGTGTTGCAGAATCCCCTCGGTAGAAGGGGAGGAGAAACACGGTGCAGATGCACGGTGAGGAGATGGAGCAGGTGAACTGGAGCAGGAACTGGAGCTAAGGCTCTGCCCTGGGGTACCGTTCGAGCGGTCAGGCTAGGGGTCTGAGTTCTGCTCGGCAGAGCGCAGCCTGATTTAGATCACCAGCTTCACCTCTCCCGGAAGAGCCAGCTGGCTGTTCCCTGCAGGGAGAACAGTGCCTCTCCGCACCACGCTCATCTCTGCTTAGCCGGGTTCCTCCTCTGTCCAGTGCCTCGGAGAGTGCATGGCCTTGGGGGCAGGGACAAGGATTTGAGAGCAGGGTCCTCTCGTCTGAAGCCACCTCCCGCATCCACTTTGAGAGCGGAGCAGGTTTAGTCACAGAGTAGACTCAAAGTCACAGAAGAGGCCAAGTGTCTGTTTGACACATTCCTGGGTCCCCCTTCAGTCACCTCCCCCAGGCATCATACTTCATGTCCTTGGACATAGATGTCCCACCTAGATAACACACGTAAACACAGGCCAGTGGCAGAGTTGGTCAAAGGGGTCCCAGCCTAAAAGCCCCACCTACCCAGCCCGCATACAACCCACATGCACACATTCTCATGTGCACTGGGAAGTGGGTGCAGCTGTGTAAGATGACAGGTGGAGCTGATTTTTATGGCTGTCCTTTGCACTTCGGGTACCACAGCAAACTAGCGAAAGGACGGTTTCCCTGCTCTGTGGTCTGAGCGAAGACGGGGACCCAGATTTCTCCTTTACTCCCCGTCCTGCAGCCTCCTATTAGTCAGCTCTTCTCCAGGAAGTCGGCGACCATCCACATCTTAACACAGCTTCTGACCCTGAACCCAGCCAGCCGACCCCTAAACAGTGAGTCGGCCACATCAGCTCACACTTGCCACTCTGCGCCCCAACGGCTGTGCAAAGGCCACAAGGCTCAGAACGGTTCATTACTGCCATGGACACTGAATCTAATTTACCACACAATTCTGGTTGCGAAGAATAAACCATGAAACTGGTTGATCCTGTAAAGGATCACTGATCAATAAAAATAACACCAGCCATTTACCGAGCACCTACTATGTGTAAGACCCTCTATACATCTGATGTTTGTTATTTAATCTTCAAAACCATACTGTAAGTTAGCTTCTGTTATTTTATGCAGGAAGGAACCAAGGGTCAAAGAGGTTAAGTAATTTTCCCAAGGTCACATGGCCACCCAGCTACTTAAGTGGCGAGAATTCTAGCTCCTTCCTCAACCCCTCTGCCCTACTCCTGAGAATACGTGAATGTCCCAGGACACAGTTTCATTGCAATCTTTAAATCATCACCCTTTCTCCCAAGACATTTAAATCAGAAACATCAAAGGAACCAAAAGAATGAGACTGATGGTTAATTTTTCAGGTGCCCTAAAATAAGGGAGGGAAGATACTTCTGGGGAGAGTTTGATCTAAGGACCTGAAGGAGGTGCCATGAAGCAGCCCACAGTGGACCCACCCCTTTAGGAGGGGAGGTTTGGGGTTGATCCTGGGAGGAGAGCAGTCGGGCAAGTTCAGCCCTGCAGGATCTAATGGGAGGAATATTTTGTTAGTGTGCTAGGAAGTCTGCTGTGTGTGTTACTTTGATCTGTTATGCTTACCAAGCCTCTAAACAGGCTAAATCCAGTTGCCAGGAGGAGACACACGACCAGCATGAGGTCAAATGGCCTTCTCAGCAGGTCCTTTGCTTGGACTTCTTGAACAACCTAAAACAGAGTTTGTAACTAATGAGCAGGCCCAGAGGGCCGAAGAAGAATCTGAGCTCGACGGAATCAGAAGTGCCGTGGTGATGGGTGGGGAGAGAGTTCTGAAGATTCACAGTTCATATCGTAAGCCAGCCGTGTAACTTTAGGAAAATCATTTTCCTCTCCAAGTCTCGGTTTCCTCATCTGTGAAACCAGCAGATTGGGCCCCGTGATCTTGGAGGGCCCTTCTGGCTCTGCGTCCATATTTTTTCTTAAAATGGCTTTTTTGTGTGTGTGCGATTATACATATAAGGCATACTCATTTTAAAACTAAATTATAAACCTGCCACCCTACTACTAATAGTTGCTTTATTTTTCACAAAATTAGGACTTAATATATAAACAATTTTTTATTTTTTTCTTTATTGATTTTTATAGAGAGAGGAAGGGAAAGAGAGAGATAGAAACATCAATGAGAGAGAACATCGATTGGCTGCCTCCTGCATGCCCCCCGCCAGAGACTGGACCTACAACCTGGGCATGCGCCCTGACCAGGTATCGAACCAGCGACCTCTCGGTGCATGGGTCAACGCTCAACCATTGAGCCACACCGGCCGAGCAAGTATTTGTTCAACACTCAGTATCTACCCATATTATAAGCACTTTCCCACATGAGTACAGATTCTTCTAAAACTTAATATCATGTGGAAGCACCATATTTGAGCTATTCTCCCATTGCTGGGCATTTAGGCATTTTCACTGTTACACCCAAGGTGGTGATGAGCAACTTTGCACATAAATCTTTGACAACATCTTGCTGATTTTCTTAGCATCGGGACCCAGAAGGGGAATGACTGGGTCAAAGGGTTCAATTTGTTAAGGTTGAGAACGCAGCCAAATTGCTTTGCAGAGCAATTCTGAATTTATGTTCCTGTCAGCACTGCAAGACAGTGTCCACTTATCCCCATCGGCCATCTCTGTGTTTCAACATTTTTTAAAAATAACAATAGTTCTGTGTCTTATGCCGTGAAACACTGGCATGGAGCCTTCAGGAGCAGCTGCGTGAGGGCCAAGGCTGTAGTTACTGTTTGCTTCTTTTTAACAACCACCCCATTCCTCAAAAGGACATGAGGGGTACCAGCTGTCAGTGTGCCAACGTCAGTTTACCTGGCAGGGTGTCTAAACGTGAACAGATGAGCCCTGGCCGGTTTGGCTCAGCGGTTAGAGCGTCCGCCTGTGGTCCGGAGAGACCCGGGTTCGGTTCCCGCTAAGGGCACGTACCTCGGTTGCAGTTTGTCCCCGGCCCTGGTTGGTCATGCGGGTGGCAGCCACTCGATGTGTCCCTTTCACATCGATGTTTCCCTCTCTCTCTCTTCCTCTCTCTCCCTCCCACTCTGTCTGTACAAAAAATGGAAAAATGTCCTCGGGTGAGGATAAAAAAAATAAATAAATAAAATAAACGTGAACAGATGAAATGTTTGTCAGTTGAAATGCATTCTAATGAATTCTATCGTAAATCTTTTTGTAAAACAAATAATCATGTTCTGATTATCTGGAGTAATGTGTATTTTCACATATCAGCTTTGCTTAAAGGATCTTGATTCAGGATCTATCAAAGGAAGAGAAACTCAGTCACCAGCTTAGAAACGAAAACCCTAACAGAGTACCTGCCCGGCCAGCACTGTTTCACCTTGACCACCTAGCTGTCTCAGAAGGCATCCTGTAGCCCGGTCCGTGTGCCTGGATCTCCTGGTAATCAGACCCTATGGCTGTGTGTGCCACCTTGGATGCAGTACCTCTCCAGCCTCCCAAGGGGGCAGTAAGTGCACAGGTATCTCTGAAAGGGGTGTCCAGGGGCCCCGACTCCAGGCCATTGACAGCCTCAGACAAAACATACACTCCACACACATGCAGAATCTAAGGGGACAAGCCCAGGTGGCCACTGGCACCGGAAGCAGACGTGTTTAGACAGACAGTCTTGGCCACCAGAAGCTAGACATGAACCCACACCGCAGAATCGACAGTCACACTTAATGATGTCCCCAGGGCTGCAGTCCACAGGGGGGCATGGTTCAGTAGCCAGTGGATGGGAGTCAGCCCTGTGAGTGCGAAGATAGGTTACATTTAACTTAATAAAAATCACCTTGGAGGGATAATGATAAATTTCTGGTGGCTGATTATAGATTCTGAAACCAGCCCAGACAGGAAGACAAGTGTATGGTATGCTTAAGAAAAAAGCAGGGCAAATGCGTGTTCCGTACTTCCCTATTCAAAAGAGAGAAGGAGAAAGTCAGAAGTTTACCAAAAGCAAATATAAACACAAGTAACATCTAGGATACCGCTCCCATCTCAAGTCATCAGACAGTATTTTTAACAAAAAACCCAGATCAACTGAAAACTGCTCAGTATTTAATAGGCATGTCCTATCTACGGTATTTCTAAGGTATGTTTATTAGAATATCCCTACTTCTCACATGCATAAGTAACCTCATTTACATTAGCTTTAAAGAGTCTTAATTTTCAAGGCTATTTATGGAGTTCCCATAGTGTGTCAGAGTTATATACAGGGTGGGGAGAAAAGTTGGTTTACAGTTATTCATATGGAAAATAATACAGTAATTAATAAATAATAATACGAGAATAAACTCTGTTTCACATACAACTGCAAACCTACTTTTGCCCCATCCTGTCTATTACAAAAGTTGTACGAAGTGTTTGCACACTGAATGCAGCCACAGACACAATGCTTACCCCCTCTAGAGCCCTCTAAAAATCAGGAATCACTGATACTAAATCGCCTAGTTGTTCAATGTTCACTTCTGAAAATTGCTCAAAAGCATTCCTTAAGGTAAGATAAAGGAGGAAAAAAGGAATAATTCTGCAAAACAGCTTTTTGGTGAGCTCGGAATTTCTTGGTTCTATGACATCCAAAATAGTTTCTGTATTTAAAAACAATCCCCATTGTTTCAGAGAAGGAATTTTAAGATACAGTTTCTTACCTACAATGTTTCCTGGCACAAAAACAACCATGCTCATCATAATAGATCCGACCCAGTATAGGCCAATGTTTCTGTAACTTTCCCTGTAAGGAAAAAATCTTGGCTTAGGATACTATTTGCAAAAGCTGGCCCACAATGTTGTCTTTAACCCGTAAAGTACATGAATCGAAACCTACTGGAGAGTAACAAACACAAGAAACCCTGGTGGTCGCACTTCTTTGCCACGGTTGACATGCTCTGGGACCCTCTCTGGGTCCTGAACAGGAACTTGCTGCGCTGACCTGTACCCTACGGCATGGTCAGCACTGAAGGGAGGCTCAAAAAGAGAATGGAAACCGGGTCCATTTCTTAAATCATTGTAAGTATGAGTAACGGGAGGTTAAGTGGACTTTCCCTGGCCTCACAGAATTTTGCCCATAGCCCCAAAGGTGAAGTTTGTAAGTGACATATACCCCTACTCTTAAAAGGTGATGTTGACAACAAAGATCTTTCACCTGGTATCCCCATAACCCGCCTCCATAAGGGGCCCAGACATTCAAAACGAGTCTCAGAAGGGAACAGAGTGGTTCCTTTCTAAACAGTATGCTCTCTGCCCTGTTCCCCTCGCCCCCCAAGCCAAACCCTTAGGTCCCTAGAGGCCCGTTCACAGTGACTGGGACTGTCAGCAACAGGACAGGCAAGAACCTTCTTTCCCAGTGGGTGCTAACAGAGCTGCAGAAACCCCAGCCCACTCCTGACAGCATCCAGGCGGAGCCCAGGCCTTCTCGGGAATACCTGACATGTTCCCTAGAGTTTGGGAACATTCATGAACAGGGAGGCTGGTGCCTGGAAAAGTCCAACAGTTTAGCTGGAGCTGTCCTGAGTTCACGACCGGAGGGATAGGAAGCGCAGGGCATGTATTTGGTCCAGTTGCATTTCAGCCTTGGATGAGGCAAGCCAAGAATGCATGGCTTTCTCTAACCTGGAGCCATGGGGAGGTCTGCAGAGGCCTCTGGACTTGAGCTGTCCTGGGCCACAGAGACCCCAGCAGACAGAAGCAGGCAGGGCAGTGACTGCAGCAATGCAAAGCTTTCTGTGGTAGGGGTCTCCAGAGAACCCACCTGTGTGCCCCACAACACAGACCTGGCATTTCACAATGCAGGGTACCAATACCCAGGAGACAACACATGTCACTGAAGACCCTGCCCCTCTTCCTTTTAACCCCATGGACATACCCAGAGAAGCCAGCACAGACTGGTTTGAGAGGGAATCACAGGGCAAAAGGCTCCTAAGCCTCAGGACTACACCTGAATGGGGGAAAGGGAGTTTTGAACTGACGTGAGATTGAAGCTTTGAATTAGAATGTGCTGGTCTTGCATTCCTGAAAAAGGCTGTTCTCATACGAGAACATAATCAGGAAGTTAAGGGGTCTGCCCGAGCAGTCATCAAAGCTGACCCAGAGGGACATGTGCCAAGGGCCTTGCACAGGAAGTAGGGCTAAGTCTAGCTCGTCTCCATCAACACTCTTTCTCGTTGTTGTTAATCCTCACTCGAGGGTTTTTGGGGGTTTTTTTGGTGGTACGTGCTCCTAGCAGGAACCGAACCTGGGACTCTCTGGTCCGCAGGCCGACGCTCAACCGCTGAGCCAAACTGGCCAGGGCTCAAGGGTATTCTTTCCATTGATTTTTTTTTTTACAGAGAGTGGAAGGGGAGAAAGGGAAAAGGGAGAGAGAGAGAAACATTGATGTGAAAGAGACACAGTGCATGTTTGCCTCCCATACATGCCCCAACCAGGGCCAGGGATTGAACCTGCAACCCAGGTATGTACCCTTGACCGGTAATCGAACCCTCGACCCTTTAGTGCGTGGGCCAACACTCCAATCACTGAGCCACACCGGCCAGGACCATGGAGCCATCTTCCTGTCCGTGGGCACCTGTTTGTGTACTTGCCTCTGTGTTTTCCTTACATACCCGCTTATCGGTTGCTAAGGTGGCAGAGGCACACACACCAGGCGAAGTGACTTACTCCCATGCTATGGCTGCCACCATCACCAGATACATCAGATAATGAGCAGAGCCATCCCAGTAGCAGACCATGTGCCCATGTGCAGTGTTCAGATACGGTTCACCCTAAGGGAAGCATTAAGAGGAAGTCCACTTTACATAGGACCCAAACACCGACCCAGAACACCAGACCTGTACTGCAAGGAAGACAAAACAGAATTGATTGGTGTTAGTCTGCTAAAAGGAAACTACTCTTCATCGTATACAATTACAAAATTGGTGGGAAGGTGAAATGATAACTTGACCCTGGAGCTGCCCAAACCCTCGGCCTTCTCTCCCTACCTTCTCCTGAGCAAGCTCGTCTCCTCCCAGACTTGGAGGTACCAACTGGACTCAGATGGACCTCAGTGTCTTCCTTGGGGACATTCCTCTCAGTTGCAAAGCCCTGCTAGCTGGGACATCTGCTGGGATGTCCCTCCACCACCTGAAACCCAGGCCCCCAGATGAACTCAGCATCATCCCTGCAAACCTCTGTTCCAGGTTGGCGGTGGCGAGACAAAGGCTATTTCCCATCTCCAAGCTTTTGCCCAAACTGTTCCTTCTCCGTGAAAGGCCTTCCACCTCCCTAGAAAGTTCTAACTGTTGCCCTGGCCGGGTGGCTGGGTTGGAGCGTCATCTCGTACACCGAAAGGTTTTCGGGCTCTATCCCCATTCCGGGCACACACAGAAGGCAACCGATCAACGTTCCGCACATCACTGTTTCTCTCTCTAAAGACCAATAAAAAACATATTCTTGGGTAAGGATTTAAAAAAATGCTTACTGTCCACTGCCGTTGTCATTTTTAAAGTTTATTTTTATTGATTTTTTTTTTTTTTTTTTTTTTTTGAGAAAGGGAGAGAAAAACATCGATCAGTTGCCTCCCGCACACACCCTGACCAGGGACCTAACCTATAACCTGGATATGTGCCCCGACTGGGAATTGAACCCGCAACCTTTTGGTGCATGGGGCAATGCTGCAACCAACTGAGCCACACCGGCCAGAGCACCATTTTAAAAAAATACTAGAGCAGTGTCACTCACACGATGAGGACTCCCCTGACTGCCCCTGCCTTTGTGGACTTGGTGCTGAGTGTGAATCTCTGTCCCTGCACTGGGACAAGGCCATCTCTCTGCCACAGCAGCCATGGAGGGAGGAAGCAGGGCGTAGGACCCCAAGTCCATTTCAGCCAGTGTCTGCGGAACTGATTCTTCCTCTGGCTCCTCCCAGGTTGAATAACCAGCTTTCTTCCCAGAGCAGGATGTCGTCTTGGACCTTACTCTCCCCATCGTCCCCAGCTCATCCCCAAGTCCTCCTTCCAGCCACTCAGAGCCTCCTGACTGGGGTCCCCGCGCATGGTACTGACCCTTCCCTTGAGTGCCTTCCTTCCCAGAGGATAAATTCTTAACACCTTCCCTCGCACATAAGATAAAATCCAAACTCCCTTAGCTTACATATAAATCCCCCCTTTATTCGAAACACAGGTGAAGACTCTACTTCCAGCTTGGCTCCTCATTTCCTGTGTGACCTTGAGTAAGTGACTTAACCTTTCTGGGGCTGGATTCATCACACCGTAAAATAAGAAACTAGAATAACTCTGTCAGGTGCCAGGTGCTGTGATGGGAGCGGCGGTCATCGCAACCAGACAGCTTCATTAAACGCCCCAGTGTTGGGTCCTTTACACATGAAGACTGGCTTGGGCTTTCGGATGTAGTAGTGTTTTAATAATATTGCACAAATCCTCGATTCACTTAAAGTACCTCATCTATATTAAACACATGTTAAGGAGGGAAGGTTGTGAGGGTCAGGTGTGAGGAGGGTGTTATGAAGTGTACACTTTGGAGGGAACTGTGTCCTGTGACCTAATCCTCACTCTCCATGGGAATGAACGGCCTCTGGCCACGGCAGTAAAGGACACGCTGTGTGTCGTACCTGCTCACACCAAGTGAAAGGGTTTCGTCTGAGCGAAGTGGCTCAGGTGGCTGGCCCTCGGGCGTAAGGCTCATGCTCGCGAAACGGTGCCATACCTCTCTCAGGTAATGCGTCATGAACCCGTCGATGACTCCGTCCTGCTCCAGTCCGATGATGAGGTTCACCACGCCGGTAAATCCAAACACTGCGTACACTAGGGCAGAGAGCAGTGGTTTACCCGGAGCGGCTCGGGAGACCATGGCTGCGAGCTGGCATTGTCCAGTAATAACGGACTGTTCTTAATGTTTTCCAGGAGGACCCGTGGACACTGTCAGCACGGATCCACAGAATATTCCTCCTGCACACTGGGCGGGACCCCCGCCTGTGTCGTGGATCCGACATCACTGCCCACATACGTTCACAGAGGGGACAACCGCTGGAGGTAAGAATGACAGACTCACCCACCAACTCTGTCCCAGCCTCCACCCCCTACAAGCGGCTGCCCAGGGCCACCCCTGCACCCCACCTGGACAAAACCTGTAGTCAGTGGCCAAAGCAAAGAGGTCACCACCAGGTTTAGAACAATGACTCGGAAGAAATCATTCATCTCAACGATTACCAAACAGGCCAACTCACCGTGTGTCTGGCATGTTTGCCCTGCACCACACCGGAGCTCCTAGAGACGGACAGGAGCTATGTGCAAGGGACAGTGGCCTTAAGGAGAAGGGCCAGTGATTTTAAGAGAAAGATACGAGTGGTACAATTGGATGTTCAAGAGGGAAAAGCCACAGCATCTCACAGCTTCTTCCTAGGGTGGTGAGAATCTCCTGACCGGGCTTAAAACTGTCAGCAATAAAGCGCCAAGGAAAAACACTTTCTAAACAGCAAGTGATCGAATGCAGTTGATCGATAAAGCCACATTTTCCAAGTCAAAATAAACTGGCATCCTAACCTATGTGATGGGCACGGACAGTGGAGAAATCTGACGGTGAAGATAGAAATGCGAAAGGACAAGCAGAGGAGAGAGGAGGAGGTGCCCTGCCTGCGGACCCCGCCTCCCCTGCCTCAACCCCACTGGCAGATTCGCTATCCGCGGTGATCAGCCAGTGTGTGTCTCCGGGAAAGGAAGCGTCAACACGTGATCAGTCGACTCTTCTACTGACAGAAGTGTCAGATGCCGGGTCAGAGAGGACAAGGACAGAGAGCTAAGAATGTAGGGACAAGGGTGCTCAACTCTCAGGAGTCAGGAGAGAGATGAGCGCAGCTAAGAGTTTCATACATGCAAACCGGGCGAAAGGCGTTACAATTCCTGTCCCCCCCATCTTGAGGCAGAGAGTGTTCCCGTATGGTTGAGGGTGAGCTCAGTCACATAATTTGCTCTGGTGAGTGGAATGTGTGTGAAAGTGACAATGGCCAGCGCCAAGCCGAGGCCTTAAGAGACACCGCTTTTTTCCCCGGGCTCCCTCCGGGGCCGCTGCCGCTGCCATGTAAAGGCAAACCCTGGGGAGCTGCTGGTCCAGGAGCGGGGGACGCACGGGACACCCTGAGTCCTACGGCCTGGAGCAGGGCAACCCCAACCGACCTGCAGACTCACGAGCAAAGACAATAAACATTTATGGCCAAGACAAGGAAACAGTCTAAATCTCCATCAACAGAGGAACGGACCGTGTGTGTGTGTGTGTGTGTGTGTGTGTGTGTGTTTATATCATATACTATGTAAAACGGATATTCTTTGGCCGTAAAATATGAAGGAAACCCTGCCGTTCGTGACCACAAGGCTGGGATCCTGGCAGAAGGACACCCTCCACTCCTCAACCCCAGTCCCCATCATACTCTGGCCTCCAACCTGGACTCGGTACCAGCTCATTCCGGGCTTCCAGCTGGAAAAGGGTGGGGTCCTCAGCCCTGGGGAGGCGCTAGCTTGGAGGAAGGGCCATGTCATCCTGAAACACGCCTCCTCTTCCTGCCACTTTACCCCTGGGTTCAGCAAATTCGCAGCCAGGGAGGAAAAGTGATGGAGGCCGCCCTGCTGAGCTAGTCAGTGGACACGGCAGTTTCCCTGCTGTGGGGACAGACGTACCATAGAACAGTGGGTCCCGGGGTGGTTTTCTTTTGACGAGGATTCGAGCCAACAGGGCCACCAGGAGCAGGATGAGGGCAGCAACCCCTACAATTGTCCAGAAGCTGCAAGGACCAGAACAAGGAGGAGGTCACTTATCAAAATAAACACGTTGGTGCCTGGAACTTCCTAGCTATTGTGTCAGTGGCTTCCAGCTCTGCCTCTGCCTGCAGCTCCAGCCCCATAGAGTGAATGACATTCACGCACTGCGGCCCTTCTGGGCCTCCCCCTGTGACTTTTGGGGACCAGAGCCGCCAGGTCCTCATTCTCTTGTCAGCCCACACCCTGCACAGGTGATGTGTCTGAGTGGCTGCTGCCTCTGCTTCTCCAACCCATTGCCCAGGGGCTGCCAGGCCATCTCCCTCAGTGCCAGCTAGAAACCCTCAGACTGCGCTCCAGCAAACACGCTGGAGTCACCGTTACGCACACCTTCCAGGGGGGTGAGGAAGAAGAGCCAAAGGCCATGTGAATACTCCAAGGTACCAGAGGACAAGGCTGGTCCAAGCAGGGGAAGAGTCGTGGCCAGACCTGAGGCCAGAATGAAGCCAGCCACCCCCACCCAGGGCCAGCTGGCCAGCATCCACCCCACGCCCAGAAAGCCAAGGCGAGGGAAGGCTGGGCACAGCCCCTGCACCTTCTCCTGGGAAGGGGTATGGCACCAAGCAGAACAGGGGCCAAGGCCCTTCCTCAGTAGGTAGCAGGAGGCCATGAGGCTTGGTGGGCTTAGCAGTCAAGAGACCTGAGTTCCAGTAACTAGTCTGCCACTGCCTAACTGTGTGACCTTAGGAATGCCGTGGCACCTATTTTATAGTCTGTTTATTAGTTTAAAACCATATTGAGGAAGAAAATATATTCTGCACCCCTATGTGACAGGCACTGTGGATGAACAGGAAAGGTCCCTGTATACATCGAGGGACCTATCTCAATGGACTCTGAGCTCTCCCACCCTGGAGGTCACCTCTAGTCCCACAGAGGGCCTCTCCCTCTGACATCTCTAGGACCAGCAGGCTCCCCGTTCTACATGAAGCACAACCTGACCCACTCCGATGGCCTGCCACACCAGAGCCTCCTGAACAGCCCTTGAGAGCAGCCGAAAGCACCACTTGTCAGCTGAGACCCCGCCACACCACCCCAGCTCGACATGTGGACTTTGGATAGCATTCACCATATAGCCCTGGGACTTCAGAAAAGTACTCTTCTCACTCACACGTTCCACAGCCCACCAGCACCTACTAGAAACTGGGGGACATACTCATGCTGACGTTCACTCCATGCACCTGTAGCTGGGATGCGAGCCAGGCACCACTCAGAAGTCTGCCCCCCTATGTCACAGTTGGAAAGTGATCCATCCAACCTGCAGGGAGATGGGCCCCAAGGAGATTGGCCACAGGTGCAGGAAAGCCACCTCCCCAGCACACAGAGAAGAGAGGCGTGGGCTCTGGATGTCAGCTATACTAACTAGACTTGCAGAATCAGAGTACTTCAGGGGTCGGGTATAGGAATATTCAAATTTTTTAAATTACCTGGATGAGTATGATGCTGAAAGTCTGCCAGAGGACCTCTGTTAAGGTGTAAAGAATTTATAGATGGATGAGGGAGAGAAGGAGAGGGACAGGAGGAGAGAAAGAGAGATGAATGATGGATGGATGGATGGATGGATGGATGGATGGATGGATGGTGGATGGATGGATAGATGACAGATGGTGGATAGTGGATGGATGATGGAGAATGGGTGGAGGAATGAATGGATGGATGGTAGATGGACACATGGATGGGTGAATGATGGATGGTAAACGATGGATGAATGGATGGATGGATGGTGGGTGAATGGATGGATGGCTTTGTGGATGGGTATTGGATGGATGATGGAAAATGGGTGGGGGATGAATAGGTGGATGGTGGATGACAGATGATGGATGGATGGATGGTGGATGTGGATGAATGAATGGTGGGTGAATGGATGGTAGATGTGGATGAATGGATGGATGGCAGAGGTGGATGGATGGATGGTGGATGAAAGGATGGATAATTGATGGATGATGGATGGATGAATAGAAGGATGACACATTTTTATGATAAGAATGAGTATGACCGTGGTGTCCAGGTAAGAGACTGAAATAGCCAGTTTCTAGTGGTGCACATAAGTGGGTGCTCCAGGCTCCTCCTGTAGGAATGAGTCGACGGAGGAGAGGATGGAACAGGAAGCTGATGCAGGTCAGGAATGTGATGCTGAGCTGAAGCATCCCCGAAGAGGGCAATGGTTAGGTGTGCTATGTAAGCCGACAGGCATATTAATGACAACCTGAGGCAGGAGGTGGCCAGGAGACAACCCCTATCCCTGCTCCTACAGAAGACCTCAGCTGAGAGCGGCACCATCTCGCAGCTGGGCTCTTCTGAGGCATGGAGGGCAGTGCAAACTGGTTCACAGCATCCTCTCCGCTCTCACCTCTAGAGGAGGAGCAAAGATGAAGAGAAACTGGGGCAGCAGCCGATCTGTGTCTCCCGGTGACAGCCACACGCAGGCCCTGCTCAGAACAGGGAGAAATGGGTCCAGCAAGGACTAGAGGGGGAGGGGCAAGGGGAAGGGCTTTGACTGACCCAAGGGGAAAACGTTGTTGGTCTTGGAATGGGGGATGGGGACGGGGCAGAGGTCACTGATGCCCTTCCAAGAACAGGCACCTGCTTAGAGGAAACGTATATGGGTGAATATGAGCAGTGTGTGTGCGCGTGTGTGTATGAGAGAGAGACCGAGAGAGAGATCCCGTCCCTTTCCTAACTCCTTAACCTAATCTGCTTTTTCTGTTTGTCAGGCTTTCGTAAAAGGTCTGGTGAGAAGGAATTAGCTTCAACTAATTTCAACTTAACTGAATGCCTCCTATGCACAAGGCCCTGTGCAAGCCAGGACAACACGAAGGTGAGCTCTGGCCAGGAAGGAAAATTCTGAGGCACAGTCGGGTGGGGGCAGGGGGGCTTGGAGGAGGAGAGATCACATCTGCTTGGAGGGAGTGTCTGGAAAAGTAAGAAGTGGTATTTTGCTCCAGGTCATAAAGTCCAGATGTGTCTCCCACAGTCAGAGACAGGGAGGAAGGGAGACCATCATGAGCAGCGGAAAAGAAGCAGGACAGTTAAGGAGTGTCCAAGGGTCACAGAAACGTCCAGTGTGGCTGAAGCGCTAGCATGACGGGCTGGGCTGGTGGGGCAGCTCACTGGGGCGGCTCGAAGGGACACTCTGCCATGGTCAGGTTCCGAGAGGGCCAGGGCCAGGGTGAACTGGAGGGAGGGAACAGATTGCTAGCCCAGCCCCAGGACTTATGGGGAAGGGGACAGTGGGAAGGAGAGAGGAGAGAAAGAAGAGGTCCAAGGCCACTGTAGGAGGGTAGGAAGAATGGATGGAACCGATTATTCGTAACTGCAGGACTCAGCAGTGTGCCAAATGATATATGTACTCAGTAAATGCCATTACCGTCCTCCCGTGGCTGAGGCCAAAACCTCAGGGTCATCCTGAAATGCTCTCCTCACCACACAATCCTCCAGTAAGCTGAGCTACTCTCCCGGCAAAACATCCTCACCACTATCCACGTCCCTCTGCACTGCTCCCTGTCCCCCTACCTGGATGTTCCCATGGCCACCTCCTGCAGTTGAAGGTTCACCTCCTCCAAGAAGCCTTCCCTGACTACCAGTTCCCTTCCCGGTCACTCTGTCGTGTTGCCCCATTTTATTTGTGGATATCTGTCTCAGCACATGCTTCCCCAGTCTTTTCTGGTTTGTTATATCCCCAACACTTAGAACAGTGCCAAGTATACAGTAGATACTCAATAAGTATTTGTTGAATTGCTTTAGAGGTCATTTTAGGATTGTAGGGTCCCCCGTGCACTATATTCAGACACGTGACATTCACTGCGCAGAGTTGCTTGCTCCAGGAGATGTGCTCCAAGACCGGGTCAGGCCAAGGGCAGTCACTGCCTGTGCCTAGGGAGAGTTCGGGATGGATGGATGCCATCTGGATACGGGAGGCAGCAAGTGGCCCCAACAGCAACAGAGGAGGAAGTCATGGCCCTGTGGGCCGACTTCTCCACAGTCTGAAAGTCTGGAGGGGTTTGCAGCCTGTAGTCTGATGTAATTTCCTTAGCACCAACTGCTGTGGGTAACATAACAGGTTACTTCCTCCTCCCGCAGCTGGAAACATCAGCAGGCACGAAGCCTGGCATCGCTCCCACTTCCAGACAGGCCTGTAGCTGCGGGTGCTGGGTTCCTTAGCCAGGGATCGCTCCCTGAGGACCGAGGGGCAGGGCTCTGAACCATGCCCATGTGCAGCCACCTTCAGCCCCACCCATTCCCTTAGCAGCACAGGCACAGCCCTCCCTGCCTCCCTGCTCCCCATCCCACCCCGTCTCCCTGGATCCTGACAATAGGATGCAAGTACAGGCCACTGGGCAGACCAGCAACTGAGGCCAGGCCACCGGGGTCAGTGCCAAAGGCAGGCCTAGACCCCATGGCTTTGCCCCTGGTTCAAGGCTCTTTCTGCTTGTCATTCTGAACAGTTTCTAAAATTAATAAGAGAGGATCAGTATGTGTGTGTCCATACATGGTAACATTCCCGTGAAATGCGAACGGAACAAGGCAGGGGCACAGCGAACAGGCACCGCACACAGCTGTGGGTGCCCTACCGCCTCCTCGGGACTCCTCAAGGGCAGGGGCATTGCCTTATTGACCCCTGCAACCCGGGAGCCTGGCACAGCGCCAGCCCCGAGCAGGTACTCAGCACTTGGCCCAGAACCGCGCCAAATGCCAAGGATGCCAGCCGGGGCAAGGACCCCTCGGGTGCCACCCCTCCCCACCCGCCTCCGCGCCCGGTGCGAGCCTTGAGCCAGCGACCCACGACCCTGCGGTGGCGGCTCAGCCCCAACCGAAAAGTTCCGGGGCTCCTGCGCCCCTCGGCGCCCAGCCCCGCACCCCACCCCTGCGCTCCTCCTACTCACTGTTGCTGGGCCGCCAGGTGATTGAAGACATAGGTGACCGGAATGGCCGAGAGGGACAGCACGAAGACCCCGGTGGCCGCAGAGGCACTCATCGCCGCCTGCACGCCGCCCGCCCGCGCCCCGCCCCTGCTTCCGGCAGCGCCCGTGCCCAGCCGCCGCGCCCCGCGCTGCCCCGCGAGCTGCCCCGCGCGCCCGCCGGCACGATCACAGCGCCCCCGTCGCCGTCCCGCGGTGCCGGTGCGCAGGGCTCCGTGCGCACCCAGGCGGCGCCCTCGCAGGCCTCCAGCTCAGGGCCGCCGCACGGGGCTGCGACAGCGCCCCCCTGGGGGACAGGTGCCCAGCCGCGCGCTCCGCCGGAAGGCAGCGGCACAGCCCGGGCGCCGGCGGTTGAAGTGCGGGCCAGCAGAGGGTGGAGCCAGAACTGGGGGCTGGGGGGTGTCAGCGCTGGCAGGGCCCCTGAGAGCATCCGCGTGCGGAACCCTCACCCAGAGTCAAGAAGGGACAGAGGACCCTGCAACCTCGGAACCTCTCCACGGAGCAGCCGTCAGCGGGCAGCGAGCACACTCCTTGCGTGGAGTGGGGATCCCGGTTTAAACCCCGAGTGCTCATTCAGCGGTTGACCTCTGTCAAGTTACTTAATGTCTCTGGTCTCTGTGTCTTTTCCTTTCTCTGTCAAATGGGGATGACCCAGGTCCAGGTGAGGGTGGAGTCTCTGTCCAAGTGCTTACCCTGCACCACTAACTCTGCCGTCGCCTGCAATTCCCATTTTTCGGATTGAAACGGACACTCGGAGGAATGCCATGACTCAAAAGACTCAAGCTCCATTCATGTCTACCCCAGGTGGCCCTCCCGCCAGACCTGCAGGGTACCAGGACCCGAAGACACGGCTCTGCACACAGGATGTCGTCAAACAGATGCCTACTGGTTATAGAGAATAATGAGTGCCAAGTATCCCCCTGGCTGCTTGACCATGTTGGGGAGGAGGTCTCAGAAAGCCCCCTGAGACTGAGCCTGGATTGGTTCACTGGTTGGGAAAGAGAAGGGAAATGAGTTTCAGATGGAGAACAGCTCAAGACAACCCAGGGAGCCCAGCTAGTGGCTCAGTGGTTGAGCGTGGACCTATGCATGAAGAGGTCACTGGTTTGATTCCTGGCCAGGGTACATGCCTGGGGTGTGGGCTCGATCCCCAGTAGGAGGCATGCAGAAGGGAGCTAATCAATGTTGATGCTTCTTTCATCGATGTTTCTCTCTTTCCCTCTCCCTCCCTCTCTCTCAAAATAAAATAAAATAAAAACAACAACAACAAAACAGGGAGACACATGTCCTTACAACTGCCAGTCAGTTGAAGAGACTGTGAGGAAAATGAGCTGAAAGACTTATGAGCGGGATTAGAGGCTGATATGATCCGAGTAGCATCTTTAAAGCACCTGGCAGCTGGTGTGGACTGTGGTTTAAAAAAAGGAGAGACAGGAGGCAGGAAAACCAATTAGGAGACTACAACAACTGAGATAATGAGGACCTGCACCAAAGCTATGGCAATGAGAGGGAAGAGGAGAGGACAGATATGAAAGGTCTGGAGAGGATTGTAAGAGGAGAAAGTTGGGAGGAAGGGGTTGGAGATGAGTTTGGTTTTGGACATGTTGGGTTTTCTGGTTCTTGTAGGGCTCCCAGTAGGAGCTGTTCCATGGGCGATTGGGGGTGCTAGTCTGAGGCTCCAAGGAAGGCATGGACTGCACATTATAGAATTTGGGGTCATCAGCCTAAAGATGTGGCTTAAAGTCAAGAAAATGAATTTGTCCTGGGAAGGAGTAGAGTCCAAGAGAATGATGAAGAGACACCACCTGAGAGGGGCTGGTCAGTGTTGCCACCAGCTGAGCAGCCCACAGGTGTGCAAACTCAATGGCAGAAGCATCCAACATCCCAACCCCGAAAGCTGCTCCCCCAGAGTCTGCCAGGGACCCAAGGGCCACAGCAAGCCTTGCGGTACTGTGGTATACACATTGGAGATGATATGGTTCTGTTGACAACAGTTTCTCTTAATGCTGAAAATATGAGTGAGTGGTCAGAATACCTCGCGGTGGAGACGACTGGCAGGAGCCTTCCCAGGTTTCTGGGGAGCTCACAAATCTGGGGACTATGACCCCATTCTGCAATACTACAGAACTCCGGAGACTATAAAGTAATTCCGCTGACATGATCTTCTTGGATCCTCACAACAGCTCGCTGAAGAATATACAGTCATTTATGGATGAAGCAACGGGGGCTCAAGGAGGTGAGACGATCTTCCCAAGGTCAAAAAGCTAAGAAGAGAGGGTGAATTTAAACTCAGGTTTTCTGACTATAAGTCCCTGTACTCCTGATGCCACAGCCAGCCAGCAGGAAAGAGCAAAGCACTACAGATTCAACCAGATGCCTCATTCATTGCCCAGGAGGCTGAGGTCTCTCTGGAGTTCTGCTCCATGTAGATCACTAATTGTTAAGTTCCCACTCGCTTGAAAAAGCGTTGGATATGACTTAAAGTAGAAGGCATTCAGACAATAAAGTTGTTTGATTTTCGTTTTTTTTTTCCCCCAAGAGCATCAATCTTGCAAGCCACAAAGGCTGTGAAATTTGACTCCAAGCTTCCCAGAAGCAAACCTAGAAAGGTGGACGTCTGCACACTGCCCAGTCCCTGAAGAGAAAGACCCAGTTCTTTGTCATGTCAATTAAAAAATAATTGACTTATCAGGAATTAAACAGAAGGTGATGGACAACAGTGATGGACCCATCACCATGCCAGTTTCTGCCCTGGAGAGGAAGTGAAAGAGGCACTTCTGGGAACCTGTCACTAGAAACTAAGAAAGAATGCTGCTGGATAGGCTAGTAGCACACAGTAAGGCTCTTCTGGGAGAGTAAAGTGGAAGTCAGCCCCCACTTCACTCTTGAGCCCCCCATCCATGGCTCTCTCTCTCTCTCTTCCCCTCTTTACATGCTCATCTCCCACTCTTTAATCCTTCTGACAAAAGTTGTGTTTGTGTGTCTATGTTCTCATGAAAGGTTGCAAGGGGCATTCAGACTGACTGATCTGTGGGGGAGTTTAGGGCCAGAACACCTGACCTGAGAATGACCAGGGCGAGGATGGTGTGCCTCAGTGGGAAGATCGCTAGGATCCTATCCGGAGAAGGGATTGCAGAGTGTTCTCAAAGAAACACTAAGCGACTCTAAACATTAAGTTACATTAAACGCTAGGTTTCTCTTCTGTAACCATGAGTGCCCTGACTAGGGCTGCAACTATTATCATGGATATTTTTGGGTAATGAGGGCTGTATGCCCAACATTAAACACAGTGCCAGGCATAGAGCACATGATCAATGGATGTTAACTGAAGAGAAAAAAGAGAGGAAGCAAGCAAGGTGGGTTTAAAAAAAAAAAGTAGAAAGAGAAGGAGGAAGTCTGCAAGAAAGTGATAAGAAAAATGAAGGGAGAGGTAAAGTCGGTGTGCAAAATGTTTGTCAAAAGGCCTTGTGCAGTTGCTTGATGAGGTCTGTGCCATTGTCCAGGGTTTCCTAGCAACCAAAGCAAGAGGAAAACACAATCAGTGATCACGTTCACAGTGCCCAGAAGACAAAAGCAGATCAGACGCTCAGAAGAATTCTCCTATGGGTCCTCTCAAAGGGGAGCACTGTGTCATATAGTGTGTCCTCAGCAACATTCCCTGCAGTAAATATAGACTCTGATTCTGAGCAGTTGTCTCTTAGCACAGTCTCAGTGCCAAGAGCCCCTCAGTACACTCACAAAGTCAGAAGAATTTCACACAAATGAGCATCTTTCTGGTGCTTTAGCTTGGTTCAGACATAAATGTTACAATGTGTGGGAAATACCCTCTTGGCGAGCACACCATCACTTCCAGTCCAAGCCCAGGACAGGCATCACAAGTGGTCACTAAACTCTCTCCCATGGATTAGACATCAGCTCAGAGACACCCCCCCACACACACACACACAGGACACATTGATAGGGTTCTCATATGCCTGCTTGAACCTAGCTGTCTGCTCTGATTAAAGCATGCTGATGAATATCCTCCAGCCAATGCTCTATGAATATTATTTCTTATAATAATGTTTTTGTTTCATTTTGTGTGAATCCTCACCTGAGAGACATCGATGTGAGAGAGACACATTGATTGGTTGCCTCACACACGACCTCAACCAGGGCCAGAGATCAAACCTACAACTCAGGTATGTGCCCTTGACCAGGAATCAAACCTGCGACCTTTCAGTCCAAGGGCCAATGCTCTAACTGCTGAGCCAAACCGGCCAGGGCAATAATGTTTTAATACAAATGAGGCAAGGGGGAGTTTGAAATTATAGTGGCTGGCAAGAGAGAAGAAATATTCTATGTTGATGAGGACAGAACATTGTGGTGTGACAGGCAAACAGATGGAGGGTAAATTGACATTGTTGCATGAAAAGGCTGAGTCCCAGGACAAGGACTATATTCAAAGCCAAGGTGGCTGCAGTGTTCAGACTGCCTCTGAGGTTAAACAGAAAGAAGAAAGACCTCGTATGTTAGGGTTTGGGTTAGACAGAACTTATCTGAGGAGAGACAGAAGGGCTTCCTTGACACTTCCTCTCTCTAGATGCTTTTCAATCTCTGATTCAAGAGTTAACACAAGGAGAGTTAGTATGATTTTTTTAAAGGAAAAGAAAGATAACACAGTAATTGAAACAGGAATAGGGCACTCCTGGTAGACCAGAAGTTTGACAGACACATAGAGGATTCTGGTAGCTTTTACCTTGGTGGCACCCTAAACCACACTGCCCCTACCACACGGACTCCAGACTTGGCTGGCTTTGGCCAATGAGACATTAGAATGCAGAATGTAAACAGAGGGTTATAAGAATTTGCACCTTACAGTTTGTCCTCTCATGCTGCTCTTTCTTGTAACCCAGCTGCCATGCTGTCAGGAGGCTCAAGCAGCCACGTGGAGAGGCCAACATGGAGAAGAACCAAGGCCTCCAATCATCAGCCTGAGTTGAGATCCCAGCCAGGAACCAGTACCTACATGGAAGAAGGTTGGCTGACCTCCCAGTCATCCCAACATCACCACATAAAGCAAAAGAACTGCCTGTTCAACCCACAGGATCATGAAAAATGACACACTTTTGATGTTTTAAAGTCTTACATGGCTTGTTATGCAGCAAGGGATAATAGAAAAATAGAAAGCAGTGATGGAGAAAGAATCGCTGGTTCGATTCCGGGTCAGGGCACATGCTGGGGTTGTGGGCCCGATCCTCAATGGGGGACATGCAGGAGGCGGCCAATCGATGTTCTCTCTCATCGATGTTTCTCTCTATCTAAAAGTCAGTAAAGAAAAAAAAAAAAAGACCCAGGCAAAGAGAGTGTCAAAGTGTGAGCAGTCATCCATCCAACGAGGTCCAATAAAATGACAGAAAGAGGCAGTTAGGAGATCAGCCAGCCAGCAGCCTTCACGGAGTCAGTGGAGTGATGGCCAAAGGCAAATTATTGTTGCTTGAGGAGTGAAGATACTGTGACACGAAAGAAGGAGAAAGGGGGACACTTAGAGGCAGACACAGGGTCAAGGATGTTTTTTCCATTAGGGGAAATAGTTACATATTTGTGGGTACCAGGAAAAGGTGCCAGTAAAAAAGGAGAGGTTGAAGTCACCAGACGAGAGAGAGAAAGAATTAAGACAGTAAGGTGATGAATATTCAAGAGCAAAGTTGGAAAAATCAGCCTTGAAAAGAAGGGAAATTTCTGAGGTGGCTGGGAGAAGAGCAAGCTGACCTACTTATAACCGGGTTGATCTAGTTTCTGTACCTGGGAAATGAGCAGCAATGGACATAATGAAATGAAATGTGTTCACATAATTAGCCTGGTCTATATTTACTTCCCTGTAACCAGAGAGGCAGCATATTCTAGTGCTGTGGACTCAGAAACCCAACCTGCTGTTTTGAATTTCATTTCTGGCCATGACACGCTTTTTCGTGGAAGGTCATATTTATATCACAGCAACTGTACTCTCAGTCTCCACAGCTTATTTCAAAGATTCAGAACACATGGGACACATAATTCCAGCTCTTTAATGTCCCTGGAACCTTAGTAAGATTTTCATGGACACGACAACAGCATTGATAATGTGTGGTAAACTGGATTAATTATAGTTATTTATCTTATGCTTGATTGTATCAGAATAGTAGGTGAGACAGCAAATAATAAAAGTACAACTGTGAGTGGTGGGCACACAATGCAATATACAGATCGTGTATCATAGAAATGTATACGTGAAACCTATATGACCCTATTAACCAGTGTCACCCAATAAATTTAATAAAAGTAAAAAGATAAAAGTACAACTGGATAGTTAAAATAGATTAAAAAGAAAAAATTGCAACTGTGACAGATATTTGAAAAAGATTTAGCCTCCATAGTAATTACAGAAATGTAAATTTTAAAAAATGAGGCGCCATCTATTAAATAATCCAGAACAAAGTCAAATTATGAAGTCTATGCAGGGCAAACGTTAGGAAAATAGTAATACAGAATGACCAGGGAATATTTTAATTGGTTCAGTTCTTTTAATAGCTGTGAACACTTATTGAGCATTTACTCCGGATCAAGCACTGTTGTAATGTATATTCATCCAATCTTCATTTAACCCTCCAAGGTAGATGGAGTCACTATTATCCTCTTAATTTTCCAAATAAGGAAACTGGGGCACAGCTGGGTTAAAGAAAAATTGCCCAAGGTCATGAAGAAACTAAGTGGCCGAGCTGTGATTCAAAACCAGACAGATTGCAAAGTCCTGCTTTTAATTTACACTGTTACCAGTAGTTTCCCAACTTCTTCAGACTCCTTACAGCCCCCTCCCTGTTTTTTTGTTTGTTTGTTAACCCCTACCTGTGGTTATTATAGGAGGATATTTTTTCCATTGATTTTTTTAGAAAGAGTGGAAGGGAGGGAGGGAGGGGAAGGAGAGAGAGAAACATTGATTGGTTGCCTCCCACACCCACCCCAACCAGGTGGGGTGGGCAGGCATCCAACCTGAAACCCAGTAAGGACTGGAAATCGAACCCACGGCCCATCTGTGTGAGGGGCCCAGGCTCTAACCACTGAACCATGCCAGCCAGGGCTCTACCTGTTTTGTTTTTAATTTTTGGAGCCATACCTCTAGGAAAGGCTTCTCAGAAACTCTTGATCCTAAAGAGTTTTTTTTTTTAGGGCTTAGGTCAATCATATCTTTCTGAAAAGTGTTAATGCTCACTTGGAAACAGGTCAAATATAGGGAGAAAAAAAAATACCCTGTGGGCTCAAAGTTCTTAGAGCTAAGACTGCCATGTGTTAGTGTTTTCACAGTGAAGTTTGGTAAAGGCTTGGACTGGTTTAAGATTTGCAAGAAGGGAAATCTTGGTTCCTCCTGACTTTTACTTCTCTTCTGCCCTGGAACACAAACTTGGTCATAGGCATAAATGCAGCCTTATGAGGAGTGGGTATTATTTCACATGCTTATTGGTCTCTGATGGACACATGAGTCTTTATCTGCCTTTAGCTTCTTGACCTTAGCTTCTATTTATACCGATGATACTCATCCTTTCAAACAGAGGGTAACCCAATAGCAGCTCCATTTTCATGCACTGCTGAAATATAAAAATCCTGAGGACATCATAATTGCCTTTTATCTATTATAAATGCCTTCTTTTTCTTTGGCATTAAAATAATTTCCAATGTAGAGCGCTTCCTCCTGCCTTTTCTAGAGCTGTACTAAATGTTTCTTTTTTTGTTTTGTTTTTGCCAATAGGGCTGTTTCTTATATGCCCTCACATTTGTTCTAATTATAAATTAGCACACATGGTGACATGTACGACTTTCCTAGGCTGAATTCCAAAAAGCAATGACAAGCAAAGAAAGGAGAGCTTCACAGTAAGCTGAATTTAGTCTAGGGTATTGCAAATTGCCTTGGCTGCTGCTTTTTTTTAATCCAAAGTTTTATTTCTAGCTGCACAGGTCATTAACGAGGTTCCTCCTTTTAATTAGCTTTAGTGCGAGTAATGTGTTCCAGTCATCTCTGTTCTGTACCTCTCTCACCCCTAGTGCCTTGCACATAGTATGCATGAGTGTTGAACTGGATTAAGTTGCATTTAGTCAAATGAGAGGTGCTACCTAACAGCATTTCAAAGGGAGTCAAAGAAATAAACTGCGTTTTATCGTATAGACCTGCTAGTGTCCTTGTTATAGCTGACCCGTTAGCTAATCGGTGTTCTGTCTTCTCTGTCTAAAATCAATAAAGACAAAAAATAAAGAAATAAAAGTCCATGAGTCCCCACGGATACTCAAAAACAGAACAGAAGAGAGCAAGGTGGAGAAGGGAGGCGCTGTTACAGGTCGGCGGGCAGGTGCAGCGGGAGGGGTGAGGACTCGTGCGTCCCTCTCACAAGCTCCCTTGGCCTTGCCCTTGCCCTCCGGCCCTTCCACTTCTAAGTGAACAACTCCCGGAGGGACAGCCCAGGGATCTGTCCCAGGGGCACACGGGGCACAACATCGGGGGGCGGGGGGGAGGAGAGCGGGAGCTGCGAGCGCTCCAGCTGTGCTGCGGCGCCTGCGGCTGGGCGTGGCCGCGCGCGCGCCCGCTGTGCGGCCGGCGGGGCGCGCGCAGCTGCGGGCGGGGGCGCGCGTCTCCCGGAAGCGCGTCTCCCGGAAGACGCGGGGGCGGGGCAGCGGAGCGGGGCAGCGGGGCGCTGTCGGCCGGGCGGCGGCTGCGCTCTCCGTGGCCCCGGCAGCCGCAGGCGCCGCGGGAGGATGGCCTCGCTCGGGCCGGCCGATCCGGGCGAGCAGGGCCCGGGGTCCGAGGCGGAGGCGGGCGCCTCGGGGCCGCCACCGCCGCCGTCCCCTCTGGGGCCCCTGCTCCCCCTGCAGCGGGAGCCGCTGTACAACTGGCAGGCGACCAAGGCGTCGCTGAAGGAGCGCTTCGCCTTCCTCTTCAACTCGGAGCTGCTGAGCGACGTGCGCTTCGTGCTGGGCAAGGGCCGCGCCGCCGCCGCCGCCGCCGGGGGCCCGCAGCGCATCCCCGCGCACCGCTTCGTGCTGGCGGCCGGCAGCGCCGTCTTCGACGCCATGTTCAACGGCGGCATGGCCACCACGTCCGCCGAGATCGAGCTGCCCGACGTGGAGCCCGCCGCCTTCCTGGCGCTGCTGAGGTGAGCGGCCCGCGGCCTTGGGGCGACCTTGGCCGGGGCGGCCGGCGCGGCCCTGCGTGGAAAGGCGGCCGCAGCTCGCGGCCCGACAGCGGGCGGCCCCGGCCCGTTCGCCCAGCGCAGCGTTTCGGCTGCAGGGAGGGCGCCCGTTGCCCGTCTCCTCGGACCAGGACCACGTAGCTATTTTTTTTTTCTTTGCAAAGAGACTCCGACCCTTTCCCCCCTTAACGCTGAGTGTGCGCCGCCAGCACCCAGCAGAGCGGACGCCGCCGTCCGCCAGGGCGGCTCCGCCGGCCTCGCGTTTCTGCAGACGGGGTCGCGTTGGCCCGAGAGCAGATCGGTTTTGCGTTTCGGTGGTTTGGGGTTCCTAGACTGACCTCTGATTAAGTTTACTTAATGGAAGGGAGCTCCTAGTGTTGCATCATCATTATTATTATTATTATTTTAATTGACAGCAGCCCAGGGAGGGAGGTATAGGGATCCCCACCCCCCATTTTAAAACACAATTTTACAAAAGGGACTGAAGCCCAGAAGAGGCAAGGAAACTGGCTCAAGGTTGCACATCCAAGACCACGTGAATTGCCTTGTAACAGGCTGGTTTTAGGTACCTGCGCGGAATGTGGTGTTGGGAAAGTCGCCGAGTCTGGGGTGGTACCCAGGCAAAGGCAGGTAGGTCAGCGGAACAGAAGGATGGCCTGGACCGCAGCTTAATCGGGAAGATCGGTGGGAAACTGAATGCAAACGGCACACAAGTGGGGAAGGAAAACGAACGTCCCCTTAATAAATGGATAAAGGACAGGGTCAGTGACTTAGGGAAAGAAGAACTACAACTAGTTAACAAAGAATGTTTAACCTCATTAGTAATCAAAGAAGTGCAAATTAGAAGTAAAGTACTTTGCCTCTTAAAGCCCAATTTTAATTTTATTATTATTTTCTAATCCTCACCCGAGGATATTTTTCCATTTATCTTAAGACAGAGTGGGAGGGAGGGAAGGAGAGAGGGAGGGAGAGAAAGAGGGGGAGAGAGAAAGAGAAATCAACAGGAGAGAGACACTTCAACTGGTTGCCTCCAGTAGAAACCCAGACTCTTTGGTCTGTAGACCAACGCTCTAACCGCCCAGCCAACTTCCAGGGCAATAATTTTATTATTATTATTTTTTAAATTATTTTTCACTTACAGTTGACATTCAGTATTATTTTATATTAGTTTCAGGAGTACAGTGTAGTGGTTAGACAATTATATAACATATGAAGTGATCCCAGTATAAGCCTAGTACTCACCTGTCATCATACACAGTTATTACAATATTATTGACTATATTCTGTATACTGTACTTTACATCCCTGTGACTATTTTGTAACTGCCGGTTTGTACTTTTTAATCCCTTCAACCTTTATCACTTAACCCCCTAATAAACCCCCTCCTTTTAAAAATATAATATTGGAAGAGCCCTCTCTGACAAATGTGGTGGTAAAAGTTGGGCACTATAAATCCCCCCCCACACACACGTAGGAAGTATTCAAGTGCTGAAAAAAATGTTCTGTACAGAAATATTTACAGTGGGATTATTTATAGTAGTGAGGAAGTAGTCAGTGGGAACCAGTGCAGCTACTAAGTGTGATACTTATGAAGACTAGGTAATAACATTAATGTGGAAAGTATGTATAATAGATAGCATTTGAAATTGTGCCCACTATGATTTAACTGAGAAGAAAAGGAGCAAACATACCTAGAGATAGGGAGAGAAGGCAACATATCAGTTTGTTAACCAAAGTTGTGTTGGAGTGGTAAGAAGTGATATTACCTTATTTTTTTCTTCTTGACGGGAGGAGGATCAGTGATAGCTTGTTTTGATTTTTCTGGACTAGAAATATTTTTCAGAGATGAATTGGTCCACCTGCATTGTAATCTCCTGGAGTGCTTGTTAAATTTGTAGATATCTTTCTTCCTTCTTAGAATATGTTTGGAGGTGGGACCTTGAGAGCATTTTTAATATTCTTCCTAAATACTGATCTAAATATATCGGGTAGTTTTTTCATTTAAAAAATACTGAGATTGCTAAGATAAGAATGTAGAGGGGAAAATGTTTATTCCATATTTTCACTGAAGCTTTCAATTAGTCCTTTCCCATCCATAGAAAATAAGTATGAATTAATTTTAGAGTCCTTGAAATGTTCTTATTCCGTCATTGTCCTATTCTGACGATGACATGCGGACTGATTTTTAAACTCAGGTACTGGCTGGCTGTGAAACAGACGCTGTGCATACCTATGACTGGGGCAGAATGATGTCTCATGGTTCGTTCTTGCTGAGGTGGAAAAGCAGGTTAGATTGGGCATACTTTTATTATGTTTACAGTTTGAATTAGTTAATGTTAAAGGCTTTTGAACTTGAGCTTGAAGCACTTTTAAAACACTGCTCATTTTGATCTGTCTGACCTTTCAGTGATGTTCTTTACTCGTTCATTTGAAAAAGACTGTGTGCCTCCCTGTGCCAGTCACTGTTGTAGATGTTGGATGCAGCAATGAACAAGAAAAAGTTCTGCCCATGTGGAGTTTATAATCTACTAAAGAGAAAGAAAGACAAATATTAAGTACTAATAAGTGTTTTGAAGAAAAAATGACCAAGTGACGAAGGAAGGAGCTTTACAAGCAAAGAAAAGCATGTTTAAGGCCCTAACTTTCTCCTGTTGGAGGAGCTGCAAGAGTAAAGCAGTGTAACTTGAGCAGAGTGAACAAAAGGGAAAGCGTGGAAGATGAGGTAAAAAGATAGGCTGGACAGGATCATGCAGGACTGTAGAGCCTGTGGAGACTTTGAGTTTCATCTGGTGTGTGGTGAGAAGCCTTGAGAGGAAGTGATATGATCCGATTTACATTTTTAGAAACTCATTTTTGCAGTTGTTTGGAGATTAAATTAGACTGTAGAGGGTGTGAAATGGGCAGCAGGGAGTTGAATTAAGAGGCGTTTGCAGTACGAGCAAGAGATGATGGTGGGCTCCAGCAGAGTGGTAGAGAGGGACGTGATGAAAAGTCATCAAATTCTGTATCTATTTTGAAGGTAGAACCAAGAAGCTTTCTAAGACATTGAGGAGGGATCTTAGAGTAGACAGAAATATGAACCTGAAGCTTAGGAAGAGCTTCCTCCTGAACATAAATTTGAAAGGTAAGAGTGAATGGTATTGCAACCATGAGAACAAATGAGCTGACCTAGGGAGGGACTGTGCACTGTGAGAGAAGAGGCCTGGGACGCGCCCTGGCTCCCCAGCCTGTAGAGTTGGAGCAGAGGAGAGGGAGCATGAAAGGAGAATGGGGGACAGCCGGAAGCAGAACTAGAAGTTCAAGAAAGGGTTCCAATAGAGAAGGGGCTGGCAATGACGTTACATGCTGCTGAGAATTGGGTAAAATGAAGACATTGAATTGGTTATTGGTTTTGACAAAATGGAGGCTATTGATAACCCTGGCAAGAGTGATGGCAGCAAACTGAGTAGAGTGGATTGGGGAGAAATAGGAGATGAGAAACTATTAACATCTGGATAAATAATCTTCTCAAGGAGTTTTGTTGTAGACGAACAGGAAAGTGGGGTGGTGGCTGGAAGGAGACCGCGGGTAACTATTCTTCAGGATCTTGTCTTCACGGTCTTCTTCCGTTTCCCCCAGTGGCATCTCAGACTCCCTTGCTCTGTGCCAGACTTCTGCTCAGCTCCAGAACCAACGGGATATTCACAGACATCTAGTACTCATGCAGATGAACATGTCAATAATGAAAAGATCTGACATTTAATGACTGCTTGCTGTGTGCCACTTACTCTTCCTAAGCACCTTATGTGAACTCACTCAAATTTCAGAACAGTCTTTGAGACAACTGCACTTCTTATTATACCCTATGTTAGTCATATCGTGCCGCAATAACTCTATAAAGCACTCTAAAACGCAGGAACTTAGAAAAATGATCATATAGTCTTGCTCAGTGGGTCAGTTGGGGATTGATCGAGTGGGGTTGGACCCAAATTGTAGTTTGGTTCCAGTCTGGTCCACCTGTTTCTTATCCGTTTTGGACCAATTATGAAGGTTCTACCTCCTCCTCTTGTTTTTTTTTTTGTTTGTTTGTTTGTTTTTCATTGCTGCAACCACTGTCTTTAGATTTAGCACTCTCCATTCTTCACTCTGTTAACAAAGTTCTCTCGCTAAAATCCAAGTGTTACCATATGATTCCCCTGAATCTTTTAATAACTTAGTTTTGCCCATGGGATGCAGTTTAAACACTTTGGCAAGTACACAAGACCTTATGATTTGATCTCTGTTTCTTCCCCTTCTTTTCCATCTATTCACTGCCCCAGCTGTAACTACCAGCAGCCTTTTTCTTATTTTAACGCCAGCCTTCTAAGGCCTCCTTATCTTTGTACTTCTCAGTCTGTCTGGAAGAGCTCCACACTTAATTGCTACACTTCAGATCCACTTCAGGCTTTGCCTCTTCTATAAAAACCATTTAATTCCACCCGTAGACGGAATGATGCAGTGCCTCATCTAATCTCATACCAAGTTTGTACCTATTGCTGTAGAACAAACCACTCCAACGCTCAGCAGAGTGGTTTTATTGTGTCACAGTTGTGTGGGTTGCCTGAGGTCAGCTGGAAGGCATCTCCTTCCGTCTTTCATGTAGTCCAATCTGGTAGCAGTTGGGGCTGGAGTCATCTGGAGATTTGACTGACTGGCTGAGCATTTTTTCCTCCCTGCGTGGCTTCTGCAACTGATCTTTTCAGCTGGGTAGAAAAGATTTGACTTCTTGAGTAGCAGCTCATGGCTTCTGAGAGCACAAAGGGGAGCTACCACGCATCCTCAGAGTTTAGGCCCCAGGCTGGCATAGTGTCCCTTCTGCCGCATTCTGCTGGTTAAAGGGAGTCTCACAGGACCAGCCAAAGGCAATGTGACAAGAGCAGTTTGAATGGGTTAGAGGGATGTCTCATATAGAATAGTTTAAAAACACAGTTCTAGGTGGAAACAAACAAACAAACAAAATAAATAAAAACACAGTTCTCTCTTATTCATGGAATGTTCTTCACCCTCCTTTCATCTTTAGCTTTTCCAGGCCTCCCTTTCAGGGCCCCCAGTTATAGGTGCTTATAGAACACTGTACTTAACTTTGGGGAACTTCTTGCCTTAAGTTTCAGTGTACTCAAATACAAAAGCAGATGGTAATAAAGACACTATACTTATACTCTATATTTTATAACTTCAGTAATTTTTTCTTGAAAAAAATTTAAGGCAGATTTCAAAGTTTCTTCCTGCCTTGCTCTTAAAACAAAACTTCATAGGGGAGAATTAGGATGCTGGTATTTAGAGATTTCAGGGTATTGGCATTAAAGAAGAGTCCCCAAACCTAAAGGCTTATTCCCCTCTTAATGCAAGGTGCCAGTCAACAATCCTCCCACCTACACAGAGCTCCCAGCTAACCTTTCCAATTTGGGGATGGTTTTGGCTGGAAAATGACCTAGTTATACAACAACCAAGAAAACATACCAACTACCAGAATACTGGAGATAAATCATTTGACATATAAGGAAAATAATAACATGAATGACAGAGACCAAGAAGAGCTGATTCTCAGGAAAATAGGTAATTCAGGGAACAGGCAATTCTAGGAACTTTTAAAACTTGGTTGAGCCCTGGCCAGTTTGGCTCAGCAGTTGAGCATTGACCTGTGGACCAGAGAGTCCCGGGTTCAGTTCCCACTAGGGGCACGTACCACCAAAAAAAAAAAAAAAAAAGGTTGATATCATCCTGAAGACCTGAAAACATTTTTGCATCCATAAAACTGATATATGATGAAGGGGGGGAAAAAGGACCGATCAAGAAAGAATCAAGAATTCTTAGAAATGTAAAGGTGATTGCTGGGGATAAAAACAGAAGGGCTAGAAGAGGAAAAGAATGGAGATAAAAAATGAGGCGGTATAAAAATAAATAGCCAACATTTGCTGAGGCCAAGTCTTTGTCAGGCACTATCCAGAACACTGTATTTTAATTTATATTAGTCCCTACCAGAGCATTATGAAGTAGATACTCTTATTCTCCTTCAGAGAGGAACACAATGATAACCACTTGTTTAAAGCCACATAGCAAGTGATGACAGTTTCAACCCCAAGCCGTCTCTTCCTGCACCCAAACAGTGAAAACAGCCTCTCCTGGTTGGCCTGGTGGTCAGGCGCACAGAAATTGTATGTTAGGTCGTCAGCTCTGTTTCCTCAGCCTTTGTTCCCCATCAGTAAAATGCAAGTAACAACACCTGCCTTCCTTGTGCAAGAATCAAATGAATTGGCATGTCAGGTGATAGACACTCAACACATGTTCGTTTTCTCTCTTCCTTTTATTCATCCTCCCACCCCTGACTGTGAGTGTACCTTAGCTGGCTTTTAATTCCCTGTCCTTATCACAGAGTGTGGCACATGACGTTAGGTGAGTGTTATGGTGGTGACACGGATGGCTGACTTGAGTCTCTAACAGGAGGTTTTGGAAACTGTAACCCTGAAAAACAGCAAACTTCACTTTTAAACTTGAGATGTAGGGGAGCATGAGAGTGAGCGGCCTCTACTTGAGGCGGTTAAAGGATAGGGTTATTAGACAAATGCCAGCATTTGGTTAGGGGGAAAGTTAAGGGATGTAACAGGCAAGGGTTTCATCTTGGGTGGTGATTCTGGCTGTAGGAATAAAAGAAGAAATTGAAAGGTGGGGGCTGGGGGTGGGGACATGAAATAGAACGTAACTTTCCTCATGTCTTCACTGTAATAGACTGCTCTGAAAGAAGTTAGTGGGTTCTTCCAAACTTATTTTATGACTGAGTCCTGGGAGTATAAGTGTGATGAGTGTTCTAAGTCTTCAGTATCGCTACAGTGAAATACTTGTGCCTGATGCCATCTCCTCCAGCACCCTCGGCTGTTCCGAGCACAGCTGGGAACTGGACGGTACGCACAGGGCTCCCTGAGGAGCCACAAAGGGGGCTCAGATATCCTTCCACAAGAACCACCAGCCTTCACTTAGAACCTTCTGCTTGATCTACAGTTGTATGGAGCTGATTTACCTGGTGACCTACCTGAGACCGGCAAGCGGGGAGGAAAGCAGGATTGACCGGATAGGGTTTTGAGAGGACTTGGATCTAAATGCCCCAAAGCACATATCAACATGGGCTCATTAAGATGTTATTAAATTGTTTTATTCCTCCAAAGCCTCAGGACTCTAGTCTTGGTCATACATAGTGCTACTTCTGGGATAAGAATGAAAGGTTAAAAGATGCCCAGAATAAGAAAACACTACAGTCTGGAAACACATGAATGTTTTGACATTTAGAGATGTGGACATCCTTTGATGAAGGAGAGATAAGTGAACCACTGTTGTTCAAAGCTGCTATGGGGCTAAAAGACCTCTGAACATTTGGCTTGGAGATATGGGTCTGTCTCGGGACCTTGGGGAGACCACCTACCTCTCAGGATTGGGTAAAATAAAGTGAGATGATGTGTGTGCAAGTGACCTCTCGCTCTGTAAAGTCTGATGCACGTTTCCAGTTTTCTCATTGTCTTTTAAAACTATTCCTCTTGCCCTGGCTGGTTTGGCTCAGTGGTTAGAGCATCAGCCCACGGTCCAGAGAGACCCGGGTTCAGTTCCCGCTAAGGATGCGTACCTCGGTTGCGGTTTGTCCCCGGCCCTGGTTGGGGTTGTTTGGGTGGCAGCCACTCCATGTGTCTCTCTCTCTCTTCCTCTCCCTCCCTCCCACTCTGTCTGAACAAAAATGGAAAAATATCCTTGGGTGAGGATAAAAAAAACCCAAAAAACTATTCCTCAGAGCCCAGCCAGTGTGGCTTAGTGGTTGAGCGCCGATCCATGCACCAAGAGGTCACTAGTTCAATTCCCAGTCAGGGCACATGCCCAGGTTGTGGGCCAATCCCCAGTGAGGGGCATGCGGGAGGCGGCCAATCGATGTTCTCTCTCATCAGTGTTTCTATCTCTCTCTCCCGTTTCTTTCTTCTCTCTCTAAAATCAATAAAGAAAAAATATTTTTAAATTAAAAAAAATTATTCCTCAGAGGTTTAATGATGATAGGTTACTTATGTAAAACATTACTGACCATCTCTGCAATTTCCAATTGCTTTCCAGATTTCTGTATTCAGATGAAGTTCAAATTGGCCCAGAAACAGTTATGACCACTCTTTATACTGCTAAGAAATATGCAGTCCCAGCCTTGGAAGCACACTGTGTGGAATTTCTCACCAAGCATCTTAGGGCAGATAATGCCTTTATGTTACTTACTCAGGTAAGTCAATGTACCTAAGGTATGTACCATTGTAGCTTGAAAAATATTTAATGTTTCCTGGTGAATTAGTTCTAAGTAAATGTAATTTTTAAGTAAGTGTAATTATTCTCATACTACTATTCAGGGAAATATATCAGATGGATATGATTTTAGAATAGGGAAGCAATTAGTTAATACACTATCACATAGGTAAAGAAACAGAAGCCTTATAATGAGTAGGGTGCTATGACTCAAAGTTATGTAGCTGTTTAGTACTGGAGTTGGGATTTTTATTTTTGGAGGGAAGGAGAGAGGGAAACATCACTGTGAGAGAGACACATTGATTAGTGCCTCCTGCATGATGCCCACTGGGGCCAGGGATTGAACCTGCAACCCAGATATGTGCTCTTGACCCTTTGGTCCATGGGCTGACGCTCCAGCTGCTGAGCCAAACCAGCCAGGAGGAGTCTGTATTTCTTTTTTTTAATTCTTACCTGAGGACATTTTTCCATTTTTTGTTTAGACAGAGAGCGAGGGAGAGAGAGAGAGAAACATCGATGTGAAAGGGATGCATTGAGTGGCTGCCACCCGCACAACCCAACCAGGGCCGGGGACAAACTGCAACCGACGTACATGCCCTTAGCAGGAACTGAACCCGGGTCTCTCTGAACTGCAGGCCGACACTCTAACTGCTGAGCCAAACCGGCCAGGGTGGAGTCTGCATTTCTAACAGGCTTCCAGATAGTGCTAGTGTTCTGGACCACACTTTGAGTAGCAAGGGTTAACAGAGATCACTGTGGGACAAAAAAAGGAACTTTGCAGAGACTTGTTGGTCTGAGAGCCCAGTATTACTCCAAGTTTTTCTTTGGTGGGGTCATGTAAATTATCCAGCAAACTGTCCTGTGAACTTCTTGTTCCTGCCAAGTGAGTCATTTGAACTGAGCCCGTTCATTTACTGGGGAAGACCCAGCTTTACTCTAACACAAAGAGCCAGTATACTGTGCCAGCATGGTTTGCACAGGGAAAAACACTTCTCATGAAGTGATACAGTCATAGTGACATTTTATCAGAGGTAATACCAGACTCTAAGTAGCACAATAGAGTCCATGGGAAACTTGATATAGCTTGTATAATTTGAGTCACAGAAGTATTGCTTCTCTGAATAAAGGAATTTTTACAAAAAAATGTTTTTTTTTAGTAGACGATGAATTTTTACATGAACATTAGCTAAAAATGTACTTAAATATAGTTGAGCTGGCCATTTAGAATATTTGCTCATATTAGAATTTTAATTGTTAAAAATGTACTATTTTTCATATTTTAAAAATATGTGAACTGTGTTCCTAGACAGGAGCCTATGCTGGAAGGAAAAGTATTATTAAAAACTTGTTGGGTCAGTTGACAAAACTGAACATAGATAGTAGATAAAAATATTGTATTGTTATTTACCAAAGTTAACACTAATAAGAGACTATCCTTATTATTAGGAAATACACACTGAAGTATTTAAAGGTAAGGGTTATGATGTATGTAATTTATTCTCAAATGGTTCAGGCTCCCCCCAATATGTATGCATATATATAAAAAATATACATAGCCTATTTTCTAATGCATTACTTATTTTGATCATTAATGAATCCTCTGGGTTACATAAGGCAGACAATATCATTCCACTTACTACATACATATATACATCATTTATTTTATTGTATAGATTTTTTAATTTATATTTAGGGCTTAAATTTATTTATTTATTTTATTTTATTTTATTTTATTTTTATCCTCACCCGAGGACATTTTTCCATTTTTTGTTCAGGTAGAGTGGGAGGGAGAGAGAGGAACAGAGAGAGAGAGAAACATCGATGTGAAAGGAACACATTGAGTGGCTGCCATCCACACAACCGACCAGGGCCGGGGACAAACTGCAACCGAGGTACGTGCCCTTAGCGGGAACCGAACCCGGGTCTCTCAGGACCGCAGGCCGACGCTCCAACCGCTGAGTCAAACCGGCCAGGGCAGGGCTTAAATTTATTAAAAATTTGACAACACAGATTAATATAAATGAACTTGGTATATAATCTAAGAACATTTACAAACATTTGAATATTCTATAATTTTAAGAAATGTACTGATTTAAACATGTTGATATGTATATAAATATAATTCTGAATCATATTAGCTATATATTTAAAATTTAAGCCATGTTTAATGTATTCATCCCCCCCCATAAAACACAAATAACTTTTTAGTTTAGGAATGTTTATCATTTGTTCAGTAGCATCTGAGTTAGCGAATCCTTTGAAAATGAATTTTACTTTAAAATTAAATGAAAACTCATCAGCCACACAAAATAATGGTGTCATTTATGGTGTGGTTAATCAGTCGGCAGTATTCTCAGCAGGTTTCTTCACCATCCAGCAGGAACACCTCCGAGCGTGTGGTGTTTGTCCATGCTGTTACATTAAACAGCTGACACCAGGCGAGAATGAAAGACTGGCACACTTATTATCACGTCTCCTTTTTCATGTTACAGTTTTTTAAAATCTCATTTGAGCTTAGATTCCACTCCCCATACCCCCAGCTTTTTAACTTAAAAAAAAAAACTATAATATGCTTCCTGATAAAGCACATATAAGCTTGACTTCTGACTTCTTTAATAATTTTTTTCATTATTGAATTTAGAGAGAGTAGAAGGGAGAGGGAGATAGAAAAACATCAAAAAGAGAGAACATCGATTGGCTGCCTCCTGCCTGCCCCCCACTGAGGATCGGGCCCACAACCTGGGCTTGTCCTCTGACCGGGAATTGAGCCGGTGACCTTTTGATGCATGGGTCAACACTCAACCAGTGAGCCACACCAGCCGGGTGACTTCCGACTTCTTAAAGCCTAGATTAGCTTTGCTGGAATCATAACAGTCTGTACTGTTTTGCTCGGTATATATTGTGTCTTCTTTGCTAATTAGTAAGTTTGTGGATTTCATCCATATTGTTGTGAGAGGTTATAGCTTTTCATTCTCACTGTTGTATAATTTTCCATCATGAAACATGCATTTATTTGCTCTTCTGTCGTTAGGTCTAGTTTTTTTTATTAGGTTCCCAGAACTTCCATGCTCTAAAATTCTTGTATTTATTCTCCCCCCACCAATCAAAAAAAAAATCTGATCTGTTTGTACCAGTATGCTTGACAGTTGATATTACTGTTTAGTGAAAAGATCTTAAGACGTGGCTTTACATAATGGCTTTTCAACATAACTAGCTTGATATTAAGCAAATCAGAACACCTCTATGAGACTCTGTGTCCTCATCTGGAAAATGGGATAGTAATGTCTTCCTTACCTAAAAAAGGGTGTTCATTAAGGATTAAAATAAGTAATGCATAAGAATGTAGGCAGTGTATATATAGGCATGTGAAAATACAGATAACGGGACAGGGTGGTGATGTGAATTTATTATCTCAGCAGGATGCTTGTACTTTTAGCTTTTCATTTCTGGTTGTGGAATGAAAAGTTTTAAGAATATATAGATGTTACAACTATATTTTAAGTAGGTGTTTTTACATAATTAGCAGTTATAACTGACTACAGTATTAACTTTGAATATACACAGCCTAAAGATAAAATAACTATGGAAACAAAGTAATTGTCTTTTTATGTGTAGGCTCGACTATTTGATGAACCTCAGCTGGCTAGTCTTTGTCTAGATACAATAGACAAAAGTACAATGGATGCAATAAGTGCAGAAGGGTTTACTGATATTGATATAGGTAAGTTCACTATGAATTAAAATTTTACCTTTAAGTACAGTATAATGCCTTACTAGTCAGCCTTGATGGGTGAACTCCTTTCATTTAGTGTTTTTTTTTCCAGATGATCTAAGTCTACCCCTTTAAGAGTTTTGCTTTTTTTATTTTGGTGAGATATTCCTAAAAGTCTTAACTACCTCATTGCCTTTTAAAAGATGTCAAATCAAATAAATATTCATTTACTGCTCACATATGCACAGCATTATACTAGGGCCCGGTAAAAAAAAGAAAAGAAATAGAACGGTAAGATACACTTTTTTTTTATCTTCACCCGAGGACATTTTTTGATATTTTGTTCAGATAGAGTGGGAGGGAGGGAGAGAGAGAGAGAGAAATATCGACGTGAAAGGGACACACCGAGTGGCTGCCACCCACACAACCCAACCAGGGCCGGGGACAAACTGCAACCGAGATACATGCCCTTAGCAGGAACTGAACCCGGGTCTCTCTGGACTGCAGGCCGACGTTCTAACCACTGAGCCAAACCGGCCAGGGCTAAGATACACTTTTTCTTAAGGAAGCTAACATTTTGTTGGAGAATCAAGGAACAAATATGTGAAAGTTAAGATTTAAGACATTAATAGAAGAGATGGCATATGACAAAATGTGATTTTTGCCTTTTCTGGATTAGATATATAGAATATAATTATTATGCAAATTCAGAACATGAAGAGGTTACCTCAGGTTGGGTAGTGTTAGGAAAATCTTGCCAGAGGAGGTTCTGATAATGACTCTGGATAAGGAAGAAGGGAGGGCATGAGAGGCAAGTGGAACCACTTGAAGAAGCGTGTGGAGAGGAAGGTAAAGGCAAGGTGGCGTATGTTAAAGACTGGGTTCTACTATGAATGTATAGAAGGTTGCGGAATAGAATTTTTTAAAAAGTGAAGTATAGAGTCTAAAGTTTTAATTATCTAACCTATTTTTATTGAGATTTGAAAAGTTAATATAAGTAAGTTGGTTGGTATTGTTTTGTTAAAGAGCAAGATATTCCTAATTTATTTTTGTATTTTTTGCCTGTAGACACACTCTGTGCAGTTCTAGAAAGAGACACACTTAGTATTAGAGAAAGTCGGCTCTTTGGAGCAATTGTACGATGGGCGGAAGCAGAATGTCAAAGACAACAATTGCCCGTGACTTTTGGAAACAAGCAGAAAGTTCTAGGAAAAGCACTGTCCTTGATCCGGTTCCCACTGATGACCATTGAGGAGTTTGCCGCGGGTAAGGCTACAACTTGCCCAAAATCCATTTGAAAATATTTAAATGGTCAGTCAGCCAGTCTCCCTGTGTGAGAGAGGAAAAGAAGCTGTTATTAATTGAGGACTGGTCACTTTTCTAGTTACATGATATATGTAAGTGCATTTGTGTGTATTATTTTACGTAATTCTCCTAACAGCCCTTTAAGATAATATTGTAGGTTATATCATATATTAAAAATTTTACATATATATTTACATATATTGCAGTTGTTCATTTTTAATTTAGTTTTGCAATCTCTTATTTAAATTGTTTTTAACCAGCCTTGGGGAGGGATTTACTGGCCTCTTTTATGAGGAGCAGCTTTTATTCCGGGATAAATTCAAGCTGTTTGGAATTTTTCTGTCCTCAGAAACAGTGAATGGGGCAACTGTAAGATTTACGATATACCGCTTCCGGCTCTTCCGATTTTAGCTCCTGCTCTCTGCTGATTTCTAAACCCCAGAGCGAAAGCAGTATCCTATTTCCACCTCTAAATCTATTGCACTGTTCAGATTATAACCTTAGACAGGTAGGTATTCGGTGGGGAATAGAGAAGAGACAACAGCTCTGGCATTTTTCCACCATAGGGAATGACTCCTTTCTGGTGAACAAAAGTCTGTGGTACTCAAAGTACGTGAGTGACTGGAATAATCCAGGCTTTCATCTAAGCTTTGATTTATTAATGGTTTTAACACATTTTATTAGGTTAACCTCAAATGGATTTAGAAAAACATGATTAAATATATGCTAAAATTATCCTTGCTAAGATTTGTCTATCTCATTGTTGCTTTACATCTTCCAGCTCTGAAATCCCCTGTGGAGTATTACAGAGTTAGGAATTGAGGTTTATATTCCTATTTCTGCAGGTCCTGCTCAGTCTGGAATTTTATCAGATCGCGAGGTGGTCAACCTCTTCCTTCACTTCACGGTCAACCCTAAGCCCCGAGTGGACTACGTGGACCGGCCGCGGTGCTGCCTGCGCGGAAAGGAGTGCTGCGTCAACAGGTTCCCGCAGGTGGAGAGCCGGTGGGGGTACAGCGGCACCAGCGACCGGATCAGGTGTCTGTCGCCTGCTGTGGGCCTGGTGGAGGGCTGGGTAGCTTTACCCTCGTGCTGTGGGAGACAGCTCGCCAGCATGTCGTTTTATACTTTGTTTAACACGTTTCTCACTTAATACAAGAACCAGAAAGTCAGTGAGGCATACTGATCTCCTCCCTGAATTATGAGGAAACAAGTAAAGTAAGAAGGGACTGAGCTGGGCCTTCTGTTAGGAATTTTGTTTGGATTGCCACTGGGCTGAGCTGAGGTCGAGACCTGAATCAATCAAACATCGTTTTTACAGCTTAGAGCCACAATTTATTTCATACATTTAATCTTTCTCTGTTTAGTGTGAGTTTTTTCTTTACACAGACACTACATGGAAAAAGTCTCAGCATTTATAAAAGCTTTGAAAGGGGAAAAAAGTCTTAAAAGATGCATGTATAATCTGGTTAGGATTTTGTCTTTCTTTAGGTTAAATGTCAAAATAGAATAAGTACCAGTTTTCATAAAACATGCCTTTTAGATTTTCACTTATTTAATAGCACTTTTATATAAAACTGGAAACTTACAACAAGTTTGTCTAAAATGGGACTCTGAGAAGGAGAGGACCCTCATAAATATTGGAATAAGATGGAAATTAAAAATGCATTGTGGATTGTTTAGTGATCATTCACAATGAGAATACTATATCTGAAAACATATATAAAGGACAAAGTGGACAAAGTGTCACAAAAAGAAAGTCATAATTAACTACTTTTACAAAATAGAGTAGAAATTAAACATTCAACCCAAGTAGATAGAAAATGAATAGCAAAAACAAACAAAACCCACAAAAAGGGAAATATAGAAATTAATGAATTGAAAATAATAGAATTGATAAATCCATAAGCTGGTTCCTTAAAAAGACCGATAAAATAAATAAACTTCTGGCAAAAGTAGTGAAGAAAACAAACTTACATTTGGAAATAATGGGAATTTAATCAGATATTGAGAAGATTTTTATTTTAATTCTGGGTTTACTCTGTGCTAATAAATTGAACGTCTTGATGGAATGGATCATTTTATAGGCAAATATAAATTATCAAAATTGACTGAAGAAGAAAGGCTGAATAGACCCATTACCATGGAAGGAATTAAAAGTTATCAAAGAACTGTCCCTTCACAAGGTGGTTTTTACAGGTGAGTTTTATCAAAACTTCAAGGAACAGAATTTCCTTGAGCATTAAAAGAAGAAAATGCTTATTAGTTAATTATTGAAAGAACTATAATCCTTACACAGGAATTTGACAAGACAAAAAATTTATACATTCTCACTTTTATAAAGAAGAAATTCTATGTAAAATATTAGTATATTGTCTCTAGCAGTATCTTGGAACAATAATACTGTATGAGCAAATAGAGTTTATTTGTAGATTGAAAGAATGGCTCAATATTAGGAAATATATTTAATTCATGACAGTAGCAAATCAAAGAAGAGAAACAATTTGATTATTTCACTAGTTGTCAAAAAGACTTGATAAAATTTCACTTTCGTTCCCATGTAAGCAATTAATAGACTGGGTCTCAGAACACTGCTTTAAGATGAGAGACTATTGAAACCTCAAGAAAGATACCTGCTGACTTGCTGTCTCCAGCAGTGTTCAAGGCTCGTAGTTACAAACAGGTATTTCACACAGGAATTCTGACACGACACTGGCACGTTGATTGGGACTCTGTTTTGGGAGACTGTCCTGAGCATTGCGGTCAATCTGGAGTCCCTGCCTCCTGCAGTAGTGCCCCAACCCTTTGTAAAAACAGAAGTGTCCTTGTGGCTTTTGAGAACAACTTCAGCATCAATAAAAATGTATTAGGATTAACAAAAGAATAGTGACCACTTACAAATTATATATGCAGAAACCAATGATGTTTCTATATATCATCAAAATCCAGTTACAGAGGTGGATGGTGGTGATGGTTCACAACAATGTGAATGTACTTAATACCACCGAAACCTACACTTAAAATGGTTAAGATTGTACATTTTGTTATATATTTTGCCACAATAAAAAATGTTTAAATTTTCAGTTACAGTATTGAATATAAACAGATTCCACTTATAATAGTAACCAAGAACATAAAGTAGCAGGATTAAATCCTGTAAGAAATGTACAGTATAATACCTTGATGAAGAACTGGAGAACTTAGACTAGAATCAGTGTCTTTCCAAACTGAGCAATGTATGTTACGCAGTTCCTTTTGTAAGTCATGTTTTTGTTGGGGAGCAGTAGCTTGAAAAAATTATTCTAATGGTTATCTCAAAGACTAAATAGTTCTTTTCTAAAGAGTGGTATGGACCAGCTCTACCTATTGTAAAGCTGTGATATGTCTGTGTTGTATGGAAGATACTACAGAGTTCAAAAACTAACCTAACAAATGAGCATTTAGAATGTGAGGGAAAGATTAACCACTGGGAAAGTGAAGTTAGATCCTCACTGATTCCATCTACTGATAATTGTATAAATTAAAAATTTAACATTAAATTTAACATTTAACATTAACATTTTCCTGCTAAAGCCATGAAAATACTCGGACATGGGACTGTTTATTATGAGGAGATAGGCCTCTTTAAATCGGGCATAGATCATAATTTGACTACAAAAAATTCAAAATTTGTATGTCCAAAACCACTATAAAGTTAAATGACAAACAGGAAAGCTTTTTGTAATGGATATTACTGACAAAGCATAAATAACTATCTAACATAGTCTTTCAGAGAAAATTGGGGAAAGAACATGAGTATTTCATTAAAGAGAAAATCCAGTAGACAGTAATCATATGAGCAAATGTATTAACTCATTAATAATCAAAGGAGTATAAATAGAATTTGTTAAACATCAGTTTCTCAGTGGCAAAAAGAAATGAAAATAATTGTGGTTGTTGAGAGTAAAATGGAAATGATTTTCATTTCTTGTGTATGTAGAGTGTTATAATCAATCTGATCATGTTTAGCCAAAGCCTTAAGAATATAGCCCTGCCCGGTTTGGCTCAGCGGTTAGAGTGTTGGCCCGCGGACCGGAAGCCCAGGTTCGGTTCCTGCTAAGGGCACGTACTTCGCTTGCAGTTTGTCCGCGGCCCTGGTTGTGTCTCTCTCACGTCGATGTTTCTCTCTCTCTCTCTCTGTCTGTCTCTTCCTCTCTCTCTCTCTCTCTCCCTCAAGATAAATGCAAAAAAAAAGAATATGCCTTTCATTTTTCTCAGCAATTCTACTTCCAGGAATTTATTCTCAGGAAATAATTAAGGCTCTGCAAAATGATTTAGTTGTAAGATTGTTCATCATGGTATTGTTATATAATAACAAAACCTGTAGATACCTAGATTATCTAGTAAGCAGGGGTTATTTAAATATAATGAATTGGTACTAATCTTTTACCTTTTTATATGAAAAAGAAGATATAAAACATATACTGACATGATTTTGAAAATAATACAGATATGTTGATAGAAAAAAGTCTATTTTCCTATTAAAAAACAGAATGAAAAGGAAATGTACCGAAGGGTAAATGGGGGTTCTCTCTGGGTGGTGGATTCCGAGATCCTTTAAATCTTTCCTCTTGTTTGTTTAACTGCATTTTCTTTTCTTTTTTTTTAAGAGACTATATATATATATATTTTATAATAAGAAAAAATATACAAATAATACATTAAGAATTGTTCAAAGTAGTCCTCATGCTGTCCTGGGAGTTTAACAAAGTAGTAAGAACGTGGGCTTTTGACCCAAGGAGACCTGGAATTGTGTCCCCACTCTGCCACAGGTTTCCATCAAGGCAAGTTGATTTCTCTAAACCTCAGCTTCTTCAACTATAAAAACTGGATGATAAAAATACTACTGGCCCTGACCAGTTTGGCTCAGCGGTTAGAGTGTCGGCCTGCGGTCCAGAGAGACCCAGGTTCGGTTCCCGCTAAGGGCACGTACTTCGGTTGCAGTTTGTCCCCGGCCCTGGTTGGATCATGCCAATGGCGGCCGCTCGATGTGTCCCTTTCACATCTATGTTTCTCTCTCTTTCCCTCCTGCTCTATCTGAATAAAAAATGGAGAAATGTCCTCAGGTGAAGATAAAAATAATAATAATAATAATAATACTGGCCCAGCTGTTGTGACTCAGTGGTTGAGCGTTGACCCATGTACCAAGAGGTCACCAGTTCAATTCCCTGTCAGGGCACATGCCCAAGTTGTGGACCAAATCCCCAGTTGGGGGGTAGCGGGAGGTGGCCCATCATTCTCATTGATGTTTCCGTCTCTCCCTCTCCCTTCCCCTCTCTCTAAAAATCAGTGAAGAAAAAAAAATTTTTAAGTAATAATAAAACTGTGTTACTTAGATTATAGAGCTGTTATGATGTGATTAAAGGAAGTAATTCATGTGAAGAACTGAAGCTCAGTGCTGGGCACAGGAAGTGTTCTAAAGTGGTGGTTTTAACTTTTATGACCAAACTAGACCTGCTGATTGTTCTAGTGTGAAATCTCATTCTGCTTTATCTCTTAATTAGGTCCTGCCCCAGCCCTCCATCACCAGTATATGTTACAGCAGCCTGCTTCCGCCACAGCTCTTACCACAATTTATAATGGCCATTCCTTTGTTTATTATCAGTGTCCTCCATTAGGCTAGCAGTGCAGTAGGGGTAGAGACTGCCTTGTTGCCCATCATTTCCCCAGTGCCAGGTCCTCAGTCTGACAGGCTCTCAGTAAGTATTTACCGAACTAATGGATTGTTATAGTTTGGGATGCTGCCCTTCAGGCCTGGTGGCTGACACATCTGTTCATGAAGGAGATGTACAAACATATTTGGACAAAAATCATCATTATGATAAGAGTGGGTATTTAGGTTAAATAAATTCCTTTGACTCAAAAAAGTATAGTACAGAAAATAGGTTGTACTTCAGTTCCCATTAAGTTAAAATTTTGTTGCCCTGGCCGGTTTGGCTCAGTGGTGAGAGTGACGGCCGAGGACCAAAGAGTTGCGGGTTCATTTCCAGTTAAGGGCACGTACCTTGGTTACACTTTGTCCCTGGCCCTGGTCAGGGTCATGTGGGAGGCAACCAGTCGATGTGTCTCTCTCACATCAATGTTTTCTGCTCTCTCCCTCCCTCCCACTCTATCTGAAGATAAATAGAAAAATGGCCTTGGGTGAGAATTAAAAAAAAATTTAGAGTTTTGTTTCTTTTGGTAAGCAGATGATATTTCCAAGGATGTCTAATTTGTGATAGTTTTCCTTCTTATGAGCAAAATTAGAAGTTCTGGGTAACGCTTTAAAAAAGTTTATAAGCCTTGAGAATATGTTATTTTATATTTGATTCATTCTCTCAGGTTCACAGTTAATAGAAGAATTTCTATAGTCGGATTTGGTTTATATGGATCTATTCATGGTCCCACGGATTATCAAGTGAATATACAGGTAAACTGTTTTTCCCTACTGTATATCATCTTGAAATATAACAAACCTGTAATTTTACCATAAGATATTATTTTGACGAAATCTAAATTTCAGTATAATTATCAAAGGACGCAGAAAGCCTCTTAGTAGTATTTTAAGCCTGGAGAGTTCTGTGTTACAATTGATCAAAAAAAAATCTAGTTTCAGAAAATGGAGTCCTGGGTCCTTCACAGCAGCGTGAACATACAAGGAGCTCTCTTTCCTCCAGGAAGCCCCTCCATTGGTCCCTCCTGCTGTGGACTGACTGTCTTAAAACACCCCCTGCTTTTCTCATGGGACTTGGAACTCCACAGCCTAAAACTGTCTCATTCCCTCCTGATTTCCACGTATGTGGATATTAAAAATGTGAAAGTAGCCCTGGCCAGGTGGCTGAGTTGGTTGGAGCATCGTCCCATACACCAAAAGGTTGCGGGTTTGATTCCTGGTTAGGGCACATACCTAGGTTGCTCCAATCAACTGAGCCACCTGGCCAGGGCAATTTTCACATTTTGGTGGTTAGAGATAAGTAGAGAAAAAGTACAACACAGAGATATATAGTAGTCTATTTGCCATTTCTAAGGGTTTTATATTCTTTTCTATGAAACTTTTAGTTGGTTTAACTTAAATGTAATTTATTTATTTATTTTTAATTACAGATCATTGAATATGAAAAAAAACAAACCCTGGGACAAAACGATACTGGATTTAGTTGTGACGGGAGTGCTAGCACATTCAGGGTAATGTTCAAAGAACCCATAGAGATCCTGCCCAATGTGTGCTACACAGCATGCGCAACTCTCAAAGTAAGTGCTCTGGGGTGTTCCAGATGGTGAACCACGGGGCCCGTGTTTCCCCCGCATGCCACAGAGAGTGTTTTCAGCAGCAGCTGAGAGAGTTGGTGATAGTCACGTCTTTTCGGAAGAGGGAAAGATAGGCTGGGGAAGAAGTGCCTGTCAGCACAGCTCTGCTCTGCAAGAAGCGGTTCTTCGTAAGAAGTCGCTTTTTGAGTAGGAGATTGTGTGTTTGACAGAGAATAAATAAACTATTTTAAAAGTTTTTGATAGTGAGAAACATCAGTTTGTTGTTCCAGTTACTTATCCATTCACTGATTGCTGCTTGTATGTGCCCTGACTGGGGATCAAACCTATAACCTTGGTGTACAGGACAACGCTCTAACCAACTGAGCTCCCTGGCCAAGCATAACTATTTTCTTAAAATCATTTCACTATTTCTAATAGCTGTGCTCTCTATTCAGTAATTTTAATAATTAATTATCTTTGTATCAAAAATATTTTTATAAAATGATTTGGCATAAAATTTTATACAGGAGCTATAAGGCAACATAGTAAGTGATCATTAATTTAATTAAACCACCACCTTAAATTGAATGTTTATTAAAGGGAAATGACTAATGAACCTTTTGTTCTCATTTAGGGTCCCGATTCTCACTATGGCACAAAAGGATTGAAGAAAATAGTGCATGAAACACCTGCTAGCAAGACTGTTTTTTTCTTTTTTAGTTCTCCTGGCAATAATAATGGCACTTCAATAGAAGACGGACAAATACCAGAAATAATATTTTATACATAATTTAGCATTATAATACATCTTGGCTAAATAATACCATGCAGTCTAGTCTCAAAGGCATAAAAAAAACTGGCCAAAAAAAAAAATTGTTATGAATATTTATAATTTTAAGATAAGAAACATTTTAGTTTCTTAGAGGAAATAGATAAATGTTTATTTCAATCTCTATATAATTTAAACGCAGATTTCCCATTTTCTTATAATCTTCCTGGAAAAGAAAACTGGGTTTGTTTAAAAAAACACTACTTCAGCAAACTGGGTTTGTATAAAAAAACACACTACTTCAGCAAACTGGGTTTGTTTAAAAAAACATTATTTCAGCTTTATCTTGTATAATTTCATAGATCAACTTACTCATGATCTTGCAACAGTTTTATAATTGAAAGATTTTTGGTTTATATAGCTGGTTTGTTTTATTTGAATTATTTTGAAGGTTAGATGAGGTGAGCATATATAGGCTTAACTACTTGAAGGTTACATGAGATGACATGGGTCAGCATTCTTATAGAATTCCTATTAAATAACTAATTTTAGGCAATTAAGAAAACTGACCTTGTATTTGGAGTTTTGAAATATCTGGTTGTTAGCATTTGGAAAATTGCTAGAAATAGGCCTAATAAATGCCCAAGAAAATTTTTAATGCTTTTACAGAAAAAGATTATTTTGTAATAGTATACTAACGTGTTACATAATACAGCTTTAAACTGCAAATGGAGTTTGTACAAATTCACAATAATGTAATATAGCAAAGGACCTAAGGTAAAGTTTAAGACGAGTTTCTTCACCTGTGTGTGTGGGGGATGCCGCTGAGAGTCCCCAAGGCTGAGACGAGGATGGCGGTGATGGTGGTGACTGGGTAGACATACCTAAGTCAAACATTGGGGTGATAAACTTACACAGCAAGAGACGGAATAAAAGCTAACATTTCTAACAACTACTTTGAAACTTTAAAGCTATCCAGCAGTATCACTCCTGCTGAAGTGACACTATACTTTGTCACCTACACGATTCTATCCAAGAAGTAAAACGTGTTTAATATTCATAACCACACAGATGTCACAGGTACAGCTGATTTAGGAAGGGATAGAATGTATATGTGGCAGAATGATATTTATACACTTTTTTATAACACAAAATTTTTATATAAATTTCATTTTTCTTTATAAAGCGATTATCTTATAAAACTTACGCTAATTAAGTTTAAGGTATATCAGTTGTGGAAGATGATTAAAAAATCACAAGTATCAACTTAAATATAATTTTTTCTAAATAGTAATGAGGATATAAAATTTGTTCATTTAAAGTAGTATTTCATTGTACATTTTTAAGAAGGCAGTGAGGTAGCTTGTGGCAGAGGTCCCTTGAAATTGCTGAAGAAAAGGGAAATTTGTCTATCCCTGGTACTATGACCTTCTGGATCTAAACCTCAGTTAACTGGAATGTCTGTGGATGTGTGGTTCTGGTTAACCAGCAGACACTCTGTACTAACCATTAGGGAAAATACTTCTGCCTTAAGAAGGACGGTATGCTAGAGATAAGTTAATGTTTTCTGATGCTTGAGGTATTTCAAATGCTTCCAGTATGTCGCACTGAACAGTGATTGTAACTGAAGGTAGCTAGAGGAAACACAAGAAACGGAACTGTTTACTGATATAGGCCATCCCTGGACTTTTTAAAAAATAAATATTATCCATTTATTTTTGTCATTTGTCTTTTTCTTCTAAAAGTTCAGTGTAACATGCCATTTTGGCACAAGGGTTCTAGTTACTTGAGGTTTAATTTCTTTTTAATTTGCAGAAGTAATGCAACACAAGATGAGAATGCCTTGCTGCTTCCGTAAAGTTGGTCACAGGAACTGTAGCAAAACATCTGTCATCTGTTCCTTTTTTTTTTTTTTTTTTGTGGTACATGCTCCTAGTGCAAACCAAACCCGGGACTCTCTGGTCCGCAGGCCGACGCTCAACCGTTGAGCCAAACTAGCCAGGGCTGTCATCTGTTTCTTTCTTTTTTTTTTTTGTTCAGATAGAGTGTGGGAGGGAGAGAGAGAGAGAGAGAAACATCGACGTGAAAGGGACACGTCGAGTGGTTGCCACCCACACGACCCAACCAGGGCCGGGGACAAACTGCAACCGAGGTACATGCCCTTAGCGGGAACCGAACCCGGGTCTCTCAGGACCGCAGGCCGACGCTCTAACCGCTGAGCCAAACCGGCCAGGGCTGTCATCTGTTTCTTGATCAGGTTTTTGTGGTCTCAGGTCTTTCTCCCCTGTTGTAATCTCAGGAGGTAGGAAAATGAAGACTGTTTGTTATTTACTCTGTTGCAGTGTGATGACCACCTCACTGTTGTTTAGTATGAATAACAGCTATTGGAGTGATTACTGTGTACCAGACTTTACACTCAGTACGTACACACATTCTCATTTATTTCTCACGACATCACTATGAGGTGAGTACTGTTTAATACTCACTTCACAGGCAAAGAAATTCATGTTTAAAAGGTTATTAAGTGGTGGGAGTCAGAATTTAAACCCAGGACTGTCTCCCAAGTTAGAGTAGGGAAAATATTTTTCTGGGTTCCAAAGTAACATGTCACCATTTTCTCCAACTTCACAATAGGACCTGGCTAACCTGTATTTACTGTAGAATAGAGGTATTTTCTATCTTTTAAAAAGCATGATTATCCTAGTTATCTACTTCACCACAAATTGAGATTATTTATTTGCATTATCAAAGGATCCATTGTTTTAGGTCTACATAAGTAGTATCTATAGTTTTAAAGAACAAATTTACCTGGGAATAGGCAAGCTTGAGGACTTTAGAGAGAGCCAGGTCTTCAAGTGCCATGTGTGGCATGCAGTATGTCCAAAGTACACAGTCCCACTTCCCTTTCTAGTCCCATCTCCTTCAAACTGCTTTGTTCTGCTCCCCTGTTCTAGTTTCCCAGATTTAAACCCCGGTAATTGTCCCTTGAATTAGGCAAGATGTGTCCTTCCAAAGAGGGCATGCTGCCATAGTGAGGCTAGCCCCGGGGCTGCACTGCTCATTTATTCTTGTCTAGTGTGTATCCTTTAAGAACCCATTTTCTGCATTGGCAAAGCTAAGATGGAGTTTTTACATGGTGCTTTACTAAGAACTAAAAGAAGATAAAATAGGAACCAGTACAGACATTTATAATAAGGTTTTCTGCCATTTGGATCATAGCCCTTGCCCTTTGCCACAGCACTGGGCACTATCCCGCAGAGATTATGGGTAGAAGAAATAAGTCAGGGACAGTTTGGGTGGCAAATGGCGCTGATGGCTCCCCTCCCCTGCTCCAGTCACCTTCAGGAAAGCCTGAATGGTTCTTTACGGGCTCCTCTTCCCTGTCTCTCCACCCATCTAGGCAACTGCCAGAGAGCCCATTAATAATCCACCATCCCAAGTGCTCCTTTTATTTCCATCATAACTGTCAAAGCTCTAAGTGAGGCTGTCATGACTCAACCAATTCTCTAATACTGATTCAGCTTTTGTGCCTCATTTCTTAACTGATTTGAAACAAAGAAAATATGTCTCTGGTTTAGCACCTGGTTCACTTTTTTCTACCAAAGCCTCAATGTCCATGTGGGGTGGACAACCTTTCCAAACCTAGCTTTCCATTTCCCTTCTTACCTCCAGTGCCTTGGTCATTCCACACCAGCCACTTATGACCACACTGCGCACCTTACTGTTGTGGAACTGCACTGCCTCTGAAATAGCACAGACATCCGCCTCTGACCACAACCTTCATGCTTCAGCTCTCCGTTGCACTCCAGTTACATGTCATTGAACCTTAAGACTGTGTCATTCATTCATTCCCTTCTCTCTGTTCCTGTCAGCCCTCTTCATTTTCTACCCAACTGGACTCCACCTTTGACCTTTCCCCTTCTCCACTTCTGACCTTTGATTACTTTAACAACTTGGTCAGTAACCTGGAACCCCCTCCTACCCACCTGGATGAATGCAATTGTCGGCCTTATCTTTCACTTCTGGCTGCTGGGTCCAAAGTGTTTAAAATGATAGTGTACAGATTGAGGCCATGATGATTTCCTGGTCTCCAAGTTCAACTCGATCATGGGTGCAGCCAGGTGAGGGTTTCAGCCCTTTGCCATTCTCCTATTTAAATGTTACACGCTCCTCCCACCTTCAGTGCTTTCCCTCCAGCTAATGAAAGAAGCTCCAGCTCCTCCCACCAGCGCTAAAACCACCTACCTGTTCCCTTGGACCGTCCATTTATGAAGGCAAGGCCGGCTCCACTAAGGCTTCCTGTAGAAGGGTCAGTCTCTCCAGCTGTGCTTAGAACCCCACCCTCTGCCTCTGCCTCCCTTCTCCTGGCTTCTTTCTATTAACTCCCATCCAGTTGTGTGTTTTTTTTGAAGTCAGGACCTTATGCACCTCCATATACCAGTAAACTCCTTCACGGTAGTCAAGGGGCCCCGCCCAGGCCCTGGAGAAGCAAGGACTGTTGCTCCCGCCGGCCGGCAGGTGGCCCCCTTTGCACCGGAGCCGAGGCGCGGGTCCCGAGGCCGCTCCTGCTCGCGGTGTGCGCAGGCGCACAGGGCGCTTCCGGCGCCGGCCGCCCGCTCTTCCGCCTACCGGGAAAGGATGCTCCCGCTCGGCTCCGGACTGAGGCTGCTCGGGGCGGGACCTGGAGTTCGCGCCCCCGCCCGAGTTCCTGCGGGCGTCGAGATGCCGAAGGCAGCTGGTGCGACGAACAAGGCCGGTAGCAGGCTCTGCGGCAGCGGAGGGGTGGGCCGGGGGAGGGGACGGCGGGGCCGGGAGCCGCGACCGCCCAGTCCCGCCTCGCGCTGCGGGCCGCCCTCCACCGGGGGGCGCCCTGGGCCTCGCCCCCGCGTTCCGGGCGGGCGTGTGTCCGGCGGCGCCTTCGGCCTGCGCCTCCCGGGAGGCCCCGGTGCGCTGCCCCGCCTCACCCCTTCGGTCGGGAACGCGCCGCGCGCTCTGCAGGGCGCACTCCCACGGGCCCCTGGGGCTCCCGCTGGCAGGTGCCCAGAGTGCCAGGGAGCCCGGGCCGCACAGCCTCCCTTCTCCGGGAGGGACGCCCTGCGCGCGGTCCGCTCGGTGTGTCCCAGCGACCGGCCTTCCCTGCCCCGCTGCAGCCCGAGCTCCCAGAGGGCCTCGGCCAGGTGCCCTTCGTCACCTTTACGTCGCCTTTGCCCGCAGGCTGCCCCGGTGCCTCGTTCGTGTGTGCCGAACGGACCGCTTTGGCACGGCTCGTGGCACGTCGTAGGCTTGAAATACCCCCGAGGTTCCTTCCCCTCCCCCAGATTCACATGCATGCGCGCTTCCAGGCTCAGTTGTTAACGAACACGTATTCGTTCGCGCTGCATGCGACATAGAACATGCCTAAGGGGCCTCTGCCTCTTCGGGACGGGAAATACAGAGCAGACCGTGGGAATGAGCCCGCACCGAGGTGTGGAAGCCGGAGCCAGGTCTTCAAGGCAGAAAGTGTGTGGGATTGATGGGAAGGCTTCAGGGAGGAATGATTTGAGCCATGAAGACTGTTGGGAAACCATGCCGAGTGGCCTGAATTCCTCGGACACGGACAATTAATCTAGTTCAAAAACCACAGATCTGAATTATCTTGAAGGTCTTTTTCATCTTTAAAGCTCTGTATTCCAATTAATCTCGTTTGTCTTGGTGAAAGGTGAAAGGGAGTAGTGGAAGGAGCAGCTGTGTGGGGAAATATCTTTGTATCCTTGTAAAGTTGTAGTGTGGTTGTTGTTGTCGTTTTAGGCTAAAAGCCAGAGCAAGGAGCCAGAGAGACCACTTCCTCCCTTAGGTCCTGTGGCAGTTGATGCTAAAGGTTGTGTCACCATAGCCATCCATGCCAAACCTGGCTCTAAACAAAATGCTATAACAGGTATATCTGGACACTGGGGTGGGAGGCATGTATGAATCAGGTGTTTCCTCCCCCTTCCCTGTGCCTTTGTTAGTTGAAAGTTTATCCCGTACGGGCAAGTATATTTTTTACCGCAGCATAGGCTTTTTTGTTTTTAAATTCTAGTTTCTAATGTAAAGTTGTAAAACCAGAGTTTAAAAAAGAATATGCGATGTTTAAAGCATACCAGATTAGATTTTAAAAACCATGGAATATTTTCGTTTTTAAAAATATGGTGTTTTAGAAAGGACACGAAGAAACAACGTATAGCTTAGAGTATTAGCTTGTCCTAGTCCAGAACTGGAGACATTGGCCAAAGAAAGAAGACGTTTTGGTGGAGTTTAATGATCACTGGTGCAAGGAGGGAGAGAAAACCTGAGATCTGAGAGCCTTGATCGTCAACTCCCTTGTGAACTTGTTTTAAATCCAAATAATACAAAACATTGCCGGGTCCAGTTCTTTCATCTGTCAGATGGGATAATTGGACTAAGTTAAAAGCTTTCAAGCTGTTGCCTGGAGCCCAAAAGGTGCCTGAGGAATCTCTGATGGGCAAGGGGGAGGCCAGCAGACAGGGTTTCTGAGTTGCTGTGTTTACATTTGTTTGAAATGGGATTTCAGGGTAAATTGGGGTGTGTGTGGCAGGGAATTCTGAGTGGGGAAAGACGTTCCAAAACCATTGATCTGAATTATCTTGAAGGTCTTTTCATCTTTAAAGCTCTGTATTCCAATTAAAAATATATATTTTGAAAACAAGATCTCAGAATTGAGGTGCTAGGCTTGGTTGGCCATACCCTCCCTTGGCCAACATTTTCTTTTCTTTAAAAAAAAAAAATTTCTTTAATTGATTTTAGAGGGAGAGGAGAAGGAGAAGGAGAGGGAGTGAGAGACAGAAACATCAATGAGAGAGAACACCAATTGGCTGCTTCCTGCATGCCCCCCACTGGGCCCACAATCTGGGCATGTGCCCCTGACCAGGAATACAACCAGCGACCTCTTGGTCCATGGGTCAACCCTCAACCACTGAGCCACACTGGCCGGGCATTGGCCAGCGACAGGGTAGGAGGGCATTTGTTTTATCTCATTCTTGTGGATTCTATGGCCAGGTTGTTCACACGGAAGGTGTGAGTGTGTGGAAATTCCTGAGTAACCCCAGGTGTAGAGCCCACTCAAGCTCACTTGCAAACGGCTTTGGACAAATACTTCTTTCTCTCAGAAATAACAGTGGAAGACTACAGGCAGGCTGCTCTTTATAACGGCTGTGTTGATGGGGGAGTCAGGACTACTATTCAGAAGCAATGTCCCTGATTTCAAAACACGAGTTTAAATTTATTTTTGATTCACAACATCACTTTCTAGCCATGTGACCTTGGGCCCATCTTGATTCCTGTTTCCTCGTTTGTAAAATAGAGATAATATCGGTATTGATATTTTCATAAAGTTGTTATGAGGGTTAAACAAGTTAATATTTGTAAAGTCCTTAAAACATGTTTGTGTGCCCTTAAAATTAGTGTTTGTGTTATTACATTTTGAAAACATTAAAGAGGAATTTCACATAAGAGACAAATCTAGCCCAGTGCTCTTGTTTTCCTGATGAGGAAACCCTAACAGCCCTGTACATCCAGTGAGCTGCGCTGTTCAGCCTTCTTCAGTGACGCTGCTGGCGCTGTGCCCAGCTGCTGACTCCCTGCCTGGAGCAGTTCCCATCAGAGGAGCACCGTTTCTGGTTGCCTAAATCCAGGATACTGCCCAGAATTCTTTAGGCCCATCTTGGTCAGGGGGGGGGGGGGGGGGGTAGATATTGATTTTCTTTTCTGATTTTGTTTTCTGTAATATTTATCATGTTTATGTTCCTCTTAAGTCTTATTAGTTTAATCCTTCATTTCTGCACCTAACAGTTATCAATTGAAAGCCTGCTGTGTGCCAGGCAAATGCAAACTCTTTCACAAAATGTCCTCACTTCCCAAAGAAGAACTCCTTAAGTATGAAGTCCACACTGTTTTCTTTCCAGATCTGACAGCCGAAGCTGTAAGTGTAGCTATTGCAGCACCTCCATCGGAAGGAGAGGCTAATGCTGAGCTCTGTCGGTATCTCTCCAAGGTCTTAGAACTCAGGAAGAGTGATGTGGTTTTAGATAAGGTAGGTATCTCTTATTCTCTTTCTTTCTTTTTTTTTTGTTATTCCTCACCCAAGGATATTTTTACATTGCTTTTTTGATGGAGAGGGAGGGAGGAGGGAGAGAGAGAGAGAGAGAGAGAGAAACATCAATCTGAGAAAAAGACATTAATTGGATGCCTCCTGCAGGAGCCCGATTAGGGCTGGAACCTGCAACCCAGGTATATGTGACCTTAATTGAAAATCAAACCTGAGACCCTTTGGACTGAGGGTCAACACTATAACCACTGAGCCAGACCAGCCAGGGCTATTCTCTCTCTCTCTCTCTCTCTTTAATACTTTTTGTGTGTTTTTTAAATCCTCACCCAAGTATATGTTTTATGAATTATTTTTTTAAAGAGAGGAAGGAGTAGGGGAGAGAGAGAGAAACATCAATTGGTTGCCTCCCATATGAGCCCTGACTAGGGATGGAACCCACAACCTTCTGGTATATGGGACAACACTCCAACCAACTGAGCCACCCAGCCAGGGCTAAATATCTTTGATTATTACCCTTCAGTTATTTTTTAAATATTGTTTTTTCCCCCCAAGCAATTGAAAAGCGAGTTGTTTTCAATTGTCATATTAACCACTAAAATCTGTTTTGTCTCCTTCATTTCTATTGTGTCGATCTTGATTCAGACTGTCCACGTGCTCTACTTACATTCCTTAGTTGTTACCCTATCCTACATTTTCTCCTTTCTAAATTCACTACTCTGCCTTTTCTGTCAAATTAATTTTGCTCCTCTCTTCCTTCGAGTCATCACCACACTAAACAATCTAAAATGGTTCGTATTGTCAGTCATCTTCCTTAGTGAGTCCATCAAGTATTTCTGTTCCTGCACATTACCCTCGTTCAACGGGAGACGCTCATATGAAGTCATTCATACCACAGCTTTGCGCTAGGGGTGGGCATCAAGACCACCTGGGAGTGATTTCTAAAACTCAGGTTCTTGGGCATTGCCCTCCACTTACTGAAATAGAGTCTGCAGTAGTGAGACCCATCCCTGTCTATATCTCTTAAAGCTCTACTTGTATCCCAGTGCTATACTCTGTAGCTCCCATCCGGGTTCCGGTTGGCATTCAGTCACTGATTAATAGGCTGTACCTAAAAATCCATCTGCACATCAGGTCCCTCATTGTGCCCTACCTGTGGCAGGTCATTTCTGGTTTTCTGCCAGTGTGCATGGTCTGATATTTGAAAGTCACAACCCACTTCTACCCAACTAGATAAATTCCTGCTTGGATTTTACTTTCTTTAAAGAATGTTTTCAAAACAAATCTTTTTAATGGTGTCTTCAGTGGTTATGGAATCACAGCACTTGAAAATGTGAAATTTTTCTTTTTGAATTTTCAGAAGTGTGTAACAGCATAGAGAGCAACACTTTTTCTGTATTCTGGAATTATTTTTATACAAAGTTTATATGAAATTGCAGTATTTGTTTTGATAATTAAAAAATAATTTTCACTTTTAACTCAAACAAAAGAATTACTAGAAACCAGAATATTGTACATCTGGATTCCGTATTCATTAAAGGTAATGCCCAGTTTTTATTTTTACAGAAATTGACATCTGAAAGTAAAAGCCCTGGAGAGTTGTGAAATTTTAGTAAGGTGGAATCTTAGAGAGAGAGAGCACATTGGCCAGGAGAAAGTGGTAGCTGAGCTGTCAGGAAAGTTGCAGGCCACCAGAGGACGTGTCTGCAATCACACAACTGAGTTCTGTTTCTAATAGTTTCAGAGAGTTTAGTTTGTTAACCTGACACTGTGTTTTCCTTTTAATCCAGGGCGGTAAATCTCGTGAAAAAGTGGTGAAGCTTTGGGCCTCCACAACTCCAGAAGAGATCTTGGAGAAATTGCAAAAGCAAGTTGAAAAAAAATAAAAGTAAGAAATGAAAAAATATATCCTTAAGAAACATTTTTATTGCTAATGATGAAGAAGCTGCTAAAATAGGAAAATATAGTTAATTGCACAGAAGAACATGTAAAAAAATATGTAGTTAAGTAAGAATATGTCTCAAAAAAGTACATTGAATATAGGTTCTAAAATGCCTGACCCCAAATGGCTTGGAACATGTTACTTTGATTTCATGACATTACAGAATAACAGAGGCGGGACGGTTATTCAAAGATTACCTGATTCAGCCCCTTTCATTTTGTGATGGTGCTTCTGTTATCCAGAAGTTGAGATACACTCAGAATCACACTGTGCAAGATGACAACCAGAAACCAGATCCCTTGACTCCCACTTAAATGCAGTTTATCCTGATTGTAAATTAAAATGGTAATATTTCTACAACACTTCTGGAATTCTAGGCATTGCCTTCTAATCCAGTTTACACGTGACAAGAAAACTTGCCACTGTTCTGTAGTGTTTATATTGTAAAATACTTATGTGTGTGCAAAAATGTTTTCTGCATTTTTTTGAAACCCTTGAGCTTTTTATGAAAAAGTAAGAAAGAATAATCAAGATGTGTACAGGTATACTTCATTTTATTGCATTTTGCAGATACAGGGCTATTTTTTTTGGTTTGTTTTTTTTTTACAAATTCAAGGTTTGTGACCACCCTTTGTTGAACAAGTCTGTCAGTACCATTTTTCCAACAGCATTTGTTCACTTTGTTTCTTTGTGACACATTTTGGTAATTCTTGAAATATTTCAAACTTTTTCATTATTATATTTGTTATGGTGATCTGTGAATAGTGATCTTTAATGTTACTATTGTGATTGTTTTGTGGCACCATGAATCACACTCATGTAAGATAGTGAACTTGATTGATAAATGCATGTGTTCTGACTGCTCTACCCACCAGCTGTTCCCCCATCTCTCTCCCTTTCCTCAGGCCTCCCTATTCCGAGATACAACAATAGTGAAATTAGGCCAATTAATAACCCTACAATGGCCTTTACGTGTTCAAGTGAAAGGAAGAGTCGCACATCTCTCACTTTAAATCAAAAGCTAGAAATGATTAAGCTTAGTGAGGAAGGCATGTCAAAAGCCGAGATAGGCCGAAAGCTAGGCCTTTTGCGACAAACAGTTAGCCAAGTTGTGAATGCAAAGGAAAAGTTCTTGAAGGAAATTAAAAGTGCTACTCCAATGAACACACGAGTGATAAGAAAGCAAAACAGCCTGATTGCTGATGTGGAGAAAGTTTTAGTGGTCTGGATAAAAGAGCAAACCATCCACAACATTCCCTTAAGCCAAAGCCTGATCCAGGCCAAGGCCCTAACTCTCTTCAATTCTATGAAGGCTGAGAGAGGTGAGGAAGCTGCAGGAGAAAAATTTGAGGCTAGTAGAGGTTGGTTCATGAGGTTTAAGGAAAGATGCCGTCTCTGTAACATAAAAGTGCAAGGTGAAGCAGCAAGTACTGATGTAGAAGCTGCAGCAAGTTACCCAGAAGATCTAGCTAAAATAATTAACGAAGGTGGCTACACTAAACAACAGATTTTCAATGTAGATGAAACAGCCTTATATTGGAAGAAGATGCCATCTAGAACTTTCATAGCTAGAGAGGAGAAGTCAGTGCCTGGCTTCAAAGCTTCAAAGGACAGGCTGACTCTCTTGTTAGGGGCTAATGCAGCTGGTGACTTTAAGTTGAAGCCAATGCTCATTTATTATTCTGAAAATCCTACAGCCCTTAAGAATTACGCTAAATCTACTCTGCCTGTGCTCTATAAATGGAACAACAAAGCCTGGATGACAGCACATTTGTTTACATCATGGTTTACTGAATATTTTAAGCCCACTGTTGAGAACTACTGCTCAGAAAAAAAGATTCCTTTCAAAATATTACTGCTTATTGACAATATACCTGTTCACCCAAGAGCTCTGAAGGAGATGTACAATGAGATTAATGTTGTTTTCATGCCTGTTAACACAGCATCCATTCTGCAGCCCATGGGTCAGGGAGTAATTTCAACTTTCAAGTCTTACTATTTAAGAAATACATTTCGTAAGGCTATAGCTGCTGTAGATAGTGACTCCTCCGATGGAGCTGGGCAAAGTAAATTGAAAACCTTCTGGAAAGGATTCACTATCCTAGAAGCCATTAAGAACATTCGTGATTCATGGGACGAGGTCAAAATATCAACAATAACAGGAGCTTGGAAGAAGTTGATTCCAACCCTCATGGATGACTTTGAGGAGTTCAAGACTTCATTGGAGGAAGTAACTGCAGATGTGGTGGAAATAGCAAGAGAACTAGAGTTAGAAGTGGAGCCTGAAGATGTGACTGAATTGCTGCAGTCTCATGATAAATCTTTAACAGATGAGGAGTTGCTTCTTATGGATGAGCAAAGAAAGTGGTTTCTTGAGATAGAATGTGCTCCTGATGAGGATGATGTGATTGTTGAAATGACAACAAGGGACTTAGAATATTACATAAACTTAGTTGATGAGGCAGCATCAGGGTTTGAGAGGATTGATTCCAATTTTGAAAGAAGTTATACTGTGGGTAAAATGCTATCAAATAGCATTGCATGCTACAGGAAAATCATTCGTGAAAGGAAGAGCCAATCGATGAGGCAAACTTCATTGTTGTCTTATTTTAAGAAATTTCCACAGCCACCCCAGCCTTCAGCAACCACCACCCCAGTCAGTCAGCAGCTGTTAACACTGAAACAAGACTCTCCACCACCAAAAAGAATACGACTCCCTGAAGGCTCAGATGATGGTTAGCATTTTTTTAGCAATAAAGTACTTTTTAATTAACGTATGTACATTGTTTGCCACACCATACATTGACAGAACCTGAGAAAGCAAAACCTGGCTCATCCTGCCCCTGGAGGCAGCAGCAGAAAACCTGGACTCCCGACTCCTGCGGGCCTCTCCTCACTCCTTTGCCAGCTAGGGATGGAGAGAGAACCAGGGTGTGTAGGTGGCACCTTTGGAGTGTTTAAAATTCCAAACAGCTAAAAACACAAACGTTAGGAGGCAATTTTTTTCTGGGCAGTGGGCTCCCAGCATCCCCCCTCTTATAAATTCTAGGGATTTGGTTAAGTAGTTCCTGTTATGTAATGCAGAACATAAATTTCGGAACCCACCATGGCCCCCACTTAGTTTTTTAAAAATACATGTGCCTAGAGATTAAAAATTTAAGAACCTAGATTTTTCTATTTAGATCCAAGAAGTGGCAATATAATGCAAAAGCAGAGAAGCACCTAATTTGAAGAAGGAACTGAAGTTCACTATTAGGAAATAACTTCTGCAGTGCCTGATACCCGTGGTCCTTTTTGTCTCGTTTTCTCAGGGACACCCCTTCTTACTCCCCGTATGTCTTGAGTTTAGCTCAAGCCAGAGTGTAGAATTAACCCAGGCCGACTGGGTATTCAGAAGTTCAGGGTCACTGCTGGAGTGGACTCAGCATGGACCCACATGCCTCCCTTAAACTCTACAATTTTCAGAAATCCCCTTTAGTCGGTGTTTTTGAAAATGAAATTGGGCTGGACAATTGACAGAAACTAATTTCTAAACAAGATGCCAAATGTATTAACTCGTGTGAGGAACACACCTGTCAATTAGACTGTATAGTGGCATCCTCTAGTGAGTACATTCTGCCCCTTTGGGAAATCTTGTAAAAGACCAGTTAGTTTGGGCTGCTTGAAGAGCTTGGGATCAGAGCCAGGGAAATTATGGGCCTGGGTTAGGGAGCTATGACCATCTGGAGCTCCCATTTCTGCTGCAGGGATAGGTCCATTATATCTTAGCCCCTCTCCTGGGTCAGCACTAGATACTGATGATTTATGTCACAGGACTCCCTTATTCTAGGCTCCAGGAAGACCACCTGTTTCTGCCCACAAAGGCTTTCTTCAGACAATCCTTATAATTCGGTTGATAAGATTTTCAGCATTTTACAATCCTATTCTAGCTGTGTGCCACAAGGTCCGTCTAGTCTCCTTGCTGTTAGAGTTTGGGCAGGGGGGAATACCCACACTTTGCAGCACCAGTTATAGACTGGTCATTTCTCCATGAAACTCATCTCACCCATGATGTGGTTTTCCTATTGCAGTGACTTTCTCACTTTCAAAACCTCAGGTTTCCCCAATGACACCTTGGGGATTAGAGCACTGGGGAGAATAAGGAAGCAAGTCAAGCCAATAGAACTCCACGCCTTTTGTCCACTTCTTCTAGAGCTGTGCTGCTGATACTGTACTGTAGTTGGTGGCCACATGTGGCTGCTGAACACTTGAAATGTGGCTAATCAGATTGAAAAATAAAAGTATCATAAAAATAAAGGCCATGTTGAAAACAACAAAGATGTTGAACATGGCATGTGATTTAGAGGGCTGGACAGAGGATGGTGAGCAAAGAAAGGAAAATGAGAGGAACAAGTCAAAGGAGTATCAGCACATACATCATTGGAACCCCGAAGAAGACAACCAAAGAAATGGAACAGAAGAGTATTTAAAGGTGTGATCAAGAAAATGAAGAAATAACATACATTTACAGAATGAAAGGCAGTATCCCAAGTGAAACTGACAAAGAATGATCAACCAAGAGACACAACCTAATAAAATTCTCTGATTTAAAAAATAAAAGCCTGTGGTCACCTAGACAAAAAGCTGAAGTCCTGGGGAGAGAGGAGAGACATATGCACACTTACGTGTTTCGGATAGGACTGAATTGCTACAGTGCTCTATAAAATGAGGCAGCACTTTCTAAAATTAAAAATACTACACCTTTTAGCCCAACAGTTCTACTTTTGAGACTAGAGAACACATAAAAGCACCAAAGGCTATGTGGACCAAAGCAATGCAGATTGTTAGTAGGGGCAAAGAAAGGGGAAACGTGTCTACCTATAGGAGATTAATATGGTCAGTGATAAATCCGTACTATAGAATGTTATTAAAATTAAATCATTTAGTTTTTAATCTGTAACTACTGACCTGGAGTGATGTCTCATATTCTATTGCATAAACAGAGGATAATATACATGTATGTGTGTGTGTGTATTTTTATATATAATATAACCTCACTTTAGTAAAAAGGAAAATGTTTATGTATATCAAATTTATATACATTTGTGTGGGCATGGGGAAAGACACATACACAGTGGACCATAATCACTGGGTGGGTATGGATTATTCACATTTGTATTGTTTCGCTTTTGACAATATTTATAGGACACATAAAATGTATATTGTGAAGGAACTTTTAAAGTGAGAAAAAACACAAAAAAGAAAAAGCTCTGGCCTTCAGCAATTAGAGTAGCTTTATTGACCTAATTCAGACAAACAGGCTGGAGCTCCTTAGGGACTTAAAGGCACTGGCAGTGGAAAAAAACCATGAGATCATCATCGTGTTATACCCTGAAGCTGAAGAAGTACTGAAACCCAGAGAAAATCTAACTGGTAATTAATACATTCGGGCTCTCTGTGCCCCTTAGGGACAGGAACGAAAACACCAACTGAAATTCGCCCATCCGCCCATGGAGACGTTGGTGGAAGATTGTGAGCTGCACTTGCACCCAAGTCAGCCCAGACACACTGCACTCTACTTCTGGAGGCACAAAGCTGACATTGACTGGGCACCTGTTAGGAGCCTGGTTTAGTGACAGGTACTTTATGTAAATGCTTTCACTTAATCCTGCAAGGGGGCAGTCAAATCACGTTAGTTCTGATGGAAGACTTGTTCACCTGCTCCTCCCATACCATCCTGTAAATCTTAAAATCTGAAGGTTATTATCCATCCACAGCTCATCTCCACTTTTCCAGTCTGACAGCACTGGTAACTAACTCCTCATTCATAGTGTAAGTCATATGCTAATTCATATTTTAATTCATGTAAGGAAATAATCACAACTCTAAGTCTCCTCCTGCCTACCTCATCTTCTATGAGCTACTCCACATCCTTTATATGAACATTATGCTTTACATTTTACCAAATACTTTCCTCTCATTGACTCAACAAATGTTTATGCAACATCAGTTATGTGCCACTGGGGGTTTAATGGTCATAAGCTCTAGTTTCTATTCTCAGGCTGTTGTATGTTTGGTCATATATTTTTGTGATAACCCTGTGAAATGGCAGGGTAGGTATTGTCCCCATTTTTATAGGTGAGCAGATAAGTTCACAGTTGAAGTGATTTTCTCAAGGTCACATACCTTGAAAGGACAAGACTACAAACTAGGACTTCTTATGCCTAATGCTGTATGCTCTTACTACAGACTATTTGAGATGAATTCCTTGACACTATTTTTTTTAATTATTTTTTTTATCCTCACCCGAGGACATTTCTTCTTTTTTGTTCAGATAGAGTGGGAGGGAGAGAGAGAGAGAGAGAGAGAAACATCAACGTGAAAGGGACACATCGAGTGGCTGCCACCCGCACGACCCTACCAGGGCCGGGGACAAACTGCAACCGAGGTACGCGCCCTTAGCGGGAACCGCGGTCTCTCTGGACCACAGGCCGACGCTCTAACTGCTGAGCCAAACCGTCCAGGGCCCAATAAACCTTTTTCAATGGATATAAAGAATAGAATAATCAAAAGCTCATCACATTAATGAATAGGCTAACTGCCAAAACTTGGGAAATTAATATTGTATTTTATTTAAATAAAACCATCTTTCTGTTTTGTTTTCATCCTTACCCAAGGACAATTTTCTTCCATTTATCTTCAGATAGAGTGGGAGGGAGGGAGAGAGAGAGAAACATGGATGTGAGAGAGACACATCAATTGGTTGCCTCCTGCACAACCCAACCAGGGCCTGAGACCAAACTGCAACTGAGGTATGTGCCCTTGACCGGAATCGAACCCACGACACTTTGGTCTGCAGGCAAACACTCTAACCACTGAGCCAAAGTAGCAGGGCTTAAATAAAAACATTGTAATGGCCATTAAAATTATTTGAAATACAATGATCACTCTGAAAGGCAGTTACAGCATCACAGTATTTATAGTAGAGAATGCAGTAAAGGTGCACATTTGGAAGTGAATATAACATTGTAAAATCAATCCACATTAAGTACCATAAAAGTAACTAGAGTCAAATAATGCAGCCTTGTTTATACATGATTGAAAAGGAAAGGGGAACATTTACAGAGTTTTCACACTTGTGTAACATGAATTTTTACCTACTTTGTTTATAGTTAGTATAAAATGATTGTGTGCCCTAATCCCATCCACCATTAGATCAAGACACTAAAACAGAATGACTCCTTCCTCATTTTACAGTTTTATTCTTGATATTCTCTAAATAGAGACCAAAATGATTGTGGAGCTGACTCACACCTATAGAGTAATTACAAAGTACCATAGTCACATAACAACAAGAGCCAAAAAAGAAAGATAACTACAATTGCTTTACCTTACAACTGCTGATGTTAATGTACAATACATTACAACTAAGTATAGTTTTGCATTCACAAATTGATTTTACCAACCTCTGTAAAACTTTACCAATGAGCACATCTGAGTAAATGGATACTTCCTTATATTACAAAGTAAAAGCAAGCATTTTAAATTTTATTTCTGTGTAAAACAAAGAACTCCTGGAGGTCAAACAAGGAAAAGATGCACCAAGTTCAAAGCACTAAGTCATGAAATGAAGAGTCTGAGGTAGAAGTCAAGCAGTATAATCCACAACCTTTTTAGGGGAAGTATTTATTCCCAGCAACCATCATATCTCTCTAGTAAGATCTTTTTTTTTTTTTAAATGTCTCAAGTTCCAAAAAGTTAATATATTTTTCTAAAATCAGATGTAAAATTATGACCAACAGAAGATACACAAAATTATTGTCTTGTTAACAAAATACACAGTTTTACTAAAAGCTGCTGACATTTATATCAGTAGTAACCATAGGGTGGTCGTTGGTTGTAACTGTAGTTTCCATACTGGTGAGGGTGATAAGTTTCTTGTCTGTGCTGCTGGTAATTGTTACCCCAGGGTCGTCCATGCCATTGATTGGATCGATTGTCACTTGGCCACCCCCGTCTGCCATCTCTACCTCTAAACTGTCTATTATCTTGCAACCTACAACAAAACAAAAAATGTTTTTATACTTCTCTTTTAAGAAAACACATGACAAATCTATCCTGTTGCATGTGACTTCTTTTTTATCCTCATCCGAGGACATTTTTTGCATTTATCTTCAGATATAGTGGAAGGGAGCAAGAGAGAGAGACGTCGATGTGAGAGAGACACATTGACTGGCTGCCACCCACACAACCGGGGCCGGGGACAAACTGCACAAGGTATATGCCCTTAGCGGAAACCGAACCCGGGACTCTTTGGTCGGTGGGACGATGCTCTAACCGCTGAGCAAAACCAGCCAGGGCTGTATTTGACTTCTTAATTGAATACTTGAGAAAAAAAATTTTGAAATATGTTTTTATTGATTTTTAGAGAGAGGAAGGGAGAGGGAGAGAGAGATAGAAACATCAATGAAGGAGAAACATCAGTCAGCTGCCTCCTGCACACCCACACTGGGCATGTGCCCTGACCGGGAATTGAACCGGCAACCTCTTGCACATGGATCAATGTTCAAACACTGAGCCACGCCAGCCAGGCAACATTTTTCTCTATAGAATGTTATAGCACCAGTTATTCAAAGCATTCTTAAGATTTAAATCATTCTTCCAGTTACATTGGATATGCTTTGCAGAGAAATAGGTAGACTGCAACACCAAACCCAAAACAATTGGATAGTTCTGAATCAAACTAAAAACTATTCAGTTATTTAAAAAAAAACAGTATGGTGTCCTGGCCAGTTTGGCTCAGCAGTTAGAGTGTCGGCCCTCGGACCGCAGAGTCCTGGGTTTGGTTCACGCTAAGGGCAGGTACCTTAGTTGTGGTTTGTCCCCAGCCCCGGTTGGGGTCGTGTGGGTGGCAACCACTTGATGTGTCTCTCTCACATCCATGTTTCTCTCTCTCTCTTCCTCCCTCTCTCCCTCTCTATTTCAAGATAAAAATGCAAACATGTCCTCGGGTGAGGATAGAAAAAAACCAGTATGGTAATTTACTCCTTTTATCTATTTTGAATTATTAAATAGAAGTAACATCCACTGTATAAACTTTCTAAAGTGAAACCAAAAACATTACCTTTCTTATGGAATTTTATACGAATTTATATAGAAGACTAGGTTTTAAAGTATATTTGCAAACAAAATTAGTCCACAGAAAGAACATTTAAACACACACACACAATTGAACACTAAGGAAAAAATAACGTGGGTTGACAAAATATTAAAGCAAGTATTTACCAGCCACGTAATTCGTGCCAGGCACTAGGTATACCATACTGAACAAGAACATTGGTCCCTGACCTCAGTGGTCTTCTGGGCTAGCAGATTAAAGCTGTTCTCTCCCAGATCAGCCATCTGCAGTCCATCCTTCTGAAGTAATACATACCAATTGCCTCTATTTCTTTGGTTCCCACCAGCTCTGCTATTCCATTCCTCGACAATTGGAGGGGACGCAGGAGGGCGTTTCAGGTATTCCTGGTAGTCTTTGTCATCTTCTGTGAATCTATTGGCAAACATCTCTTCATAATTTGGAACCGCTTCAGAAGTATCAGTCATTCTGAAATTCTGTACAGTTTTTAATATGTTTCTATTAGAATGAAAAAAGTAACAGTATTTTACCAGTGAAAAACAAAGAAGTAAACAATTTTAGGGTATTCTAGACATTCAATAGAGTATTTCTTGATTACTATAATACAGGTATTGTGCTAACTAGAATCATGGCGTACAAAGATAAAAATATATCATGGACCCTGCCTCCAGAGAGCTCTTAGTCTAGTAGAAGAAACAGGTAAGGTATAAATATAATTGGAGATTTATATTTAGAAGTGAATATGGAGAAATGAAATTGGAAAAGTAGATGGGTCAAATTGGGAAAAACTATTCCAGACAGTTTTGCACTTTTTCTGGTATGCAATGAGAAATCACAGGTGGTTTAAACAGGGAAATCTCCAGAGCAAATTTACTATTTAGAAGGATCACTTTTCTAACAGGGTAGAGATAGACAAGTAAGATTAGACTAAAGGCAGATTACTGTAGTAATGCAGGTAACATGCTGAGGGCTTAATCTGAGGCAGTGACTGTGAGAATAGTTTTAAAGGGATTTCAGGAGGAATTACTGACGATGTTGGGAGGAGAGGGGAGATAGAATACTCCCAGGCTGCTGGCCAAATGATTGGACAGGCTATGGTGCCATAGGAACTACAGAAAGAAGGGTGGGTGAGGATATATACTGAGTTTGAAGTTAGCTAAAGCACATACATCCACTGGGAGAGACAGTTCAAAGTTAATTATTTGGGACTGAGAACTGGGTTGAAGATGAACATGAGAGACATCAGCAAATTTGTTAGTGGTTAATGCTATGAGAATGAGTGAGATTCCTCGGAGGAGGAATAAGGAGAGTACCAAGGAGCAGAATCCTGGAGAACATAGACAGTAGAAGATAAAGACCGGATAGGAAAACACACACTGATAAGACACAACACAGATAAGAACCAGAAGAGATTATGATAGAAGGCAAGAAACTAAAAAGGGAATGGTCATCAGTGTTGAATGGTACAGTGACAGAAAGAACCAAGAAGAGAAAATTAACTGGATTTAGCTATTAGGAGGTGATTATTCTATAGTAGTAGGAATTGAAGCAGGATTACAACTGAGAAGTAACTGGAAGGTAAAGAAGTAAAAATCTACACTGATTATAGACTTAAGCTTTCAGGAGCTTGGCTGAGAATGGGAAAAGGGGCCATAGTTAAGGGGTAACTGAAGACTAGGACTGGTTTTGCAGAGAAATAGTTTTGCAAGTCAGAAAAACCTATTTTCTGATTTGGGGTACCTGTGACATCATGCAAAAACTTTAAAACCAAATCTCCCTCTTATCTGACATCTCCCAAATTATTTTTCTTCCTGTATTTTAACTTATAGTAAAAAGTCTTTGATAAAGAGATGTGATATTGGAAGATAGCTGCTTCATTAGTTTGTTTTTACTCCAAATCGTTCAAAATATGCAAATATTTATACTACCACCTTCATCCCAACAAAATTAAACTGAGATTGTTTGGATGCAAGAAACAAAGGTAAAACTACATGTTTTACCTTTCAGGATACAGCAGTGTGCTTTACTAAATACCACACTTTTCATGTGTCTGGGATTGGCAAACTGCTGTCAAGTTCTCAAATCCAAGGTACGATTTAAAATAAATTCTGCTGCCCTGGCCAGTTTGGCTTAGCAATTAGAGAGCTGGCCTTGGGACCATGGGGTCGCCAGTTCAATTCCAGGGTCAAGCTCATGTACCTGTGTTGCAGGTTCCATCCCTGTCCCTGGTCAGGCGGGGTTGTTCGGGGCAATCGATCGATGTCCTCTCTTTCTCTCCCTCCCTCCCTCCCTCCCTTCCACTCTATCTAAAAATCAATAGAAAAAGTGTCCTCGGGTGAGGATTAACAATAAAATTAATTATGCTAATTAAAATTCGTGCCTGGGTTTCTATAGGGATCACAGAAATCAAGAAAGAGGGCCCATACTTAACCAGATGGGCAATAAAAATCATAAGGCAAGACAAATGTGCTATTCTATTTTTATGTTCTCTCACAACACCCTCCCACAAGTAAATACATTTATCATTACTCATGAGAATGAAATTTAAACAGAATGGTGTTAACCAATGTTACCCCTGTAAATTTAATTAAGATTAAAAAAATAAATAGAATTTTAATTTATCCAAGCTGTGCTTATCCCAGGGATTTGAGGCTGTGCTGTTTAATGTTTAGGTTTAGATGTGTGGTACGAAAAAAACAAAAGCAAAACTTGATTCCCTCAAAAGGGGCAGGTGGTGGGTAGGGGTCGTCAGGGCTGAAGTTAGTGCGGGGGTTGGGTGAAAAGTGCTGCACAGCCCCCTCGTTAGCTCGAGAGTGCGCAGAAGTGCCAGCGAAGGGCTGGACGACGGAAAGACTGGTCCTCTGCCTTCGGAACCGATGAGCTGGTTCCAGCATGAAGAACAGCTTCACAGGGTGTGCGCCTGTCCGGTGAAATAAAAGGGCACAGCCTTTCAGATCTGTACCGGGACATTATTACCACGAGTAAAGCCTCACAGAACTCTGGCTGCCGCGACTGCCTTGGAGAGAACTGGCCAGCGCGGGGTTCCACTGACCCGCAGGTGAACCCGGAGAACTAGCCAGCGGGGGGTTCCACTGACCCGCAGGTGAACCCGGAGAACTGGCCAGCGCGGGGTTCCGCTGCCCCGCAGGTGAACCCAGAGAACTGGCCAGCGCGGGGTTCCACTGACCCGCAGGTGAACCCGGAGAACTAGCCAGCGGGGGGTTCCACTGACCCGCAGGTGAACCCGGAGAACTAGCCAGCGCGGGGTTCCACTGACCCGCAGGTGAACCCGGAGAACTAGCCAGCGCGGGGTTCCACTGACCCGCAGGTGAGCCCAGAGAGCAGGTGAACCCGGAGAACTGGCCAGCGCAGGGTCCCGCTGCCCCGCAGGTGAACCCGGAGAACTGGCCAGCGCGGGGTCCCGCTGCCCCGCAGGTGAGCCCAGAGAGCAGGTGAACCCGGAGAACTGGCCAGCGCGGGGTTCCGCTGCCCCGCAGGTGAACCCAGAGAACTAGCCAGCGCGGGGTTCCACTGACCCGCAGGTGAGCCCAGAGAGCAGGTGAACCCGGAGAACTGGCCAGCGCGGGGTCCCGCTGCCCCGCAGGTGAACCCGGAGAACTGGCCAGCGCGGGTTCCGCTGCCCCGCAGGTGAACCCGGAGAACTGGCCAGCGCGGGGTCCCGCTGCCCCGCAGGTGAACCCAGAGAACTAGCCAGCGCGGGGTCCCGCTGCCCCGCAGGTGAACCCGGAGAACTGGCCAGCGCGGGGTTCCGCTGCCCCGCAGGTGAACCCAGAGAACTGGCCAGCGCGGGGTTCCGCTGCCCCGCAGGTGAACCCAGAGAACTAGCCAGCGCGGGGTCCCGCTGCCCCGCAGGATTAGCCAGAGAGCAGTGTGAACCCGGAGAACTGGCCAGAGCGGGGTCCCGCTGCCCCGCAGGTGAACCCGGAGAACTGGCCAGCGCGGGTTCCGCTGCCCCGCAGGTGAACCCAGAGAACTAGCCAGCGCGGGGTTCCACTGACCCGCAGGTGAACCCGGAGAACTGGCCAGCGCGGGTTCCGCTGACCCGCAGGTGAACCCAGAGAGCAGGTGAACCCGGAGAACTGGCCAGCGCGGGGTCCCGCTGCCCCGCAGGTGAACCCGGAGAACTGGCCAGCGCGGGGTCCCGCTGCCCCGCAGGTGAACCCGGAGAACTGGCCAGCGCCGGGGTTCCGCTGCCCCGCAGGTGAACCCGGAGAAACTGGCCAGCGCGGGGTCCGGGTGCCGCAGCTGCCCCGCAGGTGAACCCGGAGAACTGGCCAGCGCGGGGTCCCGCTGCCCCGCAGGTGAGCCCAGAGAGCAGGTGAACCCGGAGAACTGGCCAGCGCGGGGTTCCGCTGCCCCGCAGGTGAACCCGGAGAACTGGCCAGCGCGGGGTCCCGCTGCCCCGCAGGTGAACCCGGAGAACTGGCCAGCGCGGGGTCCCGCTGCCCCGCAGGTGAACCCGGAGAACTGGCCAGCGCGGGTCCCGCTGCCCCGCAGGTGAACCCGGAGAACTGGCCAGCGCGGGGTCCCGCTGCCCCGCAGGTGAACCCGGAGAACTGGCCAGCGCGGGGTCCCGCTGCCCCGCAGGTGAACCCGGAGAACTGGCCAGCGCGGGTCCCGCTGCCCCGCAGGTGAGCCCAGGGAACAGGACGGTAGGGGCTGCAGCCAGCGCGGTCCCGGCCCGCCCCCAAGGCTGTGGCAGATTCGCTCCCTCCGGAAGCACCTTAGCTGTCCAGGCGCGAAGGCCACTGGAGGCCATGAAGGGTCCGGGGCTTCCGATCTCGCGAAGGCGCCCGGACCTGGAGCCGCAGACCGAGGACCCCTCGCCCCCGCTCGGCTCGGCGATTCCCTCCTCCCTGGCGCCATAACGGGCAACTCACCCGCCCCGCGCCGGCTACTCCGCTCGGGCCGAGCCGGCGGAGCACGCAGGAAACCCACCTCTGGCCCACGGCTCGTCGGTTCAGCCCCACGGCGCCTCGCTTCTCCCAGGTGACGGAGCCACCGCTGTCAGAAGCCGACAACCCGCCGACTTCCGCTTCCGGCGGGCTTCCAGAGGCGGGTCCGTCGAGTCTCGCGATAGCTGGGGCGTGAGGCGTCTTCCCCGCGGAAGCGCCGGCGGTGCAGACGTCGGAGCGCGACTAATTGGGGTGACGGCCTCCGCGTGCTCCCCGCCTGCAGCTCCTGAGCGGGAAGAGATGTCGCCGCGTGCTGGGCCCCCTTGCCGGGAGCCGGTGACGGGCAGGCACGGAGGCTCTGGGGAGACGCAGAGACGGGAGGGAGGGCTGCCCGCGCCGCGGCCCCTGACCTGGGGGGGACGCGAGGCCGGAGCGGGTCCTCCCGCGGCGGGGCCCCTGACCGCCTGCCGGGGCGGGCCGGGGAGTGAGTTTCTTCGCCCGTCTCCGGCACACCCCGTCCCTCCTGCAGCCTCACTCGTCAGTCCCCGGCGCCCTCCAGGGGCCTCGGCCACTTCTTCTCGAACGTTCTGCAGGCGTCCGCACGCCGAGCGTCCCGCACAGAACGGGGCCACTTCCCTCCCAGACCGCTTTCCAGACCGCACGCCGGCTTCCGCGGGGGCACGTGGGTGTCAGTATCTGACGGTTCAATCGTCCTCGAGCCCGGCTCCCATCCGAGATCCCCACCGGCTCCCTGTTCCCCGTACAGCAAAGGACACATTTATTAGCTTGGATTCAAAAACTCCAGTTTTATCTTCCGCCCTTCGGCTTTCATCGTCCCCTTACCCGTGACACTGAGACTGCGTGTGTTCATCCGGTTCTTACCACGCGCTAACTGAGAGCGATAACAGGATTTATGCACCAGGCTTTCCCCTGTTCGACTATAAGAAGACCTTTATCCGATGTCATCTCTGCATCTCCTGCCCTGTGTCCCATTGTGCTTCGTGGGAAGGAAGCGCTCGGCAAATGTTTCCGGAATGAAGGCTGGAACTCCAAATGTTTCAAGCCACGTGTTACAAACATTAACCTACAAAAGTGTGCAGGACACCGTGGATGGGCAGACAGGAGAGTCTTGGTGTTGAGTGGTAGAGGAGAGAGCAGAAAGACCCCGGTTAGTTACAATAACCGAATAGTACCGTCCTTAGTAACAGCAGACCCGGGAGGAAAGGATTGGGAGGAGTCAGGGAAGACTCCAATCCCTTAAACCTGGGAAATTGGGACTGAAAAGGGGTAGCCGTAGGGTGAGTTGGTTTTAAAGCAAAAAATGAGTTCAGAGCTCCAAACGATTTGTAGCGTCTGAGATGGATAGTGAACTATCCAAAAGAAAATGTTTGGGAGGTTGTTAGAAATACAGACCTGGAGCCCAAGAGCGGCGATGCCTAAATATGTAAATGCGTGATTCATCCCTGAAAAACAGCGGTTGAAATCATCAGTGTATAGGATCTTTCCACAGGAGAAGTATTTATAGAGAAAAGCAGAAGGCCAAGGCCTACGCCTCAGGAAATACCCAAATTTAGGAGTCAGGAATGGGAAATATAAAGTTGAAGAGAAGATTGGATAAATATGTGGGTAACAATTGAAAAACTCAGGAAAATGCTTCCCCACCTAGTATCAGGAGACAGTATATTTGGAAAAAGGAGAGTTATCGCTGGCCAGCTTGCTGGTTTCCTTGTGACTTAATGATGGCATTATTTCTAGATAATCAGGACTTACACAGAGAAGTGTATATATCTTTTCTTTACATTTATAAATGGCATTTGGGAACTCGTAGGCTTCTGCGAGTTTCTGTGAAAAATTCTAGGTATTCCAGCCAATTTTCAAATGAAACTATTTTTGTCTATAATGTTCTTTCATATTTTATCAGTTATTATATCTCATTTTCTGACATATTTAGGAAATAATCTGTTCCATGAAAAGGAATTTTCCAAATAACTGACATTTAGCCTTTAAACAAACACATTTTCTTTTCCTTTTTTTTTTATCCTCACCCGAGGACATTTTTCCATTTTTTGTTCAGGTAGAGCGGGAGGGAGAGAGAGGAACAGAGAGAGAGAGAGAAACATTGATGTGAAAGGAACACATCGAGTGGCTGCCACCCACACGACCGACCAGGGCTGGGGACAAACTGCAACCGAGGTACATGCCCTTAGCGGGAACCGAACCCGGGTCTCTCAGGACCACAGGCCGACGCTCCAACTGCTGAACCAAACCGGCCAGAGCTAAACAAACACATTTTCATTGGAACCACTTTCAGTGGAAATATACGTAGAATCTATTAGTACTTACTTTTATGTCATAACCAGAGTATATGGGCCATAATTTAATCTTTGTTTGGCAACTATAGGTCATTGTTATCATCAATTATGATATTCTGTTACACAGTAATGTCCTTGGGCCTGTTGATACATATGGAAAAAATTGCCTGTTGTTAGTTGACTTTACTTTATCTCTGTTATTAGTGTTTACATCTCAGTGTTTTTATCTTCTAGCCACTTCATAAATTTACCTAATTTTACTTATAATTTTAAGCCCCACTTTGACCCAGTGATCTGGAGGCAAAATATACCAACAGAAGTCCCTGGGGAATCCTGGCATGGAGAGAGCACTGCTTTCAGAGGCATAGAGTGACCTTGGACAATGACCATTTTAAAGATGGTTAAACTGAGGCTCAAGAGGGCATATAATTTATTCAAGGGCACAGCTGGTAAGTGGCAGCAGGATTTTGATCAAGTCTGTGATACTTCAAAAAGCCTTGCTTTTTCCTCAGTGAAACACTGTTTTCTCCTTTTCGTTTCCTACTCCACAAATCTTTCGCCATGTTAAGCAACTTTGCTGCTGCTGCATAGCCCAGGCTTTACTACTGCACGGTGGATTTGGATCCCCGGAAGGCAGGAGCTCTGCCCGTGCAGCCTGCCCACCAGGAAGTGAACTCCACAAGGTACCTGTCTCCTCACATTGTTCACCTTTGAAAAATCCCCTTGAAAGTATGTCTCATAGTAGAACCCAAGTAATATAGCAGATCCCTAGCTAAAAGGAAGGCTAGCTGAGTAAGCTGCTTTCCTCCTTGGAAAGGCAGGACTCATAAGGTAGTAAATTCTCTATCCAAAAGAAGAGTATTTGAAAGATGCTGGGAAAACAGGAAATGGGACAGTCATTCATTCCACTCTAGTTTACCACTTATCATATTTTGCCTTGTTCATTATGTACATGAAGTTACAATATTGAAGCATTGAAAAAGATGATCTATTTGAAAAAAAGAGACTATTACCCCAAGAGATGAAATTACTTCTTCACAGTCACAGAATTGATCAGTGGCAGAACTGGAACTATAATCTTCAAGTATTATTCATTGATTTAACAAATATTTTTTGAATACCTATTAGATTCCAGGCACTGTTCTTGGCCCTGAAAACATCAATGAATGTGGATAAAAGCCCTGCCATTCTAGTGGGGGAGATTGACAATAAAAACAGTGACTATGCCCGGCCCGTGTGGCTCAGTGGATTGAATGTTGTCCCGTGGACTGAGAGGTCCTGGTTCAATTTCTGGTCAGGGCAGGTGCCCAGGTTGTAGGCTCTATCCCCGGTAAGGGGCATGCAGGAGGCAGCCAATCAATGTTTCTCACATCGATGTTTGTGTCTCTTTCCTCCCCTCTCTCTGAAAAATCAATAAATCTACTTGGTCATACCCATCTCTTCATCAAACATGTGTTACACTTAGAAGGGACCTTGGAAATGTGCAGAGAGGCCAAGAGACTTGTCTAAAATTTACTTTCAACTACTCCTTACCCCATACTGCCATCATCTCTCCTCCAGGTAACTTTCCAGCTGTGAGAGAGTAAGGTGTTGTTGAGACCATCTAGCCTAAACCTAGAAAGGCCTCTTTATAAACTTTTAAGAATCTGGTGGGTGGTGTAGAGCTCTACTTATCTTGCAGTTGCCCAAGACAAGCCTCGCATGTCAGTTACCTTGTTTATTTAAAACCACCACCAATATGTTGTGTTCTGCCTCTTTCTTCATCTTTCTTTGCCTTCACTGTACAGGAGCCAATTTGCAAACCAAGAGTTATGCAAGTCATCACCTCTCTGAGCCTTCATTTTTTCACTTAGTTTCCTGTTTCACAGATAAAATTAAGGCTTCAGCATCAATTTCCTTGGTTTCCCAATTCCATACCTACAGTTTGACCTCTTCCTGCCCCCTTTCACCTTTTGTCTTTCAGTCTTGCTGCTGGTGTGTCGTTGGTCTGTGCACTTAAGGCTCTTCTGGGCATTGCTCCTGCAGTTATTCCTTCTCTGTTTTCAACTCTCCCTCTTTACTGGCTCCTCCCACCCCCACCCCCACCATGTAAGCTTGCTCAAGTTTCTCCAGTCTCAAAACAAAACCGATACCCTGCCCTCAATCCCGTGTCCTCCTCTAAGCATCTCAGATCTCCTTTCTACACATGGGGAGTCTCTTACAAAGAGCACTCTATACCTCCAGTATCATAGTGTCCCCTCCCCCTTGTTCACTGCAGCCTTGTTTTTGCCCCTAGACACGCCACTGAAACCACTCTGGCAAAATTCACTAGGACAGAATTGAACTAGGATCAAATTCAATGACTGTTTGTGTAAAATCTTCAGTTAATTTAATATCTCTGCAGCATGTGACACTTATCTCCTTCCTCCCTTAAACCTTCTCACTTTGTTTCCGCATTTTTCATGATTCCCCTCTGCCCCGGATCACTATTTCTTCTCTGTCTCTATCGCTTTGGCCAACTCCTCATTCCTCTGCTTGTACCTAAACTTTAATGTCCCCATGGCCCCATCTACACTCTCCTTGTGTTACCTATGCAGGCTCAGTCTCTTATGGCTCCCAGCTCTGTGCTGATGACTCCGGCCATCCATGATACCTGAGTGTTAGACTCAGAAATACTCCTGCCGATTAGAAATTTCTATCCAGATGTCTGGCAGGCATCTCCAGCACATGTGTAAATGGGATGTGAGTTCATCTTCCTTTCTGAACCTGTTCATCCATCTCTATCTACATTTTTGAAGAATGCTTTTTCCTCATTACCCACACCA